GATGGGGTTTTAATACGGCCGTGGGACGATGTTCTGCTCGGGACACGCGTTACATTCGGCAGTCGGTACATTGTCGTCGTCAATTAAACGCCGCTCTGGTTGCATTGCACCGCGTGCGATTGTTTCGCGCACTCGTTCCCGCAATCTTCCGGGTATTGTCGCGCGAAATCGTATTACCGTTAATTGCCAATTATCTGTCGCGTTAGCGCGCCAGGATCAATACAAATATAAGGAAGTGACGTGTCTGTCGGCGCCGACGAATAACGACAGCTCGGCCGAGCGTCACTTGGCGGAAAATCTCATCGCGGGAGACGCGCAAATTCGATTCTCCTTCATGAAGGACGCGCGGCTTCGCCTCACCTCATCCCACGGGTTTCGACGCGCGTGACCGAAGGTGAATATAATCAACATAAACTTGCATCTCCGTGCAAAAGTCGCGGTAAAAAATGTCGAAATAAATGCCAAATTTTCTCACGCGAAAGTTTACGCCAGGTCTCCTCGCCAAGACGCCCCGTCATCCTTCATGACGAAACAATTTCTCCGTTCTCGACGGAAATTTCGTTCGAGTAGAAACGAATCGATCGTGCGGAAAGGGCAAGGCATGCGCCTGTTCTTCCGCGGTCAGCAGTCATCAAGAAAGGAGGAAAGTAGCCGTCGTTCGCACACTGTCGCGCTTAGGGAGCTTACGTCAAAGGAGGTCGCAAAAGAGACCCGGGTGTAATCGTTGATCCATCCTCGGTGATAAGAAAATTCGCAATCGAGCCGAACAAAGGAGGAGAAGAAGAGGAGACGGAGAAGTGAGGAAGCAAGCGATCGATCGCCTTCGCTGATCGCTCTCGCGGATATGTATTCTCCGGCATCGCGGACTTGAAGACTCTCATCTTGTCTCGTCTCGAGTCGTCCCCGTCGCGTCGTGAACGAATAACGCTCGGTTGCCCGAGGAAAGCGCAGTTTGCGAGTCGCGCTGCGTTGCTTTCGACGAAAGGTGCGCGATCTACCGCTCTCGCACGGTTTTCACCATCGACGCGCGTCAACACCACGGCGACGGCGACGACGACGACGACGACGACGATAATCGTCATCCATGGACGATGACGCATTGCGCATTGCAGGTGTTTACGTACGCTTTTCAGTCGATGATTCGAAGACGTCTCCAGTGCTCGAAATGCGAACACGTGCTCATTAGTGCAGCCACAGGTAGATAAGTAGCGAGAGAGACAGAGAGAGATAGAGAGAAAGAGAAAAAGTGAGAGAGAGAGAGAGAGAGAGAGAGAGAGAGAGAGAGAGAGAGACTGAAACGGAACGACGCAAGAGCTTCCTCCTTTACAGGGACCGTCTCTGTTCTTCCTGCTCAAGGAGAGTCTGGCAGGAAAGTCTTGGAAGATCTTCTGTCCAAGATACGATACCTTGCGCTTTCGCTTCGCCGTGGATTTCTTACGTTATCTCGCGACGCTAGGGAAATACAATGAACGCTCGCGATTGCGTAATATTACGCAATCGTGGGAAGTGAAAAATTTGCTGAAGACAATTGCATGTTTTTCGTCGCACATCCTCCGACACAAGCCGGAACAAAATTTTGATGTACAAAAATCCGGACAAATTTACTGCACGAGCGCAAAATTTATACATTCACGAGGCGTATACAAGACACAATTGTCGATAAACGCATTATAGAAAGATAATTGTAGACAAGCGATTTCAACATCGCGCAATAATCGAGAAATAATTTTTCGGCAAAAGGATAATAAACAATTAATGCCAATTCGCGAAGTGATTGCAGTATGACGATAATTCTAATTATAGAAAAAGGAAGACAGAGAGAGAGAGGAAGAGACGATAATGCAATGATAATAATGTGAAACAGAGCAGGTCGCGGAAGCCAGTTGCGTTCGTTCCTTCGACGAAGTATAATAAAGTTAAAAGTAGAAGAAGAGAGTAAACATCTCCGTATGTACAAAACAAATATAGATAGAACCGCATACATTCATAGATAAACACGCGCACACACATATGTAACGAGAATAGATATCGAAGATATCGAGCATAAGATAGCGAATAATTATGCAATGGAGAAAAGAACACGGAGAGAGCTGTAGAATATATATAGATAGAACTTCCATTTCCTTTCTTTCTTTTTTTTTCTTTCACGGCAGCGACGCGCGCGAACGCACGCAGTAAACGTGTCAGATATGCAACAAACACACAACACACACACACATACGTAATGAAAGTAAAACGCGAACGAATCGATACGCGACGTGTATCGCGAGTCGCGGAAAACATTCGTGCCGTACAACGTCGTCACTTCCGCACAGCGTCACAACTTCCGAGCGAGGCTTGAAATTTAATTCGTCCGCTGTATACCACGCGCGGCAAATCGTTCGGAAATTTTTCCACGAGATACTTCGCGCAATTTCTATCGCGTGAAATATCGCTCCGTCCGGCAATTGACCCCGAATTCCTTTCAGATTACTTTTCCTGAACACGTCCGTTGTATGAACTATGTTTCGAAGTCACCGGATATCCCCCCTCTCCCCTCTTTCTCGAGTGGGCTCCAACGATAAATTCCACACGTGGGGAAACATTACCTCTCTCCGTCAAATTCCAACTAGAGACTTCCGATCCCCGATAAGACGGACGATTCGACGGTTGATGAATCCCAAAATAAAAGATGCCCGTTGGGCATTCAGGTGAAGTGCGCTCGAATTTGACGGAGGAACAATACTTTCCCGTTTCGTCCCATCGCTTGAGCCCGTTGCTAAGAAAAGCTCGTCTTCGAGCGAAGTGAACGATCAATGGCTGCGAGGAAATAACGACGGATATATATCAGATATGCTTCGCGCGACAAATTGCAAAATAATCCGAAAACGCGCGAAGGCAAACAAACTTTGATAAAGCCTCATCAACCGCCAGAAAGACGAAGAGATTCTTCATCCGATGTAACTGAAGCTTTATTAAAGCTTATATTAATACATAAGAAATATTAATGCACACACGGCGGACACGGTATTGCCATCTTGACCCTTTCGGCCTTTACGTGTTTGAGTACGCAGCAACGCATCGTTAACGATCTAAATGTTCGCAAAACAATAACGTATCCCAGATTGAGGATCCCCGCGGCCCGAATCTCTCTCGCATGATCGCGACGTAAACTGAAAAGCGAAAGAAATAAGAAACTAGATCTTTCCACAGGAACTTACTCGCCCTTTCTCTCTCTCTCTCTCTCTCTCTCTCTCTCTCTCTCTCTCTCTCTCTCTGTCTTTCTATGTGTGTGTTGTGTGTCTTTGCGCGCATTCGCCACACGCCTTGCCGTCTCTCTCGGAGCGCGTCGATGCGTCGTCTTACAGTTTCTTTGTCTCGCACGAGGCCGAGGAAAATTATGCTCTCGCGCGCGGTCTGTCCTCTCCCGATTTTTTCTTTCTTTTCCCCTTTCCTTTTTTCTCCGTCCTCTCCGTCCTTTCCATTCTCGCGACTCCAAAATCGCAGAGATCGGAGGGTATATATATATGTACACATTGGCGCCTCGTCGGGGAACGAGCTCTCTCTCTCTCTCTCTCTCTCTCTCTCTCTCTCTCTCTCTCTCTCTCTCTCTCTCTCTCTCTCTCTCTATCCCGCTCGTTCGTCGCGCGTAATGTTAATTAATTTTCTCTTTATCCCCCGCGACAACACGCTCAGGAGAGACGTCGTTCCCTTTGTGTGACGCCAGAGCTGGATAAAATACTACTTCGAAAGATCGACCCCCCCCCGCCCCCTACCCCCCCCCCGAGGCGTCACCACACTTCGCGTATCCTTCCTGCCCGTATTCTACACGGAAGTCTTTTTCGAAGCTTTCCTCGCCCCCTCCGTAGCCCTTCCCGATTGCGACTTGCGGACGCTGCAGCGGGAGCGTTTTGTTGGCGGGCGTGATTTCGCAGAGCGGAAACGCGGAATTGGACGCGGCCGCGCGACAAGAAGAACAACGTTCCTCGGAACCAGTCAAGTGGCGTTGCACGTTGGCACGTTCTCACGTTAACACGTCAACCCTTATCAACGGCAACGGTTCGCCGCGTGTCATGTTGCTGCTGCACGAGAGAGAAGAGACCAAACCGACAAGATGGATATCGGCCGCGCGAAAGATCGAAAGATCGGCGAATCTCCGTCAGACATCGTCGAAGGAGCAAGAGAGAAAGAAAGCAGAGAAAGAAAAGAATACGCAAAGTTGACGACGCGAGGGATCTCCGCGCACCGACTTCGGCTCGCTACTGCGAAAGGGTTGACGTGCTCCCTCCGAGATGATTCTCCTGACTGGCTCGGTCGGTTCTCCATGGCTTCGCAGGACGGAGGACGACCTCGGTGATCTACACTTGTGATCAACGCGTATACTCCGTACCCCCAGGTCCAAATCGGAGTCCTCCTCGTAGAGAGCGGCGTAGGACATCGACGCGCGGTAATCGTCGCGCGGCTCGGATGATCTCGGGGATCGGATCTCGAGGTGTCTACCATCGCCACTTGACCGGTTAACGATCGAAATAGTACTTTGCCCACCTCTCTCTGGCGCGACTCCTTCTTTGTTTCCTTTCTTTTGCTTTTTCGTTTCGTTCGTTCGTTCGTTCGTTTTTTTTTCTCTCTCTCTGTTTGCCGCCATCGTTTTTAGCGTCGTTTCGGTAGAGCTCCAAGCAAGCAGAGTGGGCGCCCGTCTTGCCGCAGTAGCGCGCAACGATTCGTCGATGAAAATCGTTTCCTAGTTTACGAGATAGACGTCGAGGGGGGGGGGAGGACGGGTGGGGGTGGAGGGGATGATGGGGTTCCTCGGCGGGCTTACGACGGAGGTCAAAGGGCGGTCGTGGTGGATGGGCCGCTACACGGTGACCGGCATGGTTGTTTAACAAGGTAAACAAGGGAAAAGGAGCGGGGAGGGATGGAGGTATCGACGGCGGGATCGAGGAGCGATCGAAAGTCGGTCCGGGATCGAGGGTCGATGCGCAAAATAGGAAGGACAATACTGAAAGGGACAGACTCACCTCCTCGCATAGCAGCAGCATACGCCTCGTGCTCTCCAGAGACTGAAACAAAGTCGATTCCGCAAGTTACACACCACACATCCGCCACGCGACAACGCTCGATGTTTATTTTGCTCATAATCACGGAGAATCGCGCGGGAGCGCGGCTCGAATTGATATCTCCGACAGAGGGGTAGGGGAGGATCGATTTGGCCTCTGTAAAACGATTCGTCGTCCCTGACCTCGGCGAACGGAAATCCGATTTTTCGGCCGCATTCTCTTTTTTCTTTCTTTCCGCACATAGTGACACTAGTAGTAGTAGTGGTAGAGCACCAGTGAATGAAGATCTCAAAAGCTGCGGGGAGTCGTAAGAAGATCTATCGAGTGCCGGCCGAGGGTTAACATTGAAACGCCTCCGAGAGACCGAAGAACGAAATCTCAATCACGTTGACGGCGATCGCGTCGCTGAGGATTCTCTCGGCATTCCCTCGAGAACTCTCGAGGTCCCTTTCTAAAAATTCTTCCAGCATCCGCGTCGTTTTCAAAGAACACGAGTAATTAACAGGAACGAGACGTTAATGCCACGCTACGACGACGACGACGGTGAAGGTTTCTTTCGGCGGGCGACGCGCACATTACACTCGAGACTCGTTGAACCGGTGTAATCGAAGCGGTGAAAATCGCGAGGGAGAAACGCGCGCGCACGCATCGTCTTCGTGGACCGAGAACGGCTCTCGGCCCGATATAGCGCGTCGATTTCGCAGTTCCCGGTTGTCATAAATCCTCGTGGCGATCATACACACGCGCGCGCGCGCATATACGTGTACACATCCCTCCCACACACACACACACACACACACACACACACACACACACACACACACACACACACACGCACGCGCGCACACACACGCACGCGCACACACACACACACACACACACACACACACACACACGTACGCACACATACACGTACATGTGCACACGTCGACTCACCTCATCTGTGGTCTGGCCGGCCTTGAGCTGTAACTCCTGCAGTTCGGTCCGGGGCGGGCCGCCCTCGGCCGGACCCGCTGACGCTGACGTTGGCGCAGGCATCGCGTCGGGTGCCTGAAGATGGGACTAGATACCGATGGACAACAGCCTTCCTCTCTCGACGAGAGTCTTCTTGTCGGCCGGCTCTCCTTGGCTTTCACGTGACCTCTCGGTTATCAGCGACCGACGTCGGTGTCGACGTCTTCCCTGGTGCCGTTTGCCCGGATCGCTTGTCAATCTAACCGCGATCAGCCTGCAACACACAATCGACGAACGCAAGATCAGATCGAGCGTGGTTCTCGGCGAGAACAGGGAGCCGTGAGATGCCAGGACAGGTATCCCTACGTGAACACGCCGGGCGATCACGTTCGTTCCCAGAATGCGGCTAGGAAACGTCGTCCTCGCGGTGTCGCGTTCGTTCGCGGTCATTCGGCCCCCTTGAAGGAGAGATGTCGAAGAGCAGAGTAGGAGTAACAACACCTTGTCGCGTCAAAGCACCGGCGACGAGGAGGGAGAGATGACGACGACACCGTGCACAAGATCGGACGAAGATCTTCCACTCGACGATCACAACGGAAACGAATGGGAACGTCCGCGAACGCCTGGAAGACTCTATCGAGACGTCGATCGGAGACGTTTAGAGAGAGAGAGAGAGAGAGAGAGAGAGAGAGAGAGAGAGAGAGAGAGAGAGAGAGAGAGAGAGAGAGAGAAACGGTCGGAGCGGACCTTCCGCAAGGTGGCCGAAGAGTAGCACTCGCTGAACGACACAGAGAGAGACCTTGCGGAATTCCGCGGGCGGATTCGCAGCCGCGTCGCGCTGTGCCGGTCGTCGAGGTGTGAGTATGCGTGCGTGCGTGCGTGTGTGTCTGTGTGTGTTTGGTGCATGTATATGCGCGTGGCCAACGTGTGCACGACTGCACACTCACTCACACATCGCGGCTGGAAAATCAATACCTTACCCACCGACCGACCGACCGACCGACCGACCCACCGACGACGTCGCGACGCGCAGACGCGACGCGACGTCTCCGACGTCGTCATCATCGTCGTCCACCCTCCTGGTCGCGTTGGCTCCCTTGACGCCAACGTGGCCGGCAATCAGGGAAAGAAGCGATCAGCTGGTCGCCTGTCAAAATCGCTACGGGCAGGTCAAGAAACAGAAGAGAAAGCGGAGGGAGAGAAAGAGAGAGAGGGGGAGAGAGAGAGAGAGAGAGAGATAGAGAAAGAGAGAAAGAGAGGGTGAGACCGACCTTTCCCGCCAAAGAACCATCGACGTCACCGGGCCGACGTGAAAGCGCAACTATGACGAAACTTTTTAGCCGCTCCGACGGTCGCGATGCAATCGGGCAGAGGAAAATGCGTGGGCCACGAAGAAGACGAGACGAGACGAGACGAGACGAGACGCGACAGAAGCAGGCTTCGCGACTTCCGCTCTTTTCGACGATTTCGAGCAATCGACTCGTACGTCTGATCAAAGATCGCGAAAGCTCCAGAGCCTTCAAGGTGAATCAATGCGATCTCTCCCGCGTAAACTCTCGACCTCGTTCGAATCTCTCCTCTTCCCTCCACAGACGGTACGTGTTTCTCGTTAAGTCGCGGTTAGTCGCGCCTCCTTTCCGGATTAATGAAACGTAAAGTCTCGCTGTCTCTCATGTCTGGTGAGACGGTCTACGGGTCCCGCGATACTCGCGATGCGTGTGTTTCCGCTCGCGATCGGAGAGCTCGTCCGCGGCCGGTAGCGCGTTATAACACAGCAGACGGAGACAGTTGAAAACAAGCCGAGCGTTAAAATAAGCGCGAGCGAGCCGGACACGGACAGGCGAATCGGTCGTATCGACCGGCGAGTGTTCCAGAGCGAGGCGGCAGCCTCGCGAACCGCGCGCGGCACAATGAGCGGCGGCAGGGGAGGGCGGGGGAGGGGAACCGCGCGGACTTTTCCAAATGTCGATGTTGGGACCTCCCAGGCGCGACTAATCGCCGCCCATAGACATCCCTCTCTTCCATCCCTTTCTCCGCGCTTTCGCCAGAGTTCCCATAAATCTCATATAATAATCCAAGCGCGAACGTGTCGCCGCATCGCGAAGCCCGGCGGCTTCCGCGAGATAGCGAGAGAGCGAGAGGCGAATGAATCGTTTGATTCATAAAACGTGGATCCCGCGATTCAGGACGCCGACGGTGATGGTAGTGGTGGTGGTGGTGGTGGTGGTGGTGGTGGTAGCGGCAGGTGGTGGTGGAGACTGCCGGCGGTGGCAGACGGAAATAACGCGATCCGCCCCTAACGCGCGAGTCGGTGGTAGTGTAACGGACCGCGACGTGATCTATCAGGCCGGCTCTGTCCTTGCCCTCGACGAAGTTGGCAGGTTTCCAGGGTGAAAGGTACCAACGGCGGCGGCGGCGCTCGAGCTGTGGCGAGTCCCGCCATCAAGATCACGGACGACGCTCGGGACCAGGACGCGCCGTTTTGTCTCCAATGACCGATGAAGGCAGAGCGGCCAGCCAGGGCGCGCGACAGCTTTATCGACGCGGTCGCGACGGCGAGGTCGAACTGTTTGTTTTCTTCCTGGACGGTAATTTTGCAAATTGCCGTGTTAATCGATCGACCCAGAGCTTGCTCGATCCGCCCCCCCCCCCCCTCAGAGGTGACACGTCTCGCACGCTGTCGCTTAACCTGAAGCCGGACGATGGCGTGACGATCCGCGCGCGAAGCGATAAGTCGAAAAAAGGGCAGCGGAGAGCGGGACGGGGAGGGAGGGATTTTATCCTCTACGAATCGGAGGTTCGCCTAGAATCGCAAAATCGCTCAAATCGCGTCGTGTCGAGCATACTGTCGCCCCCTTCTAATCTGTCACACGCGAGGCCTGAGACGGACGGTCTGGAAGTTCGCGGCCGAGCGTGCCCGCGCATCGTCAATAAACACGTATGTCCACCACCCTCTGGCTTTCGCTATTGCGCAATATTATTAAAAGCGCGAGTGATCGCGGAGTGATCGCAACGTACATCGCCGCGCGGCGCTGATACAATCTGAGCGTGTAAAGAATCGCAGCGCGACGTTGCTTCACGCGACGCAACTCCTCACAGCTGACGCGACACGGACGTTATCCGGATCGTGTCCCACGGAGGAAACTTGTTGGCGGAGAATATTCGCGCGGACTGGCGAACGGCGAAAGCGCAACAGAGAAAGGATGAGACCAGGAACGGGAACAGGTAAAGCTCCGACGCGACGGTGCCACCGCGGGAGTTGAAACGTTTGAAAAAAGCAAAATGTTGAAGAGAAAATATTTGGCAGTTGCGATTACGATTGCGCAGGGAGATACCCGAGAGAACTGCGAACTGCGAGACAGTACTGACTCATCCTTTGCGTACAACACTGCGATCCGCGGCTGTTGACGGCTCTGTATCGTCGCGCGATATTGTTGAGGAAAACCTAACGCGGTATATCAAAGCTGCGGGGGGACTCGCGGCTGAAATTATCACGGCGATTCTGTGCATTCGAAGGCTGCGGTATCGTCATCTCTCCCCTCCCCCCTCCCCCTCCTCCTGCTGCCGTTCAGCAATTTATGCCGCTCCGCCGTGTGGCGCTAATGTGTCGAAAGTATTGCGCAATTTTAGACGGTGGGAATGATGGATACGGGAACATCGCTATAAATAAAAAGGGGATGGATCGGAAAATCAATATTTTTATCCATTCATGAATCACTCTCGCGGTCGCGTCATTCTCGGTTAAGAATGCGCTTCTCGCAAGTGTGTCGGGGGAAGGGGGAGAAGGGAGGAGAGAGAGAGAGAGAGAAAAAAGAGAGGCGCTCGTGATCGCAATCGGTTCTCAGACGGAATAGAATGCAACGGTCAGATGCCGTGCGAATGTGTACACCCTTCGTGTCTCGAACTACGCGTGCGATACTTTTCTTCGTCTTCCTCCACCTCCCCGGCCATATCCCACACACGGCCTCCCCCGCACGCGGAATGCGTCTTAATTAGCGCGGGCGAGCCGCGACAAAAAGAACACGCCGTTTGGTAAACGGAAATTTCGCATACCTGCGAAACAGGCTAATTAATTCGGCGGTAGGAAAACTCGAGGTTGTGCTTCTTATCCTCAATAAGATCTTCCGGGAATGGTAAACACAGTATAAGCGGCCGGGTGTCCCGCGCGCGTAATAATCTGATTAAAACCGCTTGTGTATAAAATTATGTCTAGAAATCTGATTACAACTGCCCTGTGTATAAAATTACGTCTAGAAAATTATCTCTATCTTAATTGCGCGCGGCCCCTCTTGGTGCGTTCGTCGACTCGCTCCCAGGTGTTCCAACTTCGAAAAGGGAGCAAAGTCGCAGAAAGTCAGTTTTTGAAGTACGCAGATTCAACGCAGCGAGATGCGAGGGATTGAAACGAAGATAATCAATTGAGTGTCGGCAACAACTTTACGCTGGAATTGGGGATCGATCTAAAGTAGAAATGCGCGTTATCGAGCATACGGCTTCAAGCGGCGCTTGATCTTCCCACGTAATCGCCCGCGCCGTCGCGAAAGTGCACTCTGAAATCAGGATCCGCGAGATCCGGTCGACGGTGCACGTCGACAAATGTCAAACGTGATCGAACTCGAAACACGACGTTGGATTGTCGCTGCTTATCCGCACGAACTTCGCACGTAACTTCGCAGCAGCAGCGAGCTCGGCGATCATTGCGTGGGAAGACAAGTTTGCGCGCGAGAGAACCCGGCAAAAATCCCCGTAATCGCCGTGAGACTCCGCGGTGATTTTTGGAAGACATGTCCGATCGGACTTAACGTACGGAGCAGCAACCGTTTGCCAAAAAATAAAAAAGAAAATGAAATTTGCGCGTGAGAACATAAACATACACACACACACACACACACACACACACACGACGAGGTGTGATACGAAGAGATCGAGGCGGGACAAGATCGCAATGTCGCAAATCAATAAGCATACACAGTCGGACGGTGGAAAATGTTCGCGAGTTGAAATCGCAGGGCGGCCGCGCCAATTATCTCAAGATTAATTATCCTACAAGTCATCCGAAAGCGTGTTTACAATTACTCGGCGAAGCAGCACGGGCCGAATTACATAACGCGCACGCCGCGATCGGAAATTTCAATCGGAGAATCGAGCGATGTGTCCTCTGCACGCGCACGGCGTGACATCTCGATATCGCTCAACATTATTTCGCGGCGACAAATTCCAGCGACAATCTGCAGCGAATTTCCGAGTCGATCTCGATCGGGACGGGAGAACTCGCGCGCGAGCAACCGGGACTCTTCGCGGGATTGCGAATAAGCCAAGCCGAATGCCAAACTCGACGCGGCGTCGACCGTCGCGATGGATCTCGAGTGGAAATTCGCGGCCGACGGGATCTCCCAGCTCGGCGAATCGAAAATTCATACTTTCGCCGCCATATTGCCTCCGCTCCGATCGCGGGAATCATACCTGAGAGCGTGATCAATTGATTTCCTGCCGCGTTCCGGATCGTCTCGCATCGATCTCTCGAATTCGCGCCCCGTTCTCCCCTCTCCGCGCCCCCCTTCCCCCTTCCCATTACTCTTCGAAATCGGACCAAGTGCCCGAGGTTGACCCAGAGACAACCGGGCGCATAGAAAGTGTGCATGCGTGCGTGTGAGTGTGTGTGCGCGCGCGCGTGTGTATCATGCTCCATATATACCCGAATGATCTTACTCGCAGAGAATGCTCTCGTGACGCGTCTCGAGAAAAGATGCGGTGTTTAATCGCCGCCGGTGTTCCGCGCGAGGTTCTGTTACTCACTAACCTTGAGGCGGATCGATAGCGAATGCTGCTATCTGCTGGCACGTCTTCCGCGCTGGAGAGAAGGCGAAGGAGAGACCGAGGGAGAAAGAGAAAGAGAGAAAGAGAGAGAAAGAAGGTATACCGGCTGTCACTGACACCGCGCGATAACGACGTCGTTTTACGTGCCGCTGCCGGTGGAAACGCGCAATTGGAGTGGGAAACGAGCCTCTCGTGCCTTGACGTCTCGATCGTCCGCACCGCAGCACCACACCGTCCACCGCGTCTTTCGGAGCGCGAATGAACGCGCTGACGCGCGCGCTGCGGAACGACGGTGCGGCGCGAGAGGGCGCGGGTCACATGGGCTCGCGTTTACCGATGACGCGGTCCAATGGGGAGCCGGCGCGCCGATGCGGAATCGCGGCGCGCGCGACTCACGGCTGTTTCGAACGCGAGAGATTACGCCGCAGCGACTCGAATTTGCGCGTTTGCGAGAGAGCGCGGTCGCGAAGCGCGGAGTGACTTTTCAGCGATGTTTTGCAACCGAGGAAAATTCTTTATTGCGCGAGAGATCGCAAGCGTGCGATTTCCTCGGTATTTGTTTCGAGACTGGAGTCTTTGTATAATCGACTCGCTCCTTCATTTTCTTTTTGTGTTATCTGAACTCGGCATTTGAATATTGCATGGTTAAGTTAGGTTAGGTCGGTTTATCGCGAAACGCTTAACGCACACGCGATACAGCACTTACAACACACACACACATACACACAGCTTTTGCTGGGAACAGATCGTTTGTTCTTATTCATACGTAATCTCGAAATATATAGTCTTCTGCAAATATTACGGAGAGCGTTTATCGACCGTACGCATGCGCAGCTCTGCCTCGTTACAACGGATTTAACCTCGTAAACTTAGCGAGCTTACACGCCTCCTTATGCGTCCGCGAGAACCAAACAGCGAGCTTTGACACACTTGCATAAACCGGAATGACGCAAAATGACATTTCCCCGCTCGAGATGGGCGTCCCGAGAACGCCACGGTCATTCGCTCGTTATTACGCTGCGGTCCGCGATTCGACGAATTTGCGGCCGAATTTACGAGCTCGGCCGCAAATCGAGATTTGCGCTCGGCGACGCGACACCGTCGTAGAGTCCCGGCGGAAAATCGATACGACCTCGCGTCGACACGCAACGTGCGCTGCATCGCTGTTGCCGTGACGTTTCAAGGTGTAAGAACGCGACGGTGAGAAAGAATCGTACGCGTATCACTTCTTACCGCCGATGACGAGATCCGCGCCTCGTACGAGTCCGCCGCGGCGCGTTGACGATCTTCGGCAGTCTCTTCTCGTGCACCTGCAGATCCTCTCCTTGATAAGAGTGAGCGACAGTTTCAGCTGACGACGACTACTTCTTTGCGGCGAAGTGCAACCCGCTGCACTGACAACCGGAAGTTGACCGCGAGTATCACGAGAAGCGCCACCGCCGCAACTGGACGGTAACTATGGAGACGCGTATACCGGGTGCATTTGGCGGGAAAAGCGAAATGACGGAATACGGATACATTCGTTGCGTAGATAAATTACAAGTTGCATATCGGTATATCTGTATCGCATACAACTGTTTAATTTGTTTTTAATATTACTCTTGACATTAAGTTATCGTATATTAAAAAGATATTCTTAAAATAATTTTAAAAAGATATCGGGCGCATTTGTAGGTAGGTACAGGTAGTCGTTTGATATTAATACTTTTCAGCATTAATTTTAATATAGGCCATTAGTAAGGATGTGATAAATAAAACTATGCTTATCTCTTTCCCCCATTCTCTCTTATCAACACTTTACATATTTTCATTAAAATATTTGTTCGAGAATCTAGTGTAACAATATATGACTAACAAACGATATATATATCCTACAGCGCATTAAAGTATATTATAAAGTACATCTAAAAATTGTGCTTATAGTGTACACCTTGCAACATTACAAAATGCAACTTAAGTCGATAAAAGTGTAGAGTTGTTCCAAAAATATACATAAATATACAGAATTCATAGAAAAATTGTCAAAATATAAGTATATATAATACATAAGTGTCATTATGTATATGTGTATGTGTAGTTATTATAGATGTATAATAACAGCTTATAGCAAGTGTATAATATTACAAAATATTATAATGTACAATGTTTTAAATATAATGTATACGAGTTACCCAATTTTCCTTAATATAATCTACAAAATTTTTAATATATATTAATAAAAAGTGAGCATCAAAATATAGACTGTAACATGATCTAGATATCTTGACAGATATTCTGTCAAGTCATTCGCATTTTCAAATTCGTTTCCCTATTTTATCTTTCTCAGTTTCAATAATCCGAAAAAGAATCTTGTTAGCTATGGTCGATAGCTTTTTTACATATCTTACCTTCTAATTAATTTTTTGTTCCGTTAGATATCTCTACAACATGAAGTATGACATCATCTACTGTTTTTGTCGTTAAGAGAGATTTCACTGTATCATCCTCGATGACTACAGTGAACAGAAGCTTGACGTTTTCTCGCAGCCTCTCGGTGAAGGACACACAGGATTCCGACGTTACTGGCTCGTGTCCACATCTTCTGATCACAGCTTCGAGGACGTCTTGTATCGGAGCTTCTGGCCACCCAAATAACTAGCGATATCACACAAATAAATCGACGATTAAGACAACTCACGATCAAAACGGAAAACAATAAAATAACGATAAAGTTAAATCAAGCGGTATTTGTCGATATTTACTTGCAGAGTTTCCTCATCGATAAGTATCCTCAAAAGATCTATGATAGCCTTCAATAATTCGTCGGTGGAAAGTGTCTTAGATTCGCCGTTTTTCGTTTTGGCCGCGGCAATTGTCGCGATATTATACAACTGTGTCTGTAGATGCTTCTTCTCGACCTCGTTCATAACGTCCTCCAACAATTCCCGATGTTTCGCCCGAATGTGTCTCATCAAGCAATCCTGCCGGATGAACACTCTGTTGCACTCGACGCATGACTGGGGCGGCTCACGTCTGTGGGTGTTGAGGTGAGCCTGCAGAGACGACTTCGCCGAGAAAGCTTTCGAGCACTTGTCACATTTGAACGCTGAAACAGAACGTGCATGCATAACGATGATGTGATATAATTTACAGTTACATGTTTGCTCTCTCAACACATCGTCCAGTCGCTTACGTTTAACTCCAGTGTGCAGTAGAGCGTGCTTCACCAGGTCCTCCCTACGCGTGAAGCCTTTGTTGCAAATTTTACACGTGAATGGAATCGCTCCTTCGTGTACGAATTTCTTGTGGATATTCAAGCGTGCTTTTCGGTTAAACGCTTTGCCGCACACATCGCAGTAAAAGCCGTTTTCGCCGGTATGATGAAATATGTGCGCCCTTAACTGGGATGCCTGTATGAACGACTTGCCGCAATATTGACAGACATGCGGTTTCTCGCCAGTGTGTGTACGTTGATGTCGATTCAACGTCTCACGAGCGGCGAATTTCCTCTGACACTACAAGTGAGTTTCACTCTTCAGCACTTGCATATAAAAGCGCGGATCGTAAAAAGAGAAAAAAAAAGGAGAGATAGTTGAAACTTACAGCAATATCTTACCCATCCGTGTAATGTTAGCTTGTAATGGAATAACCCGATTATCGAAGAGCGCTACGTTATTTCTACGCGTACTTATCGTTCGAGCAAAACACAAAACGATATCGAGCCGAGCCGACCAGAGTTCAGTACTTACGTATTTACATTCAAACGGTTTCTCTCCGGTGTGTACACGACGGTGCTTTTTCAGCGCCAACGCTGACAGAAATGTTTTCGGGCACAAGTCGCACTGTACCGGCCGTTCGCCCGTGTGCATGCGCTCGTGTATCAGCAACTGTTGACTCGTGAAGAATTCCTTCGTACAATACTTACACGGTTTCTTCTGCCGCTGCGGGGTTCCTGCGTGAGTACGCAGATGTTCTCGCAAGTTATCCTTGCGCGTAAAGACTTTCTTGCAAACCTGCAAGAATATTTGCATTCATACCCATACTCATACGGAGATCTCGAACATGTTCGAGAGATCTCTTGACAAAAATTATACTCACTTGACAACTAAACGTATTAAGTATATTGCCGTGACAACCAGACTGCATTATGTGTCGATTTAAGTGGTAGCTTCGGGAGAAGTAGGTATCGCAAGGCTCACATCTGAACGATTGTGCAAAGTGGAAATCAGCAACATGTTGCGTGGAAATCAGCAACGATATGTTGAATTTTTTAGTTGACTGCATAGAATGTAGGTGGTAATTTCATATGTAACGTACCTGAAGATTTTACGATCACCATGTGTTGTATAGCGGTGTTTGTTCAGCTCTTTCTTATCACGGAAGGAAGAACCACATACGTTGCATATGCAGGAGTCGCACTTCCAATGTATGACTATAACATGCCTGTCCAAGGACGTCTTCTTCTTGAAACTGAGGTTGCAGTGAACACACTTGAAGTCCCCACCACTGTGTGCAGTCTTTAAATCTTCCGCGCAACAGTGACATTGAGTATCTGGTACTGGCTTGATCACAGGTTTGTCGTTGTTTTCATTGTTCTTGGAATCCTGATCTATAGAAAACAAGATCACATATGTAAAATTTGTCCGATGAAAATAAATAGATGCTGCTGCACTGGCTATTACACACACCCTCATCAGTCATATCATGCAATATATAGCTATCATCATCTTCATCTTCATTTTCATTCTCTTCTTCCGAATCATAATTTGCCATATTATTCAATTCCAATATATTGGTTGAATCATCTTCCTCCCTGCACATATCTAAATGCTCCTTCAACAACTGTAATAAAATAAAACGATAACATAATTATAGGAAAAACAAGAACAAAAAATGATATATACGAGATATAAACAAAAAAGAAAAGTATAAATAAAGTTGACTTACATCTTCAGATTGGAAAACACGGTGACATGTCACACATTCATAATCAGTTATAATAGATATAATTTGACCATTTCCTGAGAAAACTGTTGACAAAATAAAACAAACAATAACATAACAAAAGTAAAAATAAAATATTAATAAAGCAAAGTATAAAAATATTAAAACAGACTGTTTGGTATCATGCATTGCACACAAATATTTGCACATAAAATAACTTGGAATATATCTAATATTGGAAATTATAAGATTGTATATACACATATAAAGAATTAATTTAAGATCTAAATAATAATTAGAAGTGTGTGACTCCTAAAACCATCGTATATTTGTATGTATAGAAAGAAATATAAGTACCTTTCATATCGTCTGCATTTCCCACTACTACAGCTTCACTTTGTGAGACATTTGCATCTGCAAAACATTTGAATAGTTTTATTATTCAAATTATATTTAAGCATTTTTTTGCTGAGATTATATTTACTATTATCTGGATACAATATAAAGATAAAATAGTAAAAAATTACCAAATAATATTTCTGTAGCCTCATCTTCGATCAATACCTCGGAATTATCCAAATTTATAATTTCTGCAAAAGGATTCAAAAAACATACCATTTATACAAAGAAGTTTTACATAAAAATAAATGTAAACTTTAGATTGAAATACTTATGAGAAAGATCAGCATACAAAAAATAAGTAAAAATATAAATATACGAGATAAGTTATATATAAGAAGATATATTGTACATAAGTTTCATAATGTTTATGTTATTTCAGCGAGCAACAGACCCAAGAAGAACAGACTTTATGATTGGTTGCACGTAATCCATACTTCCGACAACTTCGTTAAAATGCATAGTTCTACACACATATTACACAAGTTAAGGAACTTGAATCTTCCGCACTCACCAATCTTTTCCATCGTTTCTGCCATTGTGTCTTATGCGATTTTGACGTCGTGATAATAACGTCTCCTCGTCGTCCCTTCTTCGGTCACTAAGAAAGATCTCCCTTCGAGTAGCCGGACTCGTGTGGGCTCACAGACTTCGCGTGATCTCTGATTCGCTTACTTGTTGCTTCCGTTCCAGTTTACAGAAGCTCGTGAGAATCAATGACTACTCGGTGATGCATGCCGAGGTACTTCTCGGCGCGTCAATTGCGGCCGGGAAAAAAGAGCTTTGCGAGTCTTCAGCACAATTTGCAGAGGAGCTTGCAGCACACACTTGCCCCTGACGAAACAAGCCCTTTCAGCCACGATGCCGCAGAAAATGGCCTATGTCAAGGGGCGCATTCTCTTCCACGCGTCTACCATCCTCCCTCTCGCTCGCTTTCTCTTTTATGCTAGGGGATTTAATAGGTACCACAAGAAATTATATACATTACAACACAGTACACATATACCTAGAATAATGCAACTCTGCGTAGCACCTGTGACACCTGCACTGTTACACTTTCTGTACTTAGCATGAGACAGACGTACACAGTATATGTGGACTCTAGGGAAGGAAAGAGAGATAGAGAACGTCCGCAAGGCAGTATAAAAAGTGCAGTGAAAAAGAGTAGATGTAACGTGAGAGAAAAGCGCAAAATGACTTTCACACGCATCCGCGGATGAATAAAATATGATAAATACGCCAAACTCAGTCGGGAGGCACAAGGAAGAAACTTCTTCTCGTAGATGCTTACGATGGCAAAATCCACTATGCTGTTAAAACCGTTCGCATGCGCAGATTGCGAGTGCGACAGAAGAGGCTGTGTGAAAGCAGAGTTATGCACGCGCAGGACGATCCAAACCTCATCTTCTGACTTGTAACGGATCACTCGTGGTGTACGATGAATCGTTCGTAGAAGACAGCAGGTATGAACACACTCATCGTGTATTCGCTCGCATTAGACGCATAACCTCGGCTTTCTTCCTTCGATTTTGCTCGAGTCTTCGCTGCATCTCACCCTGAAGGCAGGCGAAAGCTCGATTTTCCTCTCGACATCTGTCGAGAATAAACCAACTTCAGAGTCAGGTGACGTAACACACATGGCGCCAAATATGATTTCAAGTTGGGTGGTCGGTGGAGGTAAGGTTGCGACACTTTTCTTCGACGATTTTCGTTATTCATACTCCATAAGGAAAAGTTTTCAAGCAATTGGCAGAAGATAAATTTTAATTATATTGGCTGCCGGGTGCATTTCGAGGTTCGTCCAGGTAAAGACGTTGCAACTTCTCTTTCATTGATACCGCGGACACTTATCATGCTTGAATATCCGAAACACTATCTTATAACTTTGCTATTCTGTACTTTATGTGTCCCTTGACCTTTCAATTTGATTTTTCAATGAAGCATTCAGTCTTCTTCAAAGATATAGAATACAATAGCATCATGCTGTGATACCTGACGCGTGAATGTGTGTGTGTGTGTGTGTGTGTGTGTGTATGTGCGTGTGTGTGTGTGCGTGTGTGTGTGTGCGTGTGTGTGTGTGCGTGTGTGTGTGTGCGTGTGTGTGTGTGTGTGTGTTACTATTAATCTTATCGCTATCAAATGTTGTCTCGAAGGTTCTTTATCTGATCCATGGCGTTGCGGGCAGGGATTATCCCGAAAGAAAAACGGAGATCTTATCACGAACGCGTCGTTCGATATTCTCCGCGTGAAGGAAACGTTACGCCATGACGCTCACATCACTGCACAGCTGTCACTCGTAAACAACTTAAACGGAGCAGTGTCAGGTATCTACGCGAATCTTTGTATGTTTTTTATAAAAAGAAATTCCGTTAAAAAGTTCTTCGACCACCAAGGTCGGTTTATATTAACATTATATCGTACTGATTAAGTCTGCATTCCATCAGCTGTCCTTTAAGGTTATAATGCAGTATATAGGGTGTCCCGAAAAACCCGATCTCGATTTGAAATGAAATAGTATCTTGGTAATTTCAGTTTTAGATTATACCATTTTTAGTTACAGATTTTAGCAGTAAATTCTAAGACGAAGTTCTCAATTGATTAAAAGATATATTTTTGGAGAGAATACATTTATCAAATGTGTGCGCGAAAGGCTTTCAATAATCCATTAAGAATCGTTAGTGATTTAATTGTACAAAACATCAGTCATTTCAAAAAGTAGGGAATTTTTCCATCGTTTTTATAAGTAAGGCTCGAATGTGTCATAAAATTAATATTCTGATAAAGAATATTTTCTTTATAGCGCAATTTATTAAAACATAAGCTAAGAAGAACCTATTAGACCTTATTTATAAAGATATGAAAACTTCCATTTTCTCCATGATCTATTGCACATTTTTCCCAAGATTTATTTGAGTTCTTAAAGTTTTCTAGTATAAACATAAAAACAGTTTTTGGTCAAGCTCGATTCCATCAATGTGTGCGATTGTCAATTCAGCTGGATATTTTGTAATCCAGGGCTCAGCATAAATATAGACAAACCACTCGATCGTTCCTGAAGCCAGGATGTCTGTGACAGAGGAAAGAATCCAAGAATTGAACCAACAATTTCTGGACTTTATGAGCAAACCGGAGAATATTGACGCAGGTACAAAAGAGATTTACGAAGATCTGTTGGATGAGGTTCTGATGGGCTTTGTGTTTGATGTTCATCGTACCACGAAGACTGGCAGTTCCGACGTCGAGGAGGGCATCCCCGATGACGAGTCGTATGCTATTGTTGGTAAGTAGAGACAGAGAAAGAAAGATAGAACTATAATGACTCCATATTTATCTTTATTGGAATTGTTTATTGTTGAAATCGCATGTCTATCATTACTCTTGATCAGTCTCTATTCGCACAAGTCTATTCAAACAACCTCTAGTACAATATTTTTTTAATCATCTATATCAAATTAATGTACAAAATGTTACATGTGAAGAGCATTCTCTCAAAAAGATTTCGACAATAGATGTAACTTGTCCACATTCATATCATATACATATATATATATATATATATATATGATGTTCCTTTCCAGATTCGCCCGGTCTAGATGTATTCGGCCAGCATCCTGTGAAGAAGTCGCAGGAGTGCATCTGTCCAAACTGCGACCGCAGCGTTGCAGCCTGCCGATTTGCCACGCACCTGGAGAAGTGCATGGGTATGGGCAGAAACAGCTCGCGTATCGCATCGCGGCGCATCGCCAACAACTCCAAGGACTTGAGCAATTACGGTGGCGTGATGAGCGACGACGATGACGACGTCGACTGGAGTTTGACCAACGACAATAAACGTCGACGTCCGCGTAAGGACCGCAACGGTATGAACAAGCGTGCCAAGCAGCAAAAGCAGCAGCAACAGCAGCAGCAAGCCGGCGGCGGCGGCACGCAGCAGAGGAACGGCGAGACTGTGGGCGAGCACGCGCACAGCAGCAACGAGAACTCGCCCTCCAATTACGAGAATATGTCGCTGGTGGACAAGCGAGCGCTGCTCACACAAATCTGCGGCGTCGTGTCCGAGCACACAAAGAAACTGTGCACCCGTTCGATGCGTTGTCCACAACACACCGACGATCAACGCAAGGAGATGCGCGCGAATTTGGAATCTGGCGGTCAACAAGACAGTCTCCATGTAGATGTAGACACGTACGAAGAGACCGACGGGCAGAATCTGCGAGAGGCCTTGGCGAGATGGGACAGGGAAGGATCCAGCCACTCCAGCCCAGCCGATTCTGCGTCCACCACGTCAACCTCATCGATCAGCCGGAAGCGGGAGATCAAGTCGAAGGGTAAAGGCAAGGGGTCGAAGCGCGATCGCGGCTCTCCGATCTCGCAGGGGGACTGAGGGAGTCGGTGTACCGGGCTTAACTCGCGGCGGCAGGGAAATGTACGATAATGTTCCTAAACGCTGTATATAAAGCTGAAAGTATGCTGTATATAAGGCTGACCTGTAAAAAAAAGCAGAAAAGAGAGAAACGAACGGGACGAGATGAAGTTTATAAAGGCGGAAACTGTGACGAAGTGTTGCGTCTTTCATGTCGTATTCCATGGATAATTTCACGCGAATTAATAATAATAAGGAAACAAAATATAGAAGGAAGTCGGAACGAGTTCTTGTAAAATACTTGGTTCTAAGACTTTCCCACGATGTTCTTTTGTAATTTTTATTTTTAAGAAAATAGATGGTCATGAATCTAAGTAACAAACACCGGGTATATTTATTGAGCACCCTCCACTGAAAGTTATCCACTCTTTAAATCTTAAAAGTTAACCATCATAAAACATATACGATATTTTAACTTCGGAAGAATGATTTATATATCTCAATATATATTTACATTTTTATTAATAAATAAAATCACTTGTGTTATCCACAAGTTCTAAGCCTGAATTTAAATTATCCGCTTATTGACAATTTGCATTTGTTTAACTAATTTCTTCGGAAAAAGACTGGTGCATTTTGTAATTTTCGACTGTGATTGGTTGATTTGTTTGACATTTAAACCCAATGGCTGCGTTCAGCAGAACAAAATGATCAGTGAGCGCTTAGTGATTATTGTCTGTGACTGGAGCATTCTTTTAAATTCTTCATAGACCCAGAAGTATTTGCCAATCAGGAGCGAGAATCACTAAGCGCTCACTGATCATTTCGTTCTTCTGAACGCAGCCATTGGCCGCGTTCAGTAGAACAAAGTGATCAGAGAGCGCTTAGTGATTATTGTCTGTGATTGGAGCATTTTTTAGATTCTTCATAGACCCAGAAGTATTTACCAATCAGGAGCGAGATTCAATGGAAAATCTAGTAATGTTGTCCAACTGTTGAGTCTGCTGAATGCAGCCATTGACTGCGTTCAGCAGAAATAGGCTGCGTTCCGAAATTCACTGTCAGTACTGAAAATACATAGTTTGTGTCACGTATACCATAGAATTTCAGTGCTAGCAGTGAATATCGGAACTCAGCCGTAGTTGCTGCTTTACAACTGTGTAAAATTCGGTAATTTCATTAGTGCATGCTTCTAATCTTGGCTGAATCTAAAGGCTCGTCTACATTAGCTGTAAGAGTAAGGCTGTAAGGTTGCAAGACACGAAATGAAATATTTTCATTCGCTGACAGCTTACGTTGCAGCCTTACAGCCTTAAGCCCGTATCAGACTACGGATTGGGATTGAGTATTGGATTGAAATTTAACCAATCAGGAGTAAGTTTACTATACTTGAGATTATTTTCTCTTTTTCAATTGGTCAGCTATTGTAGACGAGCCTTAAGGGCCGTATTCATAGTCGAATCTTATATTTAAGACCGTCTTGAGTTCACGTTCAGATATTCTGTAGCCAATGAAATGATCTATACAGCATCTGAAGATGAACTTAAAATCTTAAGTATAAGACCGGACTATGAATACGGCCCTAAATCATTAGAAATATATCAGAACGTTGCATCATATGGTCTTTTGCTCGCCTCCGTGACGGTTGAATCTTGTTCTTGTAAGTACACATTTTTTTGATCGTGGGGACTGCGTACACGTTGTCCGTTTTTCTTTCTACTTCATACTACTGGGAAATGGCGTATGGACATTGCTGAATGCTGCTGAATGCAGTCCAGAGCCATATATCGAACTGAACTGTTGCATTATATGCTATTTGCATCGATCAGAAGCTTGCAGAGGTTGTGTTTTCTGAGCGTCCATTGTATCTAAAATATATTTTTGATCGTGGGGACTGCATTATCCCTGTTTTTCTTTTATTTTCGTAATCGTTGACTGGCATAGGAGATAGAGTATAACAGCGCTGCTCAGAGCCATTTATTGAATCTGACCTTGCAGAGTGCATAGAATATCGTATAAGATCGGGGAGATCTTTCGGCGATTATTAAAAGCAGAAGAGAAACATCAGAAGTCCAAGTGGTTTTACGTTTGAACAACGTTTTGAACAACAGAATCAAAATGATGCGTATGGAGATTACGAACGGATTGATACAATGCACCTTTATGTATGAAAAGGCAAAAGTATTGCGCGAAGTATGGCAACAACTCGAAAAAGAAGTGGTAAATATACGACAGTAATATCTAATCGTAATATGCATTTTATTTTATCAATATTTTCGTCATGATATATCAGTATGGCGTATTTCGTCAATCATGATATGTCTGACATGTGCTTACCATTTCAAAATATTTATAGTTGTAAACTTATAGTTATGAACAGAATGTCAATCAATGGTAACCAGAGAGATTAATAGATTTATTTTTATTATGCACAGGGAATTAAGCAGGATGATTTTTACACTATATTTAATGGCCAACTTTTGAATCCAGATGATATCTGTCGTGGTTATTTATCCATAATTCCGAGAACATCTGGTGGTAAAGGTGGCTTTGGTTCAATGCTGCGTGCAATAGGTGCACAAATAGAAAAGACCACAAACCGTGAGGCTTGCAGAGATCTAAGTGGTCGTAGATTGCGCGACATAAACGAAGAAAAGAGACTTAAGTCTTGGATTGAGAAACAAGCCAAGAGAAAGGAGGAGATAGCGGAACGTAAAAAAAGGAAGCTGGAGAAACTCTGTGCTGAACCAAAACACGAATTTAAGGATCAGCGTTACGAACAGGAAAGATCAGAGCTGACAGAAAAAGTCGGAGATGCAGTGGAGGAAGGTTTCAAAGCTGCTGTTACATCTGGTGTAAAGAGAAAATTGGAAGAGGATACTAAACCGAACAAACGCAGGACAATGTTAGATCTAGATATCGATTCTGATGAATTTTATACTTCAGACGACAATGATAGCGATGACACATCATCTACAAAAGAAAGCAAAACAGTGCAAAAATCAAACGACAGCGGGCATTCCAGTGATGATAGTGGGAAAGTCAATGGGAACACAATGATAGAAAGCGATTCTATGGTATCAGCTGATGGTCAGATGAACAATGAAATTCCACCTACAGAGTCAGCAGATAACAAAAGCACCAATGAGTCTCAGGAGAATTCAGGAGAAAAATTAGATTCCAAAGCAGTAATGTAAAGATGCATCATAAATTAAATTAATTAATGGAATTAAAATGGATTTGTACTATAATATAAAGTGTAATTTGTACTAAATATAAATATAAACAATTATCTTTCTTTTTACATTGATTTCAATATGACAATATTATAATTATATTTTATATCTTTTTTAATTTTAGAATTAACTGCTTGATCTGGCTTCCAAGTTGCTCTTGTCGAATGTTTTGTTTCCATCTGAGATGAGATCACGAAAGATGAGATAATATAACTTGTTACAAATACCAATACCAAAACCAATGGACTGATTTTTAACTTTCTATTTTAAATATTTTGTTGTTACAATAATGGTCTAAAAAGAATTCTGCAGTATCAATATAAAACTATAAATATGCATATGCTTTTTTTATACATGAATTGGGATACCATAAAATAAATTATTTCATATAATTATTTGAAATTTTCTTGAAAAAATTTTAATTTTACCAGTCGATGGTTTTCAGTAAACCCCAAGCGTTTAATTCCAAACCGAGCTTTATTCCAATTGCAAATAAAAATGTCGATACAGCGGTAGACCATGAGAAATCATTTATTAACAATTGCACGAATACATATTCCTGCGTCCAACGGTAAAACTCTGAGATGTGCTTCACGCTAACAAGGACAAAATTGTCGGATCCTTCTCGTCGAGTCTTTAATTGTGCCCCGTCTATAAGATTTAATTAATATCCGAAATTAATAATACTGGCAATAAATTTTCCAGAGTTATTAGAAATGCAGTATACTCATATTTCATGAGAGTACTCTACTCTGGTAAATACGGAAATAAGGTTTACAGCAGGTTTTGCAAAATTTAAGCTGCAAGGTCGACATTGTTTTACACAATTTACTCCGTTTAATCTTACGTTTTATGTATTTCTTTTTGATTGATATTTAGCTTGTCTGTAATAAATATGTAATTATTTTGAAGTTTTGGTATAATAAAGTTTGATGTATAAACGTAACAACAGCAACGAGATACAAGAGTCTTACCTACGATAACTATTTTCAAAATTCTAACTATTATCTCTCTTCATTTTGAATTCCTAGCGAGCCTTATCCGTTGACACTTTGTTCGATAGCGAAATTGTCTGATAGACATATTTATATTTTGTTCAACTCTCGAAGATATAATGCTGCTAAAAAAAAAATAACGATAAATTTCCTCCATATTAAAGATTTTATCTTGTATCCTGCAAGAGGAGGAAATTGGCAAAATGTATTTTTCTCGGAAGGTAGAGTCGTCTCGCTTCAATCGGTCATACATCGAGCGATGGATGGTTAATATCATAAGGTGGAGTTGTGGCTGAGCGAATTATAAGTTGAGATCAATCGGACTGTAATGCGCGTTTTGACACGGTAGAGATAAGGTGCACAGGCGCATAGGAGATCAACGAAATAAACGTTAGCCACCAGACCGTAGTTCGAATGTTGCACCTGACAAGAAACGAGGTCCGCGGCTTCTATATAATTTGCGCACAATATCTATACAATGTCGCTGCAGTTTACGGTGAGAATATCCCGCGATTCTGAAGATATTAGCCCAGAGCGTTTTACAAAATTAATATTGACTAGGTAGACGCCGATTGGAACAACGAATTTGTCTTTCAGTTTCCAGACAGAATGCGACATTTATCATGCCATCTTATACTCTTGTGCGGTATCTCCATGGTGTTCTCCACGAGTGAGGGTAATCCATTTTCGTTTCGGCAAAAATTTAAGAGAATCGAATCTTTTGTAAATATTGGGTCGCTTGGAGAGTCGTTTGGTTCGATTTTCGTCTCTTCCTCAACGATGAGGCGGGGCCGTTTTCTGCATTAGAGGTACTCGAATGGGGTGCCAACACTTTTGCGTTTTGTGTAAATCTCATAAATGATGACACACGGTGATTATTTAGGTGATAATTTTTTTTTCCATCGAATGTAATAAAGACAAAGTACGACTCAAAAATCGAATTGAACGTTTCGACTGACCCGTTAGAATGTTAATAAAAGCTATGATCGGAGAAGTCTACACGCGAAAGCGATATTACAGCAGATTTAACGATCCGTATAGCCGATATAACGAAACATCCCAACTGGATGCTGCTGGAACACACAAAATGCGGAAATTCCAACAGCGATCGTATTATCGGTGGCAAGAATGCAAGCCTCGGCGCGTATCCTTGGATTGCGAGAATTGGTTACAGCGGTCCTAGCACAGGCGGCGGATTATCCTACAGGTGCGGCGGCAGTTTAATCAATCAACTGTATGTAGTCACGGCCGCCCACTGCGTAACGAATCTGCCCGACAGGTATTTCAACTTTATCGCTAAAAAGAGAGAGAGAGAAAGAAACATGGAGATAAAATATCTTCACAACCACGTCATCGATCGCTCGTTGAACACTCGCAATATTTAACTCGTGTAAATTGGAAGAATTCTCGTAGATAGTTAAAATAACGACCAACTATTAATTTCATATAATTAAATTATACAGAAATACAATTTTTTATTGCTTTGCGTTCAAACTCTGATTCTCACTTGTCTCTTAGATTACCTTACCGAAGAGACGTTACAATCGTTGCGATTACGATTACAATTTGCTCATTTTCATCTCACTTTATCGAGTTTTAATAGAGCGGCTGAGTTGTTGTACGTATGCTATATAATGAAGCGTGCTTCCTCCAAGTTTCAAGGTCGGTGGGATTCGTTTGGGTGAGCACAATACTCTGATTGATCCCGATTGTGAGGACAACTATTGCGCAAAACCGGTGCAAGATTTTCTGCCAGAATCGATAATCATCCATGAAAATTACGACAAGCCGCCATATAGGAACGATATAGCTATTATACGGCTGGAAAAACCGGCGATTTATAACGGTGAGTGTCGACTAGCTGGCGAGAAATTTCGATCGATCGGTCTTAACCAACATGTATCAACAAGTGTAGCGAAAGAAACATATCACACCCATGGTCTTTCCTGGATCGAGTCTCCAGTGATCTTTGCTCTACTGAAGCAGATCGTGCGTAAAGTTCCCCGCGTGTAATTTCGAAGAACAGATTAGAGCCTTTCTCTTATTCGTGCGGTCACGACCGACGTCAGTTGTCAGATTCCCGAAAGTGAATTAATTTTCTGCTGTAATATGCAGATCACGTGAGGCCGATATGCATAATGAGCGGCCAACTCCTGGAGAAGGACTTTGTCGGCGAGATGGCGGAAGTCGCTGGTTGGGGGATATACGATATCAGTAAGGAGCTTCCGCGGTTATCTGTGTATTAATATCAAGTAGTACTTCCCGTCTTCAAGTACCTACATTCGCTTTCCTGTTATTCTCTTTGTTGTGTGAAACCTGCGTGAAAAAATCATCCGCTTAAAAATACGCACAGACTTTATCATGACACTAAGCAGTCTTTAGCGTACAATTCAATGAGTTAAATTTTCATCAAAAGTACTTTACATTTCTCCTCCAATCATCTCGAAAAGAGCCTCTCTTTGCCAGCCGTCCCTGCTCGCCGTCTCCCGTTTTAAAGCTACCGCATGGATTAGAAATCGATTCGTTATCGACAGACGACCCGAAGCCCAGCACGATCCTGCAGACGGTCAAGCTGCCGATCGTCGACACGAACAGATGTAAGGTGTCCTTCAGGGATTACGCGAGCATTGGCGACAAGCAGATGTGCGTAGGTGGTGTCCTGGGGCAAGACTCCTGCGGCGGCGACAGCGGCGGACCCCTGATGAAAGTGCAGAGCCAAGACGGGCCGCCGAGATACTACTTCATCGGCGTCGTCTCCTTCGGCGCGAAGAACTGCGGCGGCTCCTTGACGCCCGCGGTCTACAGCAAGATCGCCAAGTACAGCACATGGATTTTGGACCACATCTCCGCGTGAGGAGAACACAGGGTGGCGAGTCGCTCCAGTCGCGCTGAAAATGAGATCATAGATCTGCTTAACCAAACATTTTCTATCTGAAGCAGAAGCTGCTCTTGTCTATTCGAGACGCTAGCGTTATATTTCGTGAGAAACTGATCGAACAAATTGATGAAACAAATTCGTGAAGTTTCACGATGATGATGCGTCACAGGTGGATTGGTAGTTTGATCCTTGAATTTGCTCGCAGGGACAATTAATCAGCAGGATCAGCCGCAAAAATAAAGATCTTCAAACGTAAACGACCGCAGGATTTCCCCATGTCTACGTCTCTCGCTCCTCCGTCCCTTACCCTCCTCCTTATTTACTCGTGAAAGTAATTATGAAAATTACAGAAATCCCGCAATCGTGAAAATTAGAATCGCTCGCGTGATCTTTCGCGAGGAATTTCCAGCCGCGACGACCAGGAAGCAATCGTATTCGCAATCGCTCGCTCTACTCGTGAAAGCGAACGAGCGATGCAGTCGTGCACGTGGGAATTCATTAGACGTTCTATCGAACTTCATCGGAATCCATCCGAATTCAACTAGATCCATCGGAATGCACTTGCAGTCGTTTCCTCATGGAAATGCGTAACCGCAGGATTCATCCGCCGGATTCGTCATGTATAATGTGTTACCCGGGGAAGTCAGGGTGTTCCCAAATGGCTAGGTTCGTACTACACGTTCGCGAACACAAACGCGCAATATTCTTTCGAGTTTATTCTTTCGCCTTTTTACCCCGTGCACCGACTGAATCATCTTTCCGCGGAACTGCGTCGGCTCGCCGATCGATCGCGCGCAACTGTCACGAGATCAAATGCGAAATAATGGAAATAGTACGCATTATACCTGGAAGTAAGAGGATCATGCAATGTACGTTCTCTTTTCTGTTTACCTTCCCGGCGTAAAGCACAAATGCTCACGTCTCCACGTGTACACGGAGTCACTTTTGCGTGACAAAACATGTTAGCAGGAAAGAAATCGCGTTAAATCTTATTTATGACTGTATGCAGGGTGTAATTTCTAAAATGCGTAAACAGCCTGCAGTTACGCTACGAGCGGTTTTTACGTAATGAGCGTAAAAAAGGCACGATTACTGACGATTATAATGATAGATATATCTTCAACTGCGACCGATTCTATTTCGTTTGTTTTTTTCTTTTCTTCTCGATGAGAGAATCGAGGTGACATCAGAATGTTTTCTACGAATTTGCAATCAGTTATTAACACCATGACATCGTGTTGCGCGATCTTCTCAGGGACAAGTTCCTTAAACTCCGCCGTCAGGAAGGAGGAAAACTCAGCGAGCGGACGCGATGCGAACTCTTTGGATCCTAGGAAGTTTCCGTGTTTCCGGAAGAGTACCTCGTACTTTACGTCAGATCTATAACAGATTGATAAAAAAAATTAAATACACGCAGCGCACACACACACATACATAATAATCGATGTATCGTAATTAATATGAACGTAAAAAATTAAACGAGCTTTATCCTGGATCATACAGAATTATATACGCGAAAGGAAAAGAAAAATCAATCTATCTTTTGGTGAATCTACAAGTTTTTAAGCAATGTAAACAATGTATTACTATAGATATCGCCGGATTCTTGGGAACTCGGTCGAATATCGGTCGTTATGAGTGCATTTTTATGAAAAATTATCTAAAATAAAAGTTGTCCTGTTGATCGAGTTCTTTCATGTGGTAGGCCCCAAATTTGGGTCATAACGAGTTATTCGACCGAGTTCCCAAGGATCCGGCGATATCTATGGTGATACATGAGATCTATGGTGATACATGCATATGCTCGCCATATTGAAATTACTAAATTGCAAAAAATTTCAGAACCACATATATTTCAAGTGCAAGTCTTGAGGACACGATTGGAGTACTTTTCAGTAATATTCAACATTTTTATCAAGATGAAATCCATGATTTTAAAAAAAATTGACGAGAAAAAATCGCATTTTTTGGAAAAAAACCGTTATAAATCAATACAAACACGCATTTTTTTATGATTCTCGCAGCGGATTCGGAAAGAGCGACCTCGAAAACTCTTAGTAATGTACTTTGAATTAAAATTTTCGAGCATTTTTATAAAAATTCATAACATTGAAATCAACGCGAAATTTCTGTCCCAGCGGGCATTAATGGGTTAAAGCATGCGTTGTTGTCTTTGGAAGCGGAAAAAAAGGAACGAGAAAGATCGCCGGCGGCGAGCGAAGCAGGAGCGCGCCGACGGTAAAACTCACCGGGGAAGCCCCGATGGGATGGAAATTGTAAGGGCCGGTGTAAACATCGAGCAGACGTCAATACTAATGTCAATATCAATCATGTCAATATCAATCTTGATTAATATTAATCATTCTCGCATATATCTTATTCGTTGCTGCGATTTGATTTGATGCATGAAAGAATCACAACGTCTGAAATTGCAAACAAAATTGTCATCGAGTTATTAAATGTTATTCATGTGATGTAGAACTATTATCTGAAGACAGGAGAGAATATAGACCATAATATTTTTACCTTCTTTCACATGAGATATGATCACGAACTTGCAAGAATATGAACTTTTCCTGATAGTCATTTCTTGGTCAGTCCGCCCCTGCTAATTAACCAACTCGAGACTCGCGCCGCTGGTGGGGACAGTTGTTGACCCTGGTATTGGTCACTCCATCATGGACACCAGTGTCAGTCGATGTCCTGGTCTTAAGAGCGACAGCCATAAAACGGTGGAAGCTGCAGAGATCGAGCAAGTCTTCGCTGTCAAAGTGACTGATCACGTCCTGATCTCCAGTTGACTATTCCTGCCCGCAAAGTAGAATCATTAGCATCGGAGATGTCTCGTTCGACCTTCTTGATGATCTCCAAGTTTCTAGCGCTGTTAGTCGTCTGTATTGATGCGCGTAAGTGAGAGAACTTTTAAGACATGCACATATACACACTAACGTTTAGTTATCGTGCGAATATTGGATTAACGATTAGCTGAAGACTGATTAATTAAGATTCGGCTGTCTTCGCGCTTTCTCCTCCTTTTCTCTTTCTCTCTCTTTTAAATTGTTTTAAATTTAATTTTAATCTCTCTCTTTTAAATTTGTAATCGTACACAACAAACTTCTCTGATAAACTCTCGCATAATCATTCATCCTTGAAATCCAATTTACATCCAAAAGATGTCCAAACTTTCTAAAAAAAACCCTTTTTCTTATATAGTTTAAATTTATATGTTGTTCAAAACGATTCGACTGGCGCTACAGGTTTGGGAAGAATATCGATAAACGGAGTTGACTCGTCAAGGTTATTTGCGATCCAAGTTACCTCACTATAAATAAATAGCATCGGGAGAACAGAAAAATATCCAATTGGAATCGTGGAATTTACATGCATCGTGTATCAATTTTTTAACAAGATATGCGAGATTATTTTCGAGATTTTAATTAATGTGTCTCTTGCGAAAAAATAGCTTTGAAATAAATTATAACTCATACAGAATGCCTCAATTTGCAATTTCTTATACAACTTTTATCTCTCTTTTTTTATAATCGAGATTTTTAATTATTTTCTAAATATAATTTGTAATGAAAAGAGCACAACTTATAATCGCTATTTTATAATTTTTTTACATATTGCAAAAAATCACGCATCGATTGCATTCAAGGTGCACTCACGCATGTACAAACAATAATAATCGCTAAAACACACACACACACACACACACTTGAAGTTTGAATGCAATCGCGTACATTTCAAAAATAATTTTAATAATCGATGGAAACTTAATCGCTGCAATTATCTGGATTTACGACATTAATTATCAATTTATTACACGCTTCCGCGAAAACCAAAGCCAGGTACTAGTTTCTCATTGTGTCTTTTAAATTGTACGCTGCATTATTTTACATTACGTCATCAAATTGATGGCCAGTACTGGGAATAACTAGCAGCTAGTCACGGCGATAAAAGAAGATACGGTGGGATTACCTCTGTTCAAGCATGCGTATCACGACACTTTGAGGCTCACAAATTGTTTCGAACAAACAAAAAAAACTCTCCCTCGGAGTATAGCAATACTGCGAGAAAAAATAGCAAGGAATGATGCGCAAAGTCGATGAAAGAAGGAAATTACGAAAGAAGGAAACGAGGAGGAAGATCCGTCTTACGTCTCATCGTTCAGAAAATAAACATTGCGATTACCTTTGGCTGTATGTAAAGCTTCCGTTCTCTTTCTCCCTCGTAGAATACCAGTCAAACCGGCAAATGAACTGCAACGTTGATGGCCAACGTGGTACATGCATAGCTGTGCGTAATTGTCAGATGGTAGCCACCATCTTGCAGCAATCTCGCGACCAAGCTATCTCCTATCTAAGACAAAACCACTGCGGTTTTGAGGGTTCGGATCCGTTGGTATGCTGCCTTGTCGGTGGTAATTCGAATGTCAACACCCGTCCGGGCGGAGTCCAGACGAACCCTGGTACCACAGGTACAAACCCGGAAGCTACTACTTCATCGCAGAACGACGACGGAAACGATCCCGTATACAACCTGGCCAACAACCCTCTTCTACCGAACGTCTGCGGCCGCGACTTGTCGCAGAAAATCTTCGGCGGCGAGCGCACCGACCTTGACGAGTTCCCGTGGATGGCGCTCTTGGAATACCAAAAACGTGAGTGAGACCTCAAGTGCTATCGCTGATTTTTTTAATGATGAACGTAGTATATCGATTCTTTTGTTTACCCTTCATTGCCAATATTCTTGATGTATCTATTTCGACCATCTTGATTACAGCTAACGGCAGGACGACGGCGTGTGGCGGTGTGCTGATCAGCAAGCGTTACATCCTCACCGCTGCCCACTGTATCAAGGGCAAAGACCTGCCGCCCACTTGGAGATTGACCAGCGTTCGTCTCGGGGAGTACAACACCGAAACCGAGCAAGACTGCGTGAGGGACGGCGAGAATTCCATGATCTGCTCCGACGATCCCATCTCCGTAGGTGTCGAAGAGCAGATCGCCCATGAACAATACAAACCGTTGTCCAGGGACCAGCGCAACGACATCGCGCTGCTGCGTCTCAGCCGCGACGTGCAGTTCACTAGGTTCATCAAGCCCATCTGCCTACCGTCCAACTCGTCTCTTGGTAACAAATTCTACGTGGCTGGATGGGGCAAAACGGAGACCCGCTCGGCTTCCGATGTCAAGCTTAAGCTGTCGTTGCCATTGACGAACAAAGAACAATGCGAACAGACTTACAGCGCCGCTGGCGTCAGGTTGGGCTTAGGGCAGATTTGTGCGGGCGGTCAACGAGGCAAGGACTCGTGCAGAGGTGACTCGGGTGGTCCCTTGATGGCCATCGAGAGAATCGCCGACGGGACTGGAAGGTGGACCGCTATAGGTGTAGTATCCTTCGGTCCGTCGCCTTGCGGCATGGAGGGCTGGCCCGGTGTATACAGCAAAGTCTCAGACTTCGTTCCCTGGATTCTTAATAACATAAGAGCGTAAAGCAGAATATTCTTGATAAATATTTTATATGTGAAGAGAATGTGTGATTTGCGAAGGTCATTTGTTAATGATATTCTTCTACTCTTACTAGAGACTAACGGTGTGTGTGTGTGTGTGTGTGTGTGTGTCGCATGAACATCGTAAACTTATTTTAAATTCAGTTCAAGAGGAACGTGTTTTGCATCCTTCGCGGAATTAATTATTTTCGTTGGATTTAACTTCGTGTTGTTAGGAGTGGGATACCGTTGTACCGTTGAGAAAAATATCTCTGTTGTTCAACGTGATGAAACATTAACCGATGAAGTGATAAGAATTTTTTCAACAATGGCGATTATACATTTCTGAAATTTTGTTTGCCGAAAATAATGAAAAAAGAACGAGAATGTGGCAATAGAAACAACATTACAGCATGATAAGTAAATTGTACATTGACAGAAGGGACCTTATTAAATTGTTCATTAATTTTATTGTAGTTATTGTAATAATGACTAATCGTTTCTTTATCATATTGAGATTTAGAACTGAATAATGTTTTATAAGACATTTTATAAGAGACTCTATAAATATATTCATGTAAAATGTAAAATAGTTATTAATTAGATATATACATATATATATATATATATATATAACACACGTGAGAAGTAGAATTAAAGTTAAGCGACATATTGCTCACACATATTTTATCTGCATTTGTAACGACGTATTTTCTAACAACACATTCAATAAATGTTTTTAGAATTTAGAATTTTACTCAAACGAAAAAGCGATGATTCGTGGAAATATTAAACGCAGATTCATCGTCAAATTAATATTATGAAAATTATTTTGTAAGATTATTAGCGTGTAAACACTAAGAAAAGTATTTTTTTTAATCTAGCAATTTTAAGAAATAAACTAAAATTTATCATGATATATTTGTGTTTTTATCATTTCATATTTTCTATGCCACTGTGCTATGTGCTGCTGTCATCCGCCTTATCTTTATCTCATTATGGTGCAATCGAAATTTTACAAATGTCGTATAAATATCGCATAAACTTACCATCTGTAAGATAAAAAGTTGCAGCAATATTTTGCAATGTTTTGCTTTTATTTTTCAATTCTTCACCTATTAAACATATTGTTTGTCATTTTTCGATAATGTCATCTTTCCCTGGAAAAAACATTGAATTGCAAATGACATAATCTCGCGAAGTTAAATGACGAAAGGATCTTGAAAATATGTTAAATCTTTGAATTGTTGTTTGCCCTCGAGGTTATCATCGTGCGTGGGCCATTACGAGAAGTTGATCTATGTATCTCGTCAGTGTTATCTCGCAGTACTCTCAGTCCCAAGATGCTTTCGGAAACATCATTAAAGACGTTGCGACGACTCTTGAAAAGTTTGATTGTGTCTTTATATCAATTATTGATAAATAACTAAAAGTGCAAAGTTCAGACGGCAATGTTCACTCGTCTTATAATCAATCATCTTATAATCAATAAAACTTTAATACAATTGAATCTTTTCCCGCTTGTTACTGAGAAGACAAAATCGAAAATGTTGTTAGCATGAGTAATAATCACAAAAACAAAATACAAAAAATTGTAATAGACGACTTTCCTGTTAATGGCGATAAATTTGGCGGAAAGTATCGGCTTTTCCTTGTAACTATCTTGTCAATCATGTGTGACTATCGTGTATAATATATAATATACATGACACACTTCCTGTTTGCGAGTATCAAATTGCATAACAACATTATCTCGGAAATCCCTGGAAAGGAACTATACATCATGACGTCATGACGTCAGTAATCAATTATTTTATGTGAGAATCCAGTCCATCAAGTGATTTCACAAGTGATTTTACCTCACGAGTGAAATTAATGCCGTAGATAATCGTGTTCAGCTGCGGATTATCAGTTGTAAATCGTCAAATGTGAAATGCAAATTTAAACGGAACAATGAAGAAATGATGATAAAAAGAGCAACCTTTTCCTCTGCAGGAAAGCTGACTAGCGCGCTTCCGATTTTCACGGAATGACGCAAATTGCTAACCGCAACTTCGCGCTTGACGTTCATGCGAACAGTCTGCTCATCGCAACCGATTCACGATCGCCACAAAGATTTCCCCTACTACTTTACGAGATCCGACGATTTATTTGGCTCAGCAGGTAGTGGAGGGACTAGTCGGTTGCTGGCCAACTTGCAGACCACTGATCAGCACTGGATAAGCTCGGTAATGGTCTGTATCTCGGCGTTATAGTAAATCAGTGCGAGCGGTGAACGTCATTATTAATTCTTCACGAGAGTGTGAGCTGTCCATTCCCAACGCATTACTCGGCGATAACCTTCGGAGCAAAATAGGAAACTCACTGAAACGTTCTAATTAGCGACGAAGAAAGATAAAGGGAAAAATAAAGAAGAAGAAGAAAAAGAAGAAGAGAAACTCTACGCGAGAGGCATATTCGGGAGATTGGCAGAAAGCTGTGCTTTTCCGACCAGAAACAATGATATTCACCGATCTGTTCTTTCTGTTCCTTGTCCTGACGACGATCAGTGCGCGTAAGTACTAATAATTTCAACTCTAAATTGAAACTTTGGATCTAGCTATGAGATTCTATCTTGAATTTTACATAAATTCGATTGTCTGTTTATATCGATACCAGTTATTAATTTATGTTAATGCCAAGCTGGCATCACGTGTTTTATGCAAAAATGCTTCTGCAATTTTATTTACGTTTGTGTCAAGGCAAGACTCGTCTTCGCCTCGGACTGTTTCACGCGACGCCTCTGACAAAACGTATCTCGAGGATTTTTCACGAAAGACAATGAAATGTATTTTTTAGACAGTATGAGAAGTAACGTGATAATAATTTACCTTCGCAGAGAACAAGTGCGTAGATAGGCGCGCCGAATGCATCAATATCCGCAACTGCCCGCCCTTGATTGAAATTCTCAGAGGTCCGAAACCACTATCGCAGGAAGCGATAGAAAGTCTCAGGAACTCGCAATGTGGCTTCGAAGGAAAGGATCCGATGGTCTGCTGTATAAATCAGGTAATCACTTGACTAAATTGTCCAAGATGAATTTGAAAGGAACACTTGTCAATAAAAATGTTGACATTAAGTAGACAGTTGAAATATAAGAAAAGGAGTAGCCAGGATATAAGGAAACTCAGATTAAAGCAGAAAATCGCAAGAATAGAATTTAAGAACTAATAGAATAGAAGAGTAGAATAGAATTTCGAAAAAAAGTGTATGTCTCCAAAGCATGCATTTCAAAATTAATTATTATGACCTTCTACCAATGAGACAAAAGGTCAAGATGATTCATACTTTCAATTTTTCTCTTTGACTGATCATTATTTTCTAAAATAAGTTTCAATTCATCTTGGAAAGTATTATCGGTGGATTCTCAAGAGTGTTTACGTCCTCATGAAATTCTATAGTTTCCTCTTTATTCTCCATATATGTACATGCGTAATATCTCGAATTAAACGTACATACCGTCTTTACGTTGCTCATATGTATGACGATTCGTCGCGGATTCGTCGTCACAGGTCGCTTGATATTCCGCCTAAAATAACATAGAACAGGTTTCTCTGATCGTTTGCATCCGCTTCGTCTTTATTCCGTTATATTCATCGGATTCCTAAAGTTTCGCGTGGAAATCTAAAATGTATGGAGACTGCATTGAGAATATTCTTTTATATTTTAATTAAAAAAAGAAAAGTATTCTTCGAAGAAATTGGCGCACTTGATTTGTGCTATTACAATTACAATTTAACTGCGACGCAAAAGTATCCTTTGAAAAAGTGGACATGTTTCAATTGCGCTGTTACAATTTAACTATTACGCATTTTACGAATGGGTTTTTTTCTAATTTCGACGATTAAATGATGCTACAACTCCTGGAATTGTAAAATTGTCGGATTCATGATAGTAATTAATGACGTGGCATGTAAATGTGCGATCGATACGATACGTGCTGGCACGTGCAAAACGACGTTACGCAAAAGTAACGCTTGAATGCATCGCCTTGAATGCATATTTCCCATGCGAGAAGAAACTGCATTTTTTGTTACCTAAAGCATCTTCCGCAGACACCAACACCGACACCGACGCCGACGCCGCTGCCGCCGGTAACACCAAACACGCAGACCGGGAGCGTTCCTGATCCTCCGAATGTGACAAATCACCCGAATTTGCGTCTTCTAGAGCATCAGACTTGCGGACCTATAACTCAGCAGAGAGTAATCGGCGGCAACAAAACGAGCATCAACGAATATCCGTGGATGGCACTTATCGCGTACAACACCGGAAGAGGGACAGAGTTCCGTTGCGGCGGCACGATTATTTCCTCACGGTACATCCTCACAGCTGCCCATTGCGTCACAACTCTACCCAGAGGTAAGAAGATTAGAACCTTAAATAAGAAATACGAGGGTTTTAGCGGAACAATAAGGAAAACAAAAGAAGGGAAAAAGAATTGCGTAACTTCCTCCTTAAGATATTCTTCTTTCCAAACAGTTACGAAGAATGTTGAACGGTCTTTAAGAACGACCTCTGCACTTTCAAGCAATTTTCCTTTTTCAAGCGTGTTTCCTCGTTTCTTGCGCGAGCGATAATAATTCTGCTTGACTCACTCCTTTTTCAGATCTCACACTGATAGGAGTCAGAGTAGGTGATCATGACATAAGCAAGGAGCGTGATTGCGACACGGACGAGAACGGACTCGAGATCCAGTGTGCCGAGAAGTATCAAGATTTTGGTATTGAGAGCGTCCACTTCCATCCGGAATACATGAGAGCGAAGTTGCAAAATGATGTTGCGCTCATCAGGCTGAACAGCACTGTGGATTTCAGGCCCAGCAATGTCAAGCCCATTTGTTTGCCATTCGGCACTGCGACCAGACTATCCCAGAAAAGGGTGAGACTCTCTTGACACACACGTGTGTCCTCTCTACTTTTTATTTACTGATTACAAAGTAATGCAAAGGAGAATTGAAACTTACAATTATGTTGCTTCAGTTTGCATTTGCAATGAAATGCACTCTTCAGATATATTTTGGCAAGTGTTTCCTCTTCTCCGGCAATTTTTTCGTCCCTTTCAAGACGCAGTTTCTTCGAGGAGAAACAGTTCCTCTTTCAGTTCCTCCGATCTTATGTTCTTTTTTTGTTACCTGATTGCAGGCTATAGTGACAGGCTGGGGCGCAACGGAATTGGGCCCGCGTAGTCAGGATCTCCTGCAAGCGAAATTGCCGGTGATAACCAACGAGCAATGCGCTGAGGTCTACAAGAATACCGTGGAGATTTGGTACAAGCAAATCTGTGCTGGCGGTTTAAACATGGTAGACTCTTGCATGGGCGATAGCGGAGGGCCCCTTCAAGCGCCTGCTATATACAATGGTCCGAATGTGCGCAACAAGGTGCGCATCGTTCAGTACGGCGTGGTCAGCTATGGTCTGAAGAATTGCGGCACCGCTGGCTTCCCTGGAGTGTATACTAGAATTAGCTACTACATGGACTGGATCCTGAACATCATGAGAGACTAGAGCATATACTTCGTTACTTTATTCGTGAAAGAATCTCATAACGCGCGTTCTTAACGAACGTTAATTACGGGCTGCAATAAAGACTCGAATCTACATGGAGTTTAATAGAGTCGACAGACAACATTAATATCGAAAGATTTCGCAAAAGTAGTCTCAATGACCGATTAAACTCAATGTCTAGAAAGGTGTAATTTATTAGCTCTAAACGTTCGAAAAGATGCTCTTGATAATTAATTATTCTACCTTTTATTTTCATTTTTTAGACTGAAATGTCCTTTTATCAGTGTCTTACCTCATTATATATTATATAAGACACAGCGATTTTTCGCGCCATCTGACTATAATTAGTTTAAATTGCTTCGTTTTATCTTGTTTGTAATAAACAAGTCTCGTTATGGACAAAAAGAAAATAGATACAGAGAGAGAGAGAGAGAGAGAGAGAGAATGTGTATGTATTATCTACTTGGTAGAGTGCAAAGATATTTTATTCTTATGCTAATTCAATGCGTAAATTACGATTAATGTATGACATATTATTTTATATGTACGCTTCATTATATTATATTGAATTTTCATAAAAAAAGTTATTATTCTTCCTTAAATATCATAAAAAGCTTTTATCGTTCGCGATTATACGAGATTTCCTAGAAAGTTGTCCAACTTTCTTTCTCTAGATTAATATTTTACTTTCTACTGCAACTTTTTATATTATCTTAAACTTGTTAGATTACAAAAGTATTAAAAATGGTAGAAAAAGATAGAGTTAAATTAAATTTTGTTTAAGGAATGATTACCTGCGCGTTCGTTGAAGAACATGCACGTTCAGTTAAAAAAGAAATTCGACGTAATTTCGGAATAAATACTACTGCAGTTTATTCCCCGGCAATATCGTTATCGTCACTCTGCGACACGTCCTCACGTTCATCACTGCGAGATCGCTCGTCGCTAGAGAATTTCTCATCATTAAGATCTTCGATCAACTCCGCCGTCTCGTTGATTGAGACTTTTAGTGGGCCACGATCCGTCTTCTTCTTCGACATCGAGGCTTCCGACTTGGCCGCTGACTTGTCGGAGCTTCGTGACGCGGACGACGACTTCGACGATTGACTTGAGGATACCAGAGTGCCGGAAGAGCTAGTCAACGATCCAGAATTCGGCCTGGAGTTACTCACGAAGCTCAAATACGAATCCAGGCTGCTCGATGTGGATCTTTTCAGCTGCGGCGGCGGCGGCGGCTTCTTCTTCCTTTTCTTCTTCTTCCGATGGACGCTCTTCGGAGAAGTTTTCTGCTGTATCTTCGCGAGCGACTGGAAGCTCTGCAAATTGCATCGCATTGAAATGCGTGATTCGCATTCAATACATTTAAAATATCTGTGTAACTTCCATGGAAATATGCGTAGCTCTAATATGACACACGAAACTAATTTATCAAACCTATTGTATCCTTCATACAATACCTGGGAATGTCGTTCAAAGAGGGTTGGTATCTGCGTCACGCGGTCTAGCATTATCTCCATCTGAAGGCGATGACGTTCGGCCTGTTCTCGCGCCTCATCGCGACGAAGAGATGTCCTTATGTCCAAGTCCCTCTCATGCTCGTGCCTTGTTTTTTTTTTTTTTATAGCGAGATTACATCAGCAGATGCAACAACGTAAACTGACAAGTACTTGGAGTCATAGATTCAGAATGCGTACCTAGCGGCTGATCTCAATGCCCTCCACGCAGGCTTACGACCGATCAACGTCTCCTTGATCCTTAGCATCTGTTCCCGCCGCTTCTCTTCCATTCGCTCCCGTATCTCGTGTTCCAATTTCTCTCTACGACGAATTTGCGATCGAATTTGTGATTTACGTGATTACGTAGATATCTCTCTTTAATGAAAGCGATTAAAAATGTCTGGCTGTGTCTGTCTAATTCTTCAAATAAAGAGAATGTCTTTTCTGAAAAATATATAACCTCGTTGTAATTAAGTGGCATCTCTCTCTTTGTCTCTTACGATTAAAGTGCCCCAAATCGTCGCTCGTGTTTAAACGATTTCCTAAGCGCAACCTTTAGCTTTCTAATTATCCTCAAAATACGTATTTAGAGGAGTGTCGATCGCGTTTCGGGTCACCCGGTGTCCTTTTCATCAAACTAGAGAGTACCGTGAAGCTTGACATCTCAGAACCGCAGCCAGGTTATTGCCGCGCGAAGACAGCATGGTCATCGCGGACTTGGCCCTCTCGGACATCGCGGGGGTGTCGATGAGCCGCGAATACTCGCTATTGTCTGCGTGAAGCTCGTCGCCGTCGTCGTTCTTCTCCGGTGTGTCCTCCAAATGCGCACACGCGGACTTGACTCGTTCGCGCCTCGCCATCGACGGCGGCAGGGAAGAGGATTTCAACAGTTCGGCTGCCCGCACCCTTTTTCTGAGCTGCCTGAGAACCGTGCACAGCTCATGCTCAAATTAAACATTTCAAGCGCGACTTCTGGTTTAGTCTCTTGTCAGTCTACAACGACTGATGCAATTTTCTTTGGTATTTTCGTAGTATCGACGCTCAAGGAGTACGAGGATATGTGCGCATACAAATGTTAATTTAAATTTTCCGAAAATAGCATACAAGAATAAATAACGTTCAAGGCAAGACTGACCTATAATATTCATCTTCGAGCATACGATCGTATATTTCAGTGCCAAACAGGTTTGTGGGCACCGGCTTGGCCTTGAAGCGCAAGCTTGCGCGGCTACTTTTGCAGCCGAGTTCGGGACTGGATCTCGCCAAGGATCGCCAAGCCCGACGATCGCACTCCAGTTTGAAAGGTCGCACTTGGGACAACAGGTTCAACGCGCTCTCCTCGCGCACGATGCGACTTCTGGAAATTCATAAAACGACGAAACGATATCTGTCAACTTGGATCCAGTTTTGATTTGAAATTGCAATAAATATTTATCATACGAGATATCTCCAGGAAAAACATAATTAATAAATTATGCACTGAGTTAAAGCCAGAGGAAAACCAAACTCTGTGTTCAAAGTTGTGAATAAACGTATTAGATTTATATTCTCTTTAAATATATTTATATTTAGATTGCGAATGGAAAAGGATTACGTAGATCACGAACTGACCTTTCTTCTTTTTCAGCCATTAGTTTGTCGTAGAGCGGTATCTTGGACGTGATAGGAATCGGTCTGACTCGTCGTTTCTTCGAAGGACTCTTTTTCCCGTTATCTTGATTCGCACGCACGGCTGCCTCAACTTCCGTCATATATTTTTCCGCTTCTTCCCTGAAACGAACATAATAAGTCTGTTTAATTTACAAGACATAAGAACGCGGAACATTTAGATATTCTTTACAAGTTTTATTATTATTTGCTTGTGTATGTGTGTGTATGTATTATGCACCTCAGTGTGAAGCTGAACGGCTTCGGCACCGTAGGATGCCATTCTTTCGAGCTATTAGGAGGCAAACTCTTTGTTTCTATACTGTCCTCGCCATCGCTATTTATGCTGTCGTTGCTCTTCGACTCGCTCCATGTGCTCCAGCTCTTGTTAGCCGAATGAATTTCCTTGTTACGTATCGCCTTCGCTTCCTTGTCTTTGTCTCTGCATCTGAAAGCAGCGTTAAAAGTCTACAAGTAACAGCGATGAAAATACTCGCGAAGCAGAAGGATCGATTCAAGTTCTCGTCATTCATCTTTTTCATTATCATCGACATGTTACCTGTAGGTCAACAAGTCTTGATCCTCAGCGAGACCAGCGAAGGTGCCGGAGGGAAACAATATCGGACTGTTTGTTCTGGACTCTTCCAGATAGCACTTCTTGCCGTTCAACTTAAGATCACCAATATCCGACTTATCCTTCGATCCCGAGCTGTCATTTCTCGGGATTGACAATCGTGAAGGCGGGTTTTCCACAATGGCGGCATCGTCGTATGAATTCTTCAAGTTTCGCAGGAGCAATCGTTGTTTTCTCCTCAGGTACTCGACCTTTTGTTTGAACTGCTCATTCGACAGGTGATGCACCTGCCCGTAATCCGGTATGCTTTCCAGAAATTCGAGAAAGTTTTCCAAGGTGTCGCGAGGGCTCGAAGATTCCGAATCTTCGATAGCAGCTTGCTCGTTCTTGGCGAAATTGATCCTCTTATTCTTCTCCATCCTTTGACGCGTGGACGCTTGAGGACGCTCATATGATGGAGTCGGTTGCCGACTGTAAGGATCTACCGGTACTTTGACGCATGAATGGAAAAAAGACGTGCCTCTGTGCTCTGTCATGGTTCATCTATTAACTGGTAATTTTTTAATCTTTATTAATCGTTAATTTTTACTAAATATTTCAATTTGACTGCTAGTAAAGTGCCAAAAACCTGCAGTAGATGGAACAGATACATTCTGCTAAAATATTGTAATAATATTTACTGTATCAGAGAGACAATGTACAACACAGAGAGTCATACAACTACTGCCTATATAGCAATATAGGCAACTACAGTCAGCATAAGATATGTACAGTAAGTATAGACTAGATCAGAGCTCGGCAAAACGTGCACGCGGCGGCCGATTTTCGACTATCTCCGCCCTTCCCGCTATTCCCTTTACCTCGCCGCTCCGCGCGCTACCAGCAAGCCGCTCGAGTCTCAAGAGCGTGTTTCCAATAGTTTTCCACGTCACCCATGAAGTACTATTGTTAACGCATTTTTTTTTTTAAGTGGTATCCCCAGTAAGCCTAATCCACTGATGACTGTAACAACCCGTAACTAATTGAACAGAAGCGAAATAAAATATGTTAAATGAAGAATATTCAATTCGATTTTCGACGTCTTTTATTGGTAAGAGTGGAAACGTCAATTTGGATATTGCATGTAGCGAGCCGCATAAGACGTAAGGAATCGTCGCTTAACCCGTAACTGCTGTTCTCCGGTCAATTTGACCGTTGCACTATTTGAAATCTAAATAACGCGGTTAATTTTCTAGTTGCGTATTCATCCGTCAGTGTATTTTCTTACATTCTGAATGTCAGTCGACTGATATACGCGCAGTTGTGTGGTCGTGTTATTTGTCAAGATATTCATCAATTCCGTTTCCTACCGGTCAATTTGACCGGTGAACAGTGTGCGCGTACTTAAAATGGCTTCACAGCAGTTACGGGTTAAAGAAGAACACTTCTCATTTTTTATAAACTTCATTTTTGAAAAATGAAGAGGCCTACTGGGGATACCACTTAAGAAAAAAACGCGTCAACAATAGTACCTCATGGGTGACGTGAAAACTATTGGAAACACGCTCCCGAGGCTCGAACGGCTTGTAGGCAGCGCGCGGAGCGGCGAGGTGAAGGGAACAGCGGTGAGCGGAGATAGTCGAAAATCAGCCGTCGCGTGCATATTTTGCCGAGCTCTGGACTAGATAATACAAAGACATATAGCAAGTATAAGATATAGTAAGTATAAGCAAGATGGAACTCTGTTGCTCGATCAATAATATAAGCTTATACAAGTCATGATAATTAAAAATTAATTAAAAAACAGGAACCTGAACATCATTTATATACAGTTGTAATTTTACAAAAATCCACAAAAATTTATTTTTTATAAAATGGTAAACTATTTTATTACGAGACTCTATTGCGCTGTTCGTAGACACGCTGTTAATCACCTTCATTCTTCCAGCGATCGGCCGAGTAGAACTCCAGCTCGACCCTGAAGCGGAGATTTCACGACCAGGTCGAGACTTCGAGATAACTGGCCGCCGTACGGCTTGGGCAGCCGTACTACCTGCCGACCTACCTGGGAGAATCAATGCAACCTGGCCCAGTGTCGCCGTCGCCATGGTGAAGTCGTGGAAGTGCTAACGCCCTACAACACGGAAATGAGTAGTCATGTCCTCGCGCCACATAGCCCACCTCGATCGATTCGTTTGCTTAATTCAAGGTGAATGCTATCCGATAGCAATCTACCTCAGATATATATATATATATATATACGATAATTGGCTAATATCTCAACACAATTGGCCGCTTGGTTAATTAAGAAAAGCTGCGAGAACCCCAGAATGAAGGGATACTTGCCCGTTCAATCAAAAAGCTCACGAGAAGCAACAGACGACGCTTCGACTGAATATGCAGTTATTGTTGTCCAATAGAGAGCATGCAAATTTAAACGTTTGAATTTTGTGATGCCTGAAAGCAGCCCCGTTTCTTTTTATCGATCGATCGGATCCATTCTGCTCGATTAATCGATTATTGATGCATTTCGTCGTTAACGCTTATATAGTATTATTTTGTTAGTCTTTTGTTCGCCTCCGCGGCGGTTGGTTATTGTTCCCGTGACTACGCGTATTTTTGATCTTGGGGACTGCGTACGCGTTGTCCTTGTTTCTCTTTTATTTCCAAAATCGTTGTGATTGGCGTATAAGAGAAGGAGTTTAATAACTCTGCTCAGAGCCATATATTGAGTGAATAAATTAATGCTTGTATAGTATTATTTTGTTATAAAACTAATGATTCCAAGGTTATACAGTTCTTAATAAATCAACTTTATTACCGGAACAGACATATAATAATTGATTATGAACGAAATATAAGAATATGAAAAGCGTGTTTGTGTGATAAAGTGCAAAAGAGTGCAGTCGGAACTGCCACAACTGTTTTTCGACGTTTTTCGACGCATCGTTCATGCGCGCAAGATGGTGATCCTCAAGGAGGTATTCTTGTCTCGTATTGTTTTTTCGTCGTTATCGCAAAAGTTCAAGTATATTATTTCTAATGCGGCCGCCGTATCGAAGAAAAACTATTCGACTACCGCGGGAGATGAAGAAAGTTATGATATCATCGTCACCGGAGGTGGCATGATCGGCACGACGATGGCATGTTCCATAGGTTAGATCCTCGCTTTCTCTTTCTGTTGAATAGTTGAATTAATAAATAAGAACATCTCAATTCAAAAGTATTGATTAAATAGGTAGGAGAAAACAAGTGTAGGAAATTTATTTAAGAAGAACAAATTGAACTTGTTTCTATAATTAAATTACATTCAATTACAATTAAAATTACATACAATTTATTTACATTAAATTTGATTATTTTTTGATAATAGTATATGTATGTGCGTGTGTATATGTATTTTTTTTTTCAGCAAACAATCGAAGATTAGAAGGCAAGAAAGTTTTACTTTTAGAGGGTAGTAATAAACATGAGTACACATCACAGCAACAGTATTCTAATCGTGTTGTTGCTCTAAATCAGCAGACTCGTATCTTGTTGTCTAGCTTAGGAGCATGGCAACACATAGAAGCAGTTCGTTATTGTCCAGTTAAAAAAATGCAGGTAACTTTATATTTTCTTCATTATTAAAACATTGAATTAACAAATTCAGCAAACTCTTATGTTTATAATATTGCACTGATGAAGAAAGAAGATGTATACATACATAATATCATTATTAAATTTATTGTAGAAAAATATCCCATGAAGATAATATCTGAAAATCTTTTAACAAAAATGAATAGCTAGATACATCATAATTTATGGTTTATACAATATTTAACATATTACAATTAAAAAGCAATCTTTAATTGGGATCTTTGTACAATAGTTATTGCTTTTATTGCACTCTGCTCCATGTGTTACGAAATTAAAAATTCTACATTTTTTGCACACAGGTGTGGGATGCGTGTTCTGATGCTATGATAACATTTAATGAGGACTACTTATATGAAGAGTTAGCATACATAGTTGAGAATGACTTATTGTTGCACGCAGTCAACAAGCAACTTTCGCAAAAAGAAAATGTAACCACAATCTACAACTCCAAGGTTGCTGATATAAAGCTTCCAAACACATCAGAGGAGTATAGTACCATACAGCTACAATCTGGGAAGCGTTACAAGGCCAGTTTACTGGTGAGTGCTTTATGCAAAGCTGCATTTATCCATTGCCATTAGAAATTGGATATGAAATTCTGATGAGTCTATCAGGTCATCATTGCAAGGTCCTTGAGATTTATCGTACCTTGCCTACTACTACTGTTTCATATTGTCATGCTATTTTGCCTTCTTTTTTATTTTATGAACACTCTGAAACATTTATCTAGCGCGTTAGCGTAAATACACTGTTGTATCCGCATCCTTGGCGATATTCTCCACCTTGCTGGTCAGACTGTCCAACTTCATGCTGATATTGTAGGAACATCTCTTCAGCTCGGTCGCCAATTCGTTCAGCTGCTGCTGATTGCTGTCATTACTGTACATTCTGCTGAGTCTAGCGTGACTTGAATCCACGTATGTGCTCTGCGGCGTCGCGTACTTGACAGTCATCCTGTCTTGCCTTGTTCTCCTCTCGCTTACCAGGCGATATATCGCTTTGATAATTTCTCGCGGGAGACGTCTCTCCCGCGGGTCGTTTGGTCGGATATGAAGGGCGCAATGATAAGGGGGATGTAACAACAACGCGCCCTTTCTACACAGCTTTATTATCCTCGTAGGCGCGCGATCCAACAGTTTGGAGAACAGCATGTTCTCCAAATGAGCCACTAGCTCAGCTCTGCGCACTAACCGATCGAGACCGGCGCACCTACGCAGCTCTTGTATGTCTGACACGGCTAGACCGACCATAAGATTCGTCAGAATCACCGTCACTAAGATAACGAAGCTGAGCAGCATCAAATGTGCCGTGCCCGGATACATGATCGATGCTTTCTTATTGAAAAAGACATCCTCGAACTCCAACTCGCCGGACATCATAATCACCGTCTTCAGCAAGCTAACGAGTGGGTCGGCAAACGACTTGTAATTCTTGTGCAGCACGCTGAAGCCCAGCGAGAAGCCGACTATAAGGCAGACGTAAGCCGCGAGGAACTTGAAAAAATTAATAGACACCTGAGTAAACATTTGTATATAGATGCCGAACATGGGGAAGCGACCGACCACCATCATCAGCTCGATCCAGGCCAGTAAAATCCCCAGCGCTGCGGCGTGATTCTGCCAAAGATATACCGGCCGTACGAGAACGGCAGACGACGCTAAGATCACGCTCCACTGCAGCCAGTTTTCCCAGCGTCTAGCGTAAGAGCAAATACCGTGAGCGAGCTGGAAAAGTTCCTTGCAGGCGAGCACGCAGGTGAAACCCAACACTGGCCAAAAGAGAATGCCACTGAGGTGCATGGTGTTGTTCCATATGTAGGTAACGCCGATATAGCTGGTGAAGAGAGCAACGAAGATTGAGTGGAAGATCAGGCTGAGCAGGAAGAACTTGCGAATGCGCAGCCACTTGAGATAAAGGAAGCTCTCGCATAACGGATGCTTCAGCACGTGGCCTTGGCCGACTTCCACCAGGCAGAGCATCAAGTCCGTTTCCCCTCGGCCACCCGGTACCAACGGCCTGAAGTCTAGCCTCAGCTCGCAGTCCACGTCTCCCAGTTCGTGATCATGCAACGAGATCGCCTGGTCTAACCGCGCTACGAAACGTGATAACACGTCTGGTGTGCGTCGTATGATGAAGCTAAGTGCAGTGACGCCGCCTTTCGTCCGCGCCGTCACGTCGGCGCCCTTCAGCAATAACAACACCACGATGGGCGAGCTCTCGTTCAAGGCCGCAATGTGTAGCGGCGTGTAACCGAACTTGTCCGCCTTATTGACCGAGGCGCCTGCCTTTCAAAGCGAAAGCGTAGGTAGGTTATTGTCGTCCTGGTCGCTTCAATTTCAACGATTTGACTCACTAACCAACCTGTATTAAAGTCTTCACCAGCTCGCAGCCCCTCAAGGCCTTGGCGACCGCGGCGTGCAGAGGCGTACGTCCATCGTCGTCTTCAGCGTTCACCTTTGCGCCGACACTGATCAGCACGTCCAACGTTTCCACGGATAGCGCGAGCGCCGCCAGGTGCATCGCCGTTTGGCCACGCGAGTTCTTCGCCTCCCAAGCTGCGCCGGCACCCAACAGCAATTTGGTGCACTCTGCGTTACCCTCCTCGGCCGCCAAGTGCAAGGGTGTCGATCTCGCCGCTCCTAGCTGCACTCTCACGTCCGCTCCGTGACACAGCAGCAGCTTAGTGCAGCGGACGTTACCCAGACTAGCCGCCACGTGCAATGGTGTCTCCGTGTAAACCTAACAAAGAGTCATGCTCATTCATGGCGGATACACGGTTCTGGTCCCTCGAAGAGACACGCTTTGCTTTGGTGGGAAAGTAATTTGTTCCTGCATTCACAACGTTTGCTACGTTATGAAATCTGTGTCGGCTGTGCTCAGGGGGAAAAGCTGCTTTGCAACTACTGCAAAATTCGTGAACCCACTTGGTTTCTGCTCTTCGTATTAGCTGAATCTAAGAGCGCGCACCGATCAGATCCATCAGGATTTTACAAAGCAACTTTCTCCCGGCTGAACGTCTCTGCAGATCTATGGAGTTTGAAAGTAGTCGGAAGTGCCCAAGTCTTTAGCTTCGATCAAGCTTCATCTCGCTCGGGCTGATCACTTCCCCACCAAGTGCGCGTTTGAATTGGTCGTGGTGAAGGAGCACCTGTGGATTATTGGGACAAGCACCTGCTTGCAGTAGAATCTCCACGCAATCCCCGGCGTTGTTCAGCACCGCGTAATGAAGAGGACTTCTGCCGGATAATCCGGCGTCCACGTCCGCCCCATACTTGATGAGGCACTTGACGGTGGCGACGCAACCCGCCGCGGCAGCGCAATGCAAGGGCGTGCACTTCTTGCCGAGGTCCCACTCGTTCGAATTTGCGCCGTGCTTCAGCAGTTCCTCGACGATTCTCACGGACGCGGCGCAAGCCGCCAGATGTAACGGAGTCCTGGAGATAATAGCGCATCAGAGCACGGTCTCTGGTGATTGGGATTAGGCTGGAGGTTCATGGGACATTACATACCTTCCGTCGTTGTCTTTCGCGGCAACCGAAGCACCTTTGTCCAACAGAGCCTTCGCAATCTCCGTGTGACCTAGCCAGCTTGAAATCAGCAGACACGTGTCGGGCCAGCCGGTGAGTAGTTGGCCAGGGCTCGCGGAAGCTGCCGCCCCGTTTTCGCTGGCCAACAGAGCCTTTCGCATCAACCTACACGAGTAGTAGTTCTACGTTAAATCTCATCAGTTTGTTTATCGCGGAATTTAATCGGACGGAATCATCATGTTACAATCCCTGTCTGTATCCAACGTCTCTATCGTACGCTTGTTGATTTCATCTTGAGTCTAACGAATCTATAAATTACAGGCTCGATCGTCTGTGCTGCCATATTGATTTCGTTACCCGTTTGCGAACGTAGGCAATGAGATCTTGCGATGTCTGCAGTCGGTCTCGTTGAGAGTCAGAGACTGGAATTCCTCCAAAGTTCGTTGCAGAGCATCCGCCTGAAGAGTAAGGATCAGGGAGAGGGCGGCCTCACCCGCGGCAAGATTCGATAACGCCACTTCAACCTCCTCCTTGCTCCAAGGTTGCTCTTGCGTCATCGGCACCGACCGTATGTGGCACGTGACGGACTCGGAGCTTTCCTCGGACGAGATGCTACCGTGGTCCACCTCGTCCATCCAGATGTCCTCGTGACCCTCCTAAATTTCAGTACGAATGTTAAGGAAACGTCGGCGGCGATCATCGTCGCGCGATCGTCGTCTTTCTCACTGACCTCACTGTTGATCACTATCGAAGGTGTCCTGGTGGCAGCCTCCATCACCGGCGCCTCTCGCGTCAGACGACTGCCCGATAATCTCTTGAAGAAATTCTTCCTACTGAGAATCGACATGGTCGCGCGCCTCGCGAAGAAATGGTCCAGATTAAATTAATTGAACACTGAAGGTGTCAACCGCGCACCTACGATTCTCACTGACACGACACCATCTTTTCGCGGCACCACGCACCGAGATAACGCCGATTGACGATGATTCATGCGCGCGACGGTGATTTCCTCTCGTTAGATCAGTTCGTTAGGATCTTCCTGGTTAATCTCTGACAGTACGAAACGTTGATTCTCATGGATGACAGCGGTCATGTCGTTGGATCGGTTCGATGAAATTCCCTCGACGTTCGGAAAATTAATGACTTCCTGGCACGCGCACATCGTCCACACTCGCTCGCCGAACACTTAGCCAACTATTCTGGCTCTGTGTATCCCATGATACCCACATGTGTTCTCTGATGTTTATAAAATAGCGTCAGCATATATTTAGCTCCCATTGCTCTCTCGTCGGCTCTTTCTCTCCCTCTTTCTCTTTTCCCTTCCCTCACTCGTATGTTTCATCGGCGGAGAGGGAAAAGAAGAAATTCCCCGACCGCAAATGCTCTTCCTACGAGAAAAATGTCGAATGATCATCGCCTTATCGTCCGGTTCCCCCACGTCCCCCGGATCCTCACACGTACATTCAGCGGAATTAGTCGGCACGCCAAGTGATAACGACGTCCTTCTCCGAAAGAACTGCAGAACTCGTCAGTTCCTTTAGCTCCTCGTTAGCTCCTTTAATGTTAATTTAAACTGGGAAAATGCGGAAGCATTTTATGACTAAATATTCTGCTTCGATGATTGGACAATTCTCCAAATTGAAATAATATTAGATAATGCTTCGATAGCGGAAGTGTAGAATATTTTTAATGTTAAAAAGCACGATTATGTTTGTGAGCATATTTCGATATGCTGTAACTGTTTCTTGTAAGATAATATCTGCAACTTTGTGTGCAGGCGAACGTTTACGACACGTAAGAGACTCGTGCAAGATGTTGACTAACGCACACAAACAATCTCTAGTATCGCCGCTCAAATGTGAAACAGAAGTGTTATTTCCGTGCGGACTATAAATACAGGGCAATGATTACAGATAAATATACAGATTGCCGCGTTATCGCCGGATATTATCCTGACAAAAACGATATTTCGCTCATGACGACGCTTATAATTTTAGAAAGACGCCGCTGCCAGCCTGCGCCGGCTATGCCCGAATCAAAAGCAAATAAAGTTACAATGCGTTGCAGGTGGGTGCCGACGGTGTTAATTCGCTGGTGCGAAAGGCGATGGGTGTGGTATATCCGAATTGGCAGTACGACCAATTGGCCATTGTCGCGACGCTCAAGTTGTCCGAGGTAATCGATTTTTTCGAGAGATACCGAATCGTCGTAACATTCAGATGCCTCCTGTAAACCGTTTAATTTCAGCCCACGGAGAATATCGTCGCTTGGCAGAGATTTCTCCCGACTGGACCGATCGCGTTGCTCCCGGTAATTGGCCACCAATTCTTATACTCGTCAATCTTTATCCATTCTTCTCGATGATGCTCGATTTCGGACAAGTGTTTCGATTTCGAGTAATTCAACGAAGGATGAAGAAATTGACACCTGATGTAATATCTCGCAATAACGAAGTCGCGATTTTCGAACAGTTGACAGATTCTCTCAGCTCGCTCGTATGGTGCGTCCCGACCAAGGAGGCGAAGAATCTTCTAAAAGTCACGGAAGAGGAATTCGTCGACAAGATAAACGAGGCGCTGTGGAAGGTCTATCCGAAGAACAACATCGTCGAGAGTGGTATGGCGGCGCTTCGTCAGCTGCTCCAGACTCTGTCCCTACAGACCGGTGTATCCAGGCAACTACCACCCTCCGTAGCGTCGATCGTCGAAGGTTCGCGAGCGGCGTTTCCTTTGGGATTCGGTCACTCGGCGTCTTACGTTCGGCTGGGTGCGGTGTTGATCGGGTAAGAAAAGTTCAAAACGAAAGTTCAGTTGCCTGAAGCAAGGGAAATAAGGAAAAGATACAATATTCGATATTCAACTTGAAACTTAATTCCTACGATTCCTACTCCTAATATTCCTACGATATTCCTATCAATTTTTATCATATCCGTATCATTTATCATACCTGACATCACATTATGTAACATAAATATTTCTGTCGTATTTTCTGTCAAATATCGAGTTTCGTGTAGTTCAGTGTAAAATATCGTATCGTTTTTACCTCTTGATTACAATGCAAACGATAAACATACATTCAACGGTTCATTTTCATGTTTAAGGGATGCGGCTCATCGAGTCCACCCGTTGGCTGGTCAAGGTGTGAATCTAGGTTTCGGCGATGTGACGGTACTGACGAAGCTTCTCGCTGAAGCTACTGTGAACGGCTGTCGGCTGAACGATTTGATCTACTTGCGGCAGTACGAGACACAGAGACAGTGTCACAATACGCCGACAATGTTCACCATCGACGCGCTCCATCGTCTGTACCAGGGCACAGCGGCACCCATCGTTCTCGCTAGGAGTTTAGGGCTGCAGTTGGTGAATGCTGTTCCGCAGATCAAGGTAACGCAAATGAGAAGAGATTGCACGCTGAGACACTTCCTCAGCTATACGTATATTATATATTTTCTTCTTTTTTTTCGTGGATGGTAACTCTGCAATGATCCTGCAATTTTGTTTTCAGAAAATGCTGATGGAACAGGCTGCAGGAGGGATCGTTAAATGATCTATTCGGTAAGCATGTAGTCCATTACACGCACTTTTATAGTATAGCAAAAAAATTAAATATTTTGTTTGCAAAATTTGCATTTTGTAATTTTTTATTTACATTTTTTATTTAAATTTTATTTACATCTGTGATCTTTGATCGATCAATATGGTTGGCTCGATTTTGGCCCGGTTTGGCTCATTGTAATGGTATTACGGTTATTACGGAGGGATAATTTTATCATAAATAACTATCTTATCTTTTTATATGATGTAATAAAATTCTTGATTTGTCAAATGCACTTAATTTTTATTTACTTGATTAAACTATTATATTTGTATAATGTGAGAATTAATAATAAGAAATTATATTCAACTTTCGCATGTGGATAAACCTTGAATGAACCTTTTTCTTTTCAACTTATTTCCTCTGACATTTTTTCCAAAGTCAATTTTTATTGGCAATGTTTTGTGATAAAAATGAAGTAATTTGCATGTTGCAATAATAAACTTTTCTACCACGATTAATACTATTTTTTTTTTATATATAATTTTTGTAAATTTGTAATTTTTTTTAGCGTACTTTCATTCAGGTTATATATCCTCATGACTTCATCACCCACGTGGCAAACATGATTCGTTCCTTTTAACTGCACCATGTTACACCTCATGTACTTAAAATGCAATAGATGTATTTCAAGGTTGTGAGGAAAAGAGGAAACAAACTGTATGCAATTAAAAGGAACATTGACCACCACTATATCTATTTGTTGATACATATTCATCAATGAAAGTATCGTACGCTCGACCTGGATCGTAGATGGCCGACATAGAATTGATAGTGAAACTTGTCGAAATTGTGTAGGCTCAATGAGGTTAACTGGTACCTTGAGTTGAATCGTCTGTGTCGCTCGATCGTACTGTCCGATGTTACGACGTCGTATTTGCGTAATACGAATTTATAACCATCACTTTGTAGATTTTACTAGGTGAGTATTTTTTATTATATAATTTTATTATATATTATTATAACGTGTTTAACCTAAAGAGACAGCAAAAGAGATTGGGATTTATTGTCCCTTGGACAAAAGATTGGCAAAGTTATTATGACACATCTTTAGAGTATAAATTTAATGCAAATTTTGGACTTCAGATGACAATGTTTATATCCAGAAGACTGCTGAAAACTGTTGCTATTGGTACACTCGGGCTAGGTACTCTGGCATCCCTCAGAGCTAATGAATATGATATCGGAGCCATTGGAATCGTGCGACTGGGTCGGGCTGCGATCACAGTATTTGAAATAGGCCGCCACTATCAGAAGGAACTATACAACAGTAAATTAGATAAGGTATCAGCAGAATATTTGCAACTGAAGTCAAATGCTCACAAATATGGAGCCCAGAAACTACTGGAGCTTTGCTGCGCCAACAAGGGAGTTTATATCAAAGTTGGCCAGCATATAGGTGCATTGGATTATCTTCTACCTCAGGAATATGTACATACCTTGCGTGTACTACACAGTTCGGCGCCACAATCCTCATTCAAAGATGTGCTAACAGTGATCAAAGAAGACTTTAAGAAAGATCCATACGAGATATTCCAGAGTATTGACCCAGAGCCTTTGGGTACTGCTAGTCTCGCGCAGGTGCATAAGGCGGTGTTAAAGAACGGCGATGTGGTGGCTGTAAAAGTTCAGCATCGAGCCGTCAAGAGCAACTCCTACGTCGACATCAAGACAATGTCAGCGTTAGTAAAGATCACGTCACTGGTGTTCCCAGACTTCAAGTTCGACTGGCTCGTGGACGAGACGAAAAAGAATATTCCACAGGAGCTGAATTTCAGTCACGAGGGCAAAAACGCCGAGAAAGTGAGCAAGCTCTTCGCCAGCTATCGATGGTTGCTAATACCGAGGATATATTGGGACGTGACGACGTCGCGCGTGCTCACGATGGAGTTTCTGGAGGGCGGTCAGGTGAACGACCTCGAGTACATGCGCGCACATCGCTTGAACCCGTATGAAGTCAGCAGCAAGCTCGGCCGTCTCTATAGCCACATGATTTTCATCGATGGCTTCGTACACTCGGATCCGCATCCCGGCAACATCTTGGTGCGTAACCACGACTCACAGGCAGAGATCGTGCTGTTGGATCATGGTTTATATGCCAATCTGTCCGACGAGTTTCGCTGGGACTACTCGAAGCTATGGCTGGCGATCTTGGACGGCGACCAAGCGACGATGAAGAAGTACTGCACACAGCTCGGTGTCGGCGACTACTACGGCCTGCTGGTTTGTATGGTGTCGGGCAGAACATGGGACACCATTGTGGCCGGCGTGCGTAAGAGCAAATACGACCCAACGGAGAAGGAGCAGTTCCAAAAGAACATTCCGAATTTCTTGCCACAAATCAGCACCGTACTGAATCGAGTGAATCGACAAATGCTGCTAATTCTCAAGACCAACGATCTGGTGCGCGGTATCGAGTACTCGCTGCATACCCAGGCCAGAATGTCAGCGATGATGGAGATGTCCAGGTGCTGCGTACGCTCCGTGTACGGCGAGAAGCTGAGGCAATGTTCAAGCAAGTGGGACAAATGTCAAGTGTTATTGTTAGAACGCTGGACACTTTTCAAGCTGTCTGTTTACTATGTGTACTTAGGCCTGCTGCAATTCAATTTGAACAATGCAGTCAATTCCCTGTGGACAAATGATTTCTATCCGTTCTAACAAAATCTCTCTCTAAATTATAAATACGTTTCGTTTTTTAACAAGATGATTGTATGGATTTATATCTCTCATAAATTCTGTTCTTCTCAACTATCGTTTTTACAATCTTTCTATGCATTTTTTAGCATATTCCAATGTTGAAAAGAACAGACTCTTGGATGATACGCACAATAATGCGGTGATCTCGTCTTCGATTCTGTACATAGTAATTCGTTTTGCTACTCGTTTGATCCATTGTGTGTTTACTTGTTGATTGAATTAAATTAAAAAATAATTAAAATAATTAAAGATAACCGTCAAGATTGTATAAACTTAATAAAGATAATTTTGTAATTAATACACATTCGTTAAGTTTTTAATTATTTTTACTATTCTCTAAAAATGCGATGCGTCAAACGATAATATTCGGTTAAAATTTCTTGTAGAAAGTCATTCATCGAAATACGTTTCTTCCGCAAGTAAATAGTACACAAAAATGTTTTTAATATAATCTTCTCATTTTCACTAAATATATATATGTGCAATACAACAGTATAAAGTTTGGTATATGTTCATGTTTATATATTAGTCCTAAGCACTTTTGTTTCTTTGGCTAATCGAAGTTCCTCGCGGAACTCCGTGAGAATCACTTCTCTGTTTTTTAAGAATTCAGCGTACTCAACTGGGTCTATTTCCCGCACGACTTCAATACCACATGTGCGAGCAATACCAACCAACATTTGACAAACTTGCTCCAGTGTCATTAATGCCAGAGGTGGGTCTTCAGATTTAATTTTGGCAATCTCGTATAGATGCTTAAGAGTGATTTTGCCAGCTACATCACCTAAAATTATTTTTTATACTTTACGAATCTCTATTCTTATTTTATTTCTTATTATATGAGACACTGAGAGAAAACTTGATATATAAAAATATAGATAATATTTATTTTGTCATAATATAATACTAAATAATATCTTTGAACATGTTAAAATATTTTAAAATGTAAACAATTATTGCTACTATATTTCTTGAAAATAACACAATAGATTAGAATTAAAGTTGACTGAATTCATAATAAGAATTTGTATGTCTACCTTTTTTTATCATTCCTTTTTGTATACCAGCCGCTTGTTTTAAATAGTATGTTGCTGGTGGCTTATGAATCACTAAATCATATGTTCTATCTGAATGTACTTTGACTCTGCATGGCATAGGAATACCTTCCTTGATATCGGCTGTTCTTTGATTGAAGTCCTTGCAGAAATTTGCAATGTTAATATTCCTCTGAAGATAGAACAAGTTGTATCTTACAATCACATACTATAAGTTATTATAAGTAGTATAAGTATAAGTTGATATGAGATGTGTGTATTTACATTCAATTTCTTCTCTTTTGTAAATAGCGAACAAGCTTTCTTAAGCATTTTGTTAAGTCTCGAGATAGTTAGAGTAGATCAACCAAACGCATGGAAATTTGATAAATGATAATATTGAATCTTTGAATCTACTACGAAAATATATTCCATTGATCCAGTTTACAATATTTTAAAATATTTCCTAACCTGTCCTAGTTGAGGACCAAGTGGTGGTGCAGGCGATGCCATGCCTGCACCAATATTTACACATAATTTTGATGAATGGTCGATTTTTTCTACTACTTTCTTGAGTTTCATCCTACCCATCTTTGACATTTTTCAACGTTTTATAAGAACACTTGCTTGGAAATAAAAGTTCAATTAACTCGTAACCACTCCTAACCTCGTACCAGAGAGAAATCGTTCCTCTCTGCTTATACCGATAAAATTTCTTCATTTCTGTTAAAATAGAGGGCGCACGTGAATAATTTACACAGCGCCCTCTGGTCCATCTTATATTCTTATATTTATGTTTAGCATGTTTGGACAGATGGCAGCATTGTGAGAGAGTGAGATTTCTGAATTTCTGAATAAGAAGAATTGTTTGTTGATCTAGTAAAACAATAAGGAAAAGGTATCATCTTGAATTGTAATTAATGTATTTATAATTAGTCTTACTGAAATCTAATTTCTTTTTGCCAGTTTTTTGGTGTTTTTGTATCTTCGTAGTTTTAACGTGATTTTTAGACGTTTCAACAACATAACCTTGAGATCTAACTTGTTACAAATCACCCAGCATATATTAATATAACTTTGCAGTATTTTTTTCATTAAAGGTACTCGGAAAATTTTAAAAAATGGGGAAACGCCAGCATCAGAAAGATAAAATGTAAGTTATATGCTATTGTTGTTTTGAATAATGTACATTAACTATTTTGTGATTTAATGTTAAAGCAGATATCTTAGGCTTCCATACTTTTTTATTATATACTAGCTGTAAAATCACATACTCAACTTATTTTAATTAACTGACAAACTTGGGAATTCTTTCAGGTACTTGACATATACAGAGTGGTCAACATTATATGGTGGAAGAAAATCAGGAACTTTAGAAACCAGCGAAGAGAAAACATTCAGACGATTACCTTACAACCATTGTTGTTTGAGTCTACAACCTTTTGAACATCCTTACTGTGATGTACATGGCAATGTGTTTGAACTGGAAGCTATTTTAGAGTATTTAAAACGGTATAAACATAATCCTGTAACAGGCAAGCCACTGGATGCAAAGAACCTTATTAAATTAAATTTTCACAAGAATGCACAAGATGAATATCAATGTCCTGTTCTTTACAAATTGTTTACAAAGCATTCACATATTGTCGCCATCAAAACCACAGGGAATGTGTTCTCTTATGAGGTTAGTATACAAGATACTTTTATCTTTAATAATTTGTTGTTTCATTTTATTCCATATGTTTTGCTTATATTATTGTATTACAGGCTATTCTATATAATAGATACTAAATTGAATAAAATATAAAAGAAAAATACCATAAAAATATATTATTTTTCCAGGCTGTTGAACAGTTAAATATAAAAACTGCAAATTGGAAAGACTTGATGAGCGATCAGCCATTTATACGAAAAGATATTATCACGATTCAAGATCCAAACGATGCAATGAAATTTAATCTGTCCACATTTCATCATATTAAAAATAACATAAGAATGGAAGACGAAGGTAAGTTTTCAAAAGCTTGTTTTGAAAAAGGCAGTTGTTACGACTGACACTTTCTTTTGGAAATATTGTACGTGAATACACATTTTGTAGAAACAATAAGAGAACGAAATAATCCAAACGCGAAATTGAAGACCGTTTCGACAGAGACTAAAGAAATTTTAGCAGAACTTGAGAGAGAATACAAACCAGCAAAAACCAGCACAGAGGACACGTCTAAGCAAAAAGCTGACAAATTTAATGCTGTTTGTATATTATCTTATATTTTTATAAGCTAATATAGGTTTCGTCTCGGTATTGGAAGTAACTGAAAGTAATTTTTGTTTATTTATATGCAGGCACACTATTCTACTGGCGCGGTCGCTGCTGGATTTACTTCGACGGTAATGCCAGCAGAGACTACTCATCAAGCGGCGATAATTGCGGAGGATCTAGTGCGATACGAGAGAGTTAAAAAAAAAGGTATATGGGTCATTCTACTATTGTTATTACTGTTAATATTACGTGTACATTAGAATTGTCCAAGTTTACGATCGAAATAATCTCTTAATTTTCTCTCTTTTAGGATACGTAAGATTATTTACGAATTTCGGAGCCCTGAATCTAGAATTATTCTGCGACCTGGTTCCAAAGACCTGTGAGAACTTCATCAAACATTGCCAAAACGGTTACTACAATGGCACAAAGTTCCATAGGTCGATACGAAATTTTATGGCAAGTAAAATCAAAATGAATATTTAAAGTTTCAGACATATTCTATGTTTACAAAAAGATATAATCTTTTTCAAAATTTGTTAAGCTGTATTTGTTAAGCTTGTTATCATTTTATAATACGTTATTACAATTGAAGGATTTGATCCTGCTGTTGCAGATTCAAGGTGGCGATCCAACAAATACTGGTAACGGCGGCGAGTCGATTTGGGGTAAACCGTTTGAGGATGAATTCAAGCCAGTTCTGTCTCATCTGGGCAGAGGTATTCTGTCCATGGCAAACTCGGGCCCGAATACTAACGGATCTCAATTGTGAGTTTCAAATCAATATACCGCGCGCAACCTTAATATGCATCGCCTCGTGTCTCGCTTTCTTTATTAACGTTATCGTTATAACGTTTTAGTTTCATCACATTCCGCTCGTGCAAACATCTGGATCGCAAACATACGGTCTTTGGAAAGATAGTCGGTGGTTTCGACACGTTGAACGAGATCGAGAAGGTAGAGGTAGACAACAAAGACCGGCCGATCGAGGATATAGTTTTGCAGAGCATTCAGGTCTTTGTGGATCCCTTTCGAGAAGCCGACGAACAGCTCGCATCGGAACGTGCCGCCGAAATGGAACGACTAGCTGAAGAGGCGAATCAGAAAAATTCAGCGGACAAGAAAGACAAGAACGAAACTCATAAAGTTTACCGGTCCGGCATAGGAAAATATGTGAAGCTAGAGCCGGAAAAGTAAGACTTTTTAATTGTTACATTCGTTCAGAGAATTGCAACTTATTTATGTGATTTGTTTGCGATATGGATTCGATTTTTCACAGGTCGGACAAACGGGACTCGAACACGGAGTCTATTGCGAAGAAGAAGAAAATATCCCTGACGCAAACATACGGAGATTTCTCTTCGTTTACGTTTTAACAAATTATATGTAAATATTAAATATATGCTTTTTCGTTAGTTTATGATCAATGAACAAGTAAAAATATATCTGTATTTATATCATTCTATTAGTAGTAGGTTTCTTGATTTTTGTGTGATCTTTACCAAGGACCTAACAACTTGTAAATAATGTAAATTATAATCGCAAAATTTGGCTAATAAGAAATTTTTCGATAATTTTCTATCATTTCTATATATACGGAAAACTTTTCCAGTCTCAAGAAATTTGATACACACAATATCATTGTGAAATATAAATTTCGATTATTCTTGTGTACAGTGGAAGGCAAATATATGTGTGCGTATATATGTATACTCACGTACACATATTTGTACACTATCAGGAGGATTGATTTCAACAAATTCTTGTTGAAAAATATTTCTTATCGTCCTTGGCCTTTCGCGAGAAAAATTACACTGTTCTCATGTTTAGAAACCGTCCGGTATAGTACAGGGCGGTCACTGATGGAAGAGACGCAATCGAGCCGGAGCCTCCATGTTTGATGTTCGGCGAGTGAGTGAACGAGAGCGAGCGTGTGTGTGAACTGAAGCGGAGACGACCAGCACGGGACATTTGTAAGCGAGAATCGCGCGTGTCTCGCGCTTCCTCGTGATCTTGACGACGTGACTCAGGGTGTTCGCAGGCGGCTGCGTGTAACTGCGGAATCCTGTGCGTCCTGGGAACGCGCTCGCACCATGGACGATCTAGGTGAGTAAACGTTCCAAAACACAGACGCGTCACCGAGAGCTAACCTCCAAACTCCTGCCTGTCAGGCGTCCAGAGACGTTGAGATTTGTCGCTGGTATTTATCGATACCGTCGTGAATAGGCATCCAACGCCGAGGGTATCGGTGCTCCGATACATGTTTTCATCGGGAGCACCTGTCAAAAACACAGGGATGCTGGAACATATCGGAGTATCGATACCGCTGCGCTTTCGCATTGGTGGTGGTCGATGCTGCAAGATGCGTTTTCGTTCGTTACGCTTATCAAGTGCACAAAAAGACGCTGGATTCTTTATTCCAGCATCAATACCGACGAGAGACGCATCCATCGGGCGTCTTCAGGGACGTGTTTTCGTTTCGACTTGTCAGACGAGCGAGGATGCTGGAATTTGAGTATCGATACCGTTAAGCCCTAAACACAATGTCAGGCAACAGGCAATAAGAATAAAAACAGACCAATCACAATAGATTATTCTTGTAATAGTCGATTGTGATTGGTCTATTTTTATTCTTATTACCTGTTGCCTGGCATTGTGTTTAGGGCTTTACCCTTTCGCACTGGAAGTATCGATGCGTAAAGACACATTTTAGAGACAGACTAAAGTTTGTCGACAGAGCGTGTCGATACCGCGACGTGTTTACCGAAACACGTTTGTCGACGTTGGTGTCTGTCGTTTGTTGTCTGCCATGAGCAGGCGGGGGGGGGGTGTATATCGAAATATCGGTATGGTTACGTTTTCGAAAATATTGATACTTTCAGATATTGCTCTCTTCCCCGTTTCCGTTCTCCGTCCGTTGAGTAGAGAAATCTTAAGTAAAAATGAACGCATGTTTGTTTCGCTCAAGTACTCGCCCTCAGAACTGTTGATAAACATTCCATTCAATTGTCCATTTCAATGGACGAGTAGCCGAATAGTTATGATATCCTCATTCGTTCACAACTCTAATATCTATAGCCTATATAGGTCGATCGCTTATCAATGAGCATCGCTATTATCGATACAAGCTGTCACAAACATATCTTCATTGATAAATAAATGCGTGCGTTCTCGTCCTATGTAAGCTACGTAAAGGTACGTAAAGGTGCGTACACCCCGAGCGAACAAAACATCGAAATATTGATTAATTTTTTTATGTATTGCATCAAAGCGGATCGAAAGCGAATCGAGCGCTCGCGAACATTTGGCTCATATTTGCTGTGTAAATTTGCCGAATTTACTGTCCGTTGTTTGCTGTTCCTCGTTTACTCGCTGTTCGTTCACTTGGCGCTATACGCATCTTAATTTGTACAAGAAACTTTAACTTCTCCCTTGTTCTCGACGGAAAGATACTTGGAATGTATTTTCGAGGAAAGATAGAAAGCAACAAACTCGTCGTAGTAAAAGTCGCAAGCCTTGTCAAACATCAAGGTAAACAAGTACGTATTTAATACGATGTAAATATATTTAAACATCCAGCTGTACATTTCCGAAAATGAAGAAGACTCTGCTCGTCTTGGCATCGCTGTGCGGCGCTTGCTCTTCCGACTAATTAAAACTCTCGTCGCGAGTCCTCGCGTATAAATCCGCGGATAAAACGATCGCGTGTTGATTCGCATTGCGACGACGCGGGGAGAAAAGCCGCGAGAAAAGCTGGAGGGGCAGAGACGATCGTAACTATTATCTCAACGCGTATGGCGTATGGCCTCGCCGTTGCATCAGTGTTATGCCAACTGTACATTAGTTTGTCACGTCGAGCACTCGTTATGGTGTCGTTCGGTTGACTCGCGACAGAGAGAGAGAGAGAGAGAGAGAGAGAGAGAGAGCGCAGAAGTTTTCTGCCATTCATGGTCTGGAAGTGAAGTCGAGGTGTGTGGTGTGTTTGTCAAAAGAGAATCAAAACCTAACCGGGATGAGCTTCGCGCGTGTGTGTATGTGTGTGTGTCCAGTTGCGTACAATTGCTAATTGAGAGAAAGTAATTAACAGCGCATTGGGATAGTAGATACGGAAGGTGCACATCGACGTAATAACACAGAAGACACACGAGGTATCGAGGTGTGAACGGCACTTGTTGGCGCTTCGCCCACCGTTTCGTGTCGTCAGTCAGCTATTCGATCGCGAATATCGGCATCGCGCCTTTTAATCATCACGGATTGCTGACACGATTCTCAATCTTGCTCGCGATCGGTCGCGGACTTTGCGCAAAGTTCGGTCATTGCTCCTGGTAATATTTCGCATACTCTCTTTGTTACACATCCCGATCTGTCGAGGGCGCTGATTTATTATTCCGGGATTTACCTTAATTATTTATACGTACGGCACGGCAATTTGTTACATTGGACATTCACAGCGGCTAACTTGTAAAGAGCCGCTTCTTTAGCGCCGCTCTTTAGCGGCCGATGGATTTTCGCGTTGATAACATAGTAACCCTGATAACGATAGCAACGCTCAATGTACATACATCGGCGCGATAATTCCCGTTGACGTCGATATACATTTTAGGCATCCCGCCGCCAGTCGTGAGATTTTTATCTCTTACGTTTTGTTTATTAATATCGTCGTGAGAGAGAATCCTCTTTTCACCGACTTTCCGCGCCTCGCGTGTTTGTTTATCCGCTCATGCATCTCTTCTCTTTTGTCGCAACGCGTACTTTGATGCTCCAACCCACTTCTCTTTCTCTCCTCTTCCGCTTCTCCTCCGCTCCTTTTTCCGTCTGCTTCTCATTTTTGCACATTTACTCATGTACCTTCGTTCACCGAGAGAATGCATACAAAAAATGTAAAAAATGGAAACGGAGGAAGAAAGAGAAAGAGTGGGGGAGATATTACTGCCCTAAGCTATAATAAACGCTTCTCTCTCTCTCTCTCTCTCTCTTTCTCTTTCTCTTTCTCTGTCTTTTCTCCACGACGTCGCTCGACGCTTCTCTTTCTCCGAGAGCGGAGACAGCGGGGCCAGGACGAAAGAGAGACCGAAAGAGAGCTCTCTGTGACACTGGGCGCGGGTGAGCGCCGGAAATACACTCGCGTGCGCTTCAACTACTCTTATTCGCCGACTCTCGAGACGTTCTCCGCCGCCAAGGAGAGTGCGCGCATGCAATCGTGCGCGGTCGGCGACAAATTTTCCGTACGCGTTTCCGCGTTCGCCAATTCGGACCCCGGAAAAAGTCGCGTCGCGTCGCGGCACATCGCGCTACTTGGCCCGCTTCGCTGTTTTCGTCGTGGCGCAACGGCTAACCCGTTACTCGTACCCCGCTGCGCTCCGTACTCTGTCGGCTCCGAGGAATTTCCGAATTTCCGACTTTTCTCCGAAACTCGCGAGTTTTCCGTCTCGGCGGGTACGCGCGGCCAATCAATTGTCGTCGTTCACTGCGCTGGTGAAGTGAATAAGGTTTACGAGTGCCGGTCAACTTCTTTCCGCGAAACATAAATTATTAGCAAACTGCTACTTGTCCAGTAGATTCGGACGAGCGATCTCTCATCCGTCACGTTGATTTGCGACTCACCCTCGGCAGCAGAGAGAGAGAGAGAGAGAGAGAGAGAGAGAGAGAGAGCTCGGATGAGTTTTACACGCTGTTAAAATTAGTCAGCCGAAATAGCCGTGGTCTGTCTGAACCTGAGTTCACTAACACAGTTAAGGGTCAACCTCTTCCGCCGAGCCGTCGAGTAAATCATTTCGCTTAGCGTGGTGCTGCGAGACACGTCACTCCTTCCGTTTCCTCGCTTCCGTGCGCCCGCGATTCTACATTCTAGAATTCATTAGCCCCTCCCTCATGAATAATCAGACATTGGTCCCTACCAGGCGAATTTTTTTGTACTTTCGCGAATCAACGAGATACGAGAATCTCGAAGCATGCTCGAGCTAATCCGCTACGTGCTTCTCGTTCTTTTCCTTTCAAATTCTTCTTCGTTCGTTTGTTGTCACGCTTGCCTCTTAACGCGTTGAAAATTCGGCAGAAAAAAAGACCATTCCGGTCTTCCTCTCGTGACGAGATGAATTCGAGGGAACGATGCCGGCTCGGTACGGCGGTTCGAAATTGAATCGTTTCGGAAGTCGCGTCTCCTTTCATTGTACCGCACTGGTTAAATTAGCGCCAATTCGCCGTCACGCAACGCAGAACCGCAATTACTTCCCTCTGGTAGGGCTTATGTCACCAGCTCCATCGTTTGCTCCACCATTGCCACGTGAGTGAACACGTGCACGCACGCACGCGTACGCACGCGCACCCAATTCCTCGCGGACGTAGAGGACGTGTAAGTGTGCGTCACTCATTGTGTGTGTGTGTGTGTGTATATATTTACGCGCCCGCGTGGTGAGTAGATAAAGATGGCCATGGACCGGACAATGTACGGCAAAGTAGAACCAGGCGACATTTATCAGCCTTACAGGATTACCATGAAGAAGGGCTCGTCTCCCGGATGTAAGTTCGCTTTTCGCCACATTTCATCAAAATGAAATACAAATTAATTACCAATGGAGCGTCAGTCGCCGAAAATAGAAGAAGAGTCTCTCTCTCTCTCTCTCTCTCTCATAAGGCGCTGATCGGATCGTAGAGTCGTTAATGATGTGCCGGAAATGTAATTTCGAAAAATAAGACCTTTAAAACTATGAGAGGAAGAGAAGAAGAAGAGAGAGAGAGAGAGAGAGAGAGAGAGAGAGAGATTTATAATCAAGCTGCAGGGTGTGACTATCCTTGCGACCTCCGACCGTCGATTACACGCACGATTAATTTGCGAAGCGCACTCCGAATTACTACGTCATCGTTGCGCGTTCCTCGACGATCGACGATCGACGAGCGACGTGCAAATTCAAGGTGAACGCGAACGCGCGCGTAGGCATCTCCTCTTCCCTCGATCGGTCTCCTCGGGGGATCCACACCTCCATATGAGGTCAGCCTCGCGTGTTTCCACTTCCTACGGCCGCTCTCGCGCCGCGCGCAAATATGTAGGAAGGCGCGATAAAGGCCGGTTTAGATACCTTCGATCGGTTGACCGAGTAACCGGCGAGAAAAGGAAGGAAAAGTCGCGCGGTCGAAATAAGCCGAGCCGTCGAGTTCCCTTCGTAGTTTCGTAGCTTTCGGCGACGCGACGTTCTCGCGGCTCTTCGCGAGATCCGCTGTGACCCGCGTGTCTATCTCGAGGAAACACGACTTAACGGTATTTTCTGGAAGAAGAGGGCAGATATAGCGAGCGGCGGATCTCTTCTGCCGACGATTGAACGACAGATAGGGAAACGTTTATTATCATCAGGCACAGAGCAGATATACTTGACTCATTATCCACCTAACGGATCTGGTCTAGCTGCTGCTGCAGACGAACGTCTCTGCTCTTTCGGTGTCTCTCCCCGTCCAACGTCCGCGTTTCTACCCGTCTCGGTGTAAGCACTTGGCGGTGTAGCTCTCGGCTGCTTTCTACGCTTCACGCGGCTCGCTATTAGCGCGCACTTGGACCGTTTCATCAGCGTTGCTCGAGGACGCTGACGCGTCTTCACTTGCGCGCGGCTTTGAGCGCGTTCTTCTAGCAGCGCAGCCTCTCTCTCTCTCTCTCTCTCTCTCTCTCGTGCTAGATGTGGGATTTTTCACTCGTGATGTGTATCGTGCGAACGTATCCGCGACAGTTTGATCACAGCGCGCGTCTCTTATCGGTGTCTCTTAGCGGGACTGCTGAAGGTCCATCGAACGACCGTCGACGTCTCGTCACTCGCGATAACCAGTCCGCCGCGGGGCTATATTAAAATCGGGGATCGTCGCTGACGGAGCGCGGGCAGGGGCAGGGTAACAGAGTCGACGTAACAGAGAGCTTTCGCAAGTGCAGCGGCAACGGCGGCAACAACAGCACGTGGTGTTGCCAGTCCCGTCTGGTACCGCCAGACATCCGGAGCTGATCGATCATCTCCGAGTCGCGCGAGTCCTGACGAATCCCGCGAGAGCATCCGCGCCACGTGCTCGTCGATCCACGTGTCCAGTTCGTAAGCGCAGGCCGACTCGCTGACGACGCGACGCGACCTCGTGTCCACTTTGCGCTCGCGAATGACCTTTTAATGACCGCGTGCTCTCTCTCTCTCTCTCCCCCCCCCTGCATTTCTCGACGCTGACGAACGAGTGAACGGAGACTCAGCTCAGGGACGATACACACACGGGTCGCACGAGTGAATTTTTCAATCAGCTAGAGTGGATCTTGTCCCGGCGACGGTGGAGTATAGCTGAGGTCCGCTCTTCAAGTTTGGATGAAAATGTTGGCTCGGGGATCCACTCTGCGTGAGCGAAAAGTCACTCGGCCGCGACGGACTCGGCTGTCGCTTCGCTCTTCAAGTGGAGTTTCATTCGACGGAATTTCTGCAGAGTGCTTGACAACAGAGTCATCCACTCGGCTCGGGATATTCGGGTGTTATCCTATTGAGCGCCTCGCAAAGGCATTACGTTCAATCTCAGTGGCTCGTTCGTTCTGCGGATGCTCGCGACATTGCCATGTTCATATCGCCTACGCGTCACGTCGAGAGAGAGAGAGAGAGAGAGAGAGAGAGAGAGAGAGAGGCGGGTTGTTATTATTATGTTATTATTATCATCATCATTGGCGACTTTATTCGCGCTCGATTCGTACGACCGAGACAGATGAGGGTCTCGCGATGCGCGTGGAAGGGGAGAGGAGGAGGCCTTCTCGTCTTCTCGTCTCCTCGTCGCTTGATATTCGAGAATGAGGAAAGCGCGACTGTTCTGGAATAGGATTAAGGTGTCGCCGGTCCAGCCGAGCTTCTAGTTCCGCTCTAATTTGAGGTTTATTTTTACCTCGCGGCCGGTTAGAGCACAACACATAACAGCGCGGATTTAGTTCGCTCCGCTGTGATTTACGTTGGCTCCGCTCCGGACGCCGCGCCAGTGAATACCGAGCGCGATCGATAACGCGCGACTAGGAATATATATTTTTAGCGCGATCGCGTCTCTCTTTCGCGTTGCTTCTTCTCTTCTCTTCTCTTCTCTTTTCTACCCGCTGTTGAGCAACCGCCACCTGTCGCTCCCATTCTTCTCTCGTCACTCTCGCTTCGAAGCGATATTTTCGGAGGTCCGGTCAACGCGACGCGCGAAACATGCAATTATCTCTCTCGCGCCGCGCCTCGAGACGAGGAAATGGCCACAACCTCGAGGAACTTGACCGCAAGTTCCGGAGCAGCCGGAGACGAGGGGGATTCGCGGTGCACGAAATCGTCGCGCAGGATGCTTTCGCTACCGCGAAAAATCACGCGCGTATCCGCGTATCCGCATCAGTAAGAGCTTGTGCGATATGTCCGGTGGTAGGATAAGTAAATCTGGATTACGACAGTAACCAGAACCAGAGCGCAACCAGATTGTCACATTGCTCGATTCGGTTTCCCGCTTGGTGCCGTCGTGGATTCGTCTCCGACGTATTGCAGGTCGTCCTCCTCGGCTGGAGGGACAAGCTGAAACTCTGTCTGGGCTGGGCCGGTTGTTCCAACTTGTTGGTAAGTTAAATCACACGTTTGTCTTTGGTTTTCCTTCAATTTAGACAAAGACAAACATATGATTTGACTATCAGTTAACTTACCAAGGAGTTGGAAGCCACCGGCCCGGTGGCGAGGAAGTGAATCGGGATGAACATTCACGGGAACGAATCGAACGATGGAACCACATCAAGCCGAGAAGCAAATCGAGCATTCCCCGCGGCACCGCGAGAGACACCCGAGAGACGCCTGAAATAGCAGAAATTGTCGCATCAGTCGGCGCATTACCTGCTCTCGCAGGTAATTTATTTTCGCGCTCGGGCCATCCCACGACGGGCCGTGCGTCGAAATATCACATTACCGCGTAAGTCGTTGTTCCTCGCGTAGGCAAAGTGACATTCTTGCACGAACGCGACAACAATGGCGGATGTGATGAGACCCGCGTCGCCGATCTCACCGGTTCGTCTGATGACGATTCGACGTCACGCACGATGGGAGCAATACATCAGTAAGTGCTTGGCTTAAGTATCGCCCTGTTGACCCTAATCGCCCGCGAGACGTGTGTTCCATAACGCTCGTCTGTTCCAGTCCGTCTAAGTCGCTGTTGCGACTTTCGCGGTGATTGCCGGGTCCGCGTCGGTCGGATTACGCGAGTGATCTGCTCGGCAGAGCGAGTAGCGATCGCGTTGATCTGCGAAGCGTCGTCTACAAACTGGCAGTAAGCAGTAAGAAGTAAGCGTGTGAACAGTAAGGAATGGACCAGCCACGGTTAATTATTTTTGTCATAATCGACTGTGATTGCTTTATTTCTTACGCTTACTTCTTACTGCTCACTGCCATTGTAGACGATGCTATGAAGGGTAAAGTCGTAGAGGTAGCTCAACGTGTTCTCCCTGTTATCTTGCGGCCCGCCTTGTCGCGATTTATAAGCGAGCGATTTACGTGCGTTTACGCGCAGCGTGCAATATTGATGTCCGACTCGCGACGGTATGAATCAGCCGTGCAAAATAGACCTCGATAAGCTCGGCCGGCTCCGTGCCAATGTTAAGTCCCATTCAGACGATTACTCAACGCGTTTTACTTCTGCGCGTTGCGAGGCAAAAGGGATCGCATTGGCGGGCACAAACTCGCGCGGTGAGGGTCAAACTCCGTGCGCGAAATCGCGCGTGTTGAGCGGAATTTTGAAGAAGGGTCGCGCGGATTTCAGACGGGACGGACAGTACTAAGTCGCAAATACAAGGCGTCTCTCATAGCCAGGATAATGGCGCGATTCTTCTTTTTCTGTTTCTTTTCTTTCAATCGAGATTCGTCGTTTCATCGTGCCGCATCACACGGGAAACAAACTCTCCTCCTGCGGGCCGATTTTTTCTGTCGGCTGGATACTAGAAGAGAATTCGCAAGAGTGTGTGTGAGAGAGAGAGAGAGAGAGAGAGAGAGAAAAATGTTTTCGATCGCGATAACAGAGATATCGCTCGCGCCTCGTCATCGAGTTTTCATCCAAAGTTCTGCTGCGCAAATAAAAATGTTCCTTCAGCGTGCGGCTGCAGAAAATCTTACTCCAATTAATAACACGTCGCTTTGGTTGATTAATTCACAACGGCGCGCGCGCGCGCGCGCGCATCCGCTCCAGGTTCTGGCGGCTGAGAGGTTTCTTCGGCTCTATCAGTTTCTTCGAATCCGCAACCTGACGAGCCGCATCTCTCGGTGCAGTCTGCTTCCCCGTAATCGACCAGCTGCCCAGGTCGTTTCTTCCTAGCACCGCAGCTTCCGACCGCCGTCCGCGAATGCCCCACCATACGTGCCTCCTTTCCGCTTTTCCTCCTCTCCAGCGCCGCCTCACCTCCTCCTCCAGCGGTAGCTCGCTTTCGGTATCGCTTTCTCGCGAACTTCAATGACAATCAGTACCGTTCCGTCGATGCTGATGCACGTCGCGTTTTACGCACGCACACACACACAAGCGCGCGCGCGCGCGCACGTACGCGTGAGTTTCCTCAGGTGCTTTCTCGCGTGGAACATCGCAGGACGAACGCGTCCGGGAAAGAGTGCGCGAGAATCCTTCGCGAGCGGGAAGAAGGCGCGCGCGCGCGCTTGCGGCGACGGGAAAATTCGCTTTTTCCTTCGTCGTTGCGCCGTCAGTCATTCCGATCGGCAGTCAAATAATGCGACGTCACTTTCGCGATGAATTTCGCGAGCGGAGCTGTCGCGAGAGACAGTAACAGCCGTCGCGGAAAATTTCGCTGCATCTCGCGAGTCGTCGAACGATACTTACCGCGACGAGTTACAACTCGCTATCGGGACGTTCGATCAGTCACGCTCGCTTCTTTGCATAACTCGTTTCGCGACGCGACGATGCCGACGCGATGATACAGCGGTAATACAATAATAATTCGAGACATGTGCGCAATTCCCGGACATTCGACGACGACGACGACGACGACGACGACACGCAGCTCGGGATAGATCGAGTCGCTCGCGTTTCTTATCGGCGATCAATCTCTAACTCTCAACATCCGACGGAACGTCTCATGTCGATGTGCGATCAAGAACATTGAAATTACTCGCCGAGACCGATCGATATCGCGCTTATCGCGCAACTGTCGCGCAACAATTGTCAATATTTTCTCAGCTTTCATGATGTTCGCGTCTCTTGTAATTTCTTGTGATTCTCTTGTAATTTCTTGTTTCTCATATGTCTCGCTCTTCCTCGCAGTTGTAGATAAAATCGAGATAAATTTGCCGAGAGACGGTAGCTGATTCGAGCGCGAGAAAACGAGAAAGAAAAAATCGCTCGATCAAGGACGGAGGATATTCGCGCGCAGCGCATCCGGAAAGGACTTCTCCTTTCGACTCGTCGTTCGCTCGGAGGATTTGTCCGTTGCTCGTGAACACTTTCTCCGGGTGGCGCATTTTTGCGGGCCAAACTCGCCGAACTCGGTGCTGAGACTCGCGCTCGTCGGGGTTCAACGTTCCTGAAATAGTGGGTGTGTCGAGTGAGCTGAGCTCTCTCGCGGTCGCGATGGAGTCGCGGTGCGCGCAAGTTCCCGAAGAGGAGAACCTGTACCAGGTGTACAATCACGAGAAAGCTACCAGTAACCTCGTTACTCTCGGTAAATACAAGTTTCCCCCTCCCCTCCCCCGATTGTCAGACTTAGGCGAGTCTAACTAGGTCCGGGCTTTGGTGTCCGATCTTCTCGATTTCAATGCTCGATTCGCTCTGCGTGCAATCGCGATCACAAGTACCGGCCACTTTTGTGCCACTCAACGTCGCTCTTGCTCAAACAATGTCGCAACCGTTCCTGCAAGTACGATAACGAAATATTCACCTCGAGATCCGAGGCCTCCTCTCGACGGAGGCCAGTTTGTACGTTTGACCCGCTTAACATGCGATCATAAAATATGAATTAACTGCAATCTCCAAAGCGTTGTCACATAAAGAACCTCCGCAAGAAAGGTCCATCTTTTTTCGCCCGTTTTTCGGTCCTCGATTTTGGAGTCGAGTTTTATGCCAAAAGCTAGTTGATGATGAGACATTAATTACAGAAAAGTTTTATGTTGAACATACGATTGGTTTCAAAGGTGTAGAGGGTCACTAAAGTGGTCACTACCTATTAAGATTAAAGTATGACACTAATAACGCTTTATCGCACGAACTTTTTCGTGCAAAATTCGGTATCTATGGATTCCTTGAGTTGCTGATTATGAATCTGATGTCAGATTTTAAAAATTCAACATGGCGGGCGGACACACATAGTGAAACAATCATTTACTTTTATTGGAACTGTTATGTTGTGGTTTTCTTGGCTAACTGATTGCGAATTTTCTATTAGGTTTTCGAAAGTAATTTTTTCTCAACGACAATTTTTGAGCGGAGAGTGTATTTTTTTTATTGTTCTTCATAAAAAAAAATTCAAATTGATACGTTACACGACGCATAAAGGATAACATGATAGTTTTATTTGTTATATTTAGAAGCTTTTTCATTCCCGTGCCTAAGCAATTTCCGTGACTCTTTATAATTATATATCATTATATCCAATAATACAAAAGTTATCTAAAAATTCAGTTCTGAAGTTATCGGTTCTTAAATATTGAGTATTATAATTAGAGGAAAACATTACACTCTTTGTCAAACAAGACTCAAATGAACACAAATGAAGATAAATGTAAATCTGATGGAAAATTCGCAGTCAGCTAGCGGAAAGAACCACAACATGACAGATGTTCTAATAAAAGTAAATAATTGTTTCACTATTTGTGTCCGCTATGTTACGTACATTCGCTTGAATTTTTTAAATCTGACATCGAATTAGTAATAAACAAGAACCCATATCAAAGAACCCGTAGATACTGAATTCCGCAAAAATTCGTGCGATGAGACGTTATTAGCGGCAAACTTCCTTAGTAGGTAGCGTGACCACTTTGACCCTCTCTATATCTCTGAAACCAATCGTGTGCTCGATGTAAAACTGTTTTGTGATTAATGAAATGTGAAAAATATCATGAGCTATCATTTCGCATAGAATTTAATTTAAAAATCGGCGACTGAAAAACGGGCGGAGGCACTCTTTGCGGAAGAGGTTCTTTGTCATTCGTACGTGGACTCTTACATGGACTTGCCGCGCGAAAGGTGATGTTGGCGCGAGGCGCCCGCCGGCGGATAGTCTCTCGCGACATTTCAGATTAAATAAATGAAACGTGTGTCGCGACAATATCATGCGCGCCTGCCAAGGACATCCCGGCCGAAGCGGCCGGGATGGCGTCATCGTGAAACAATGTCGTGACACTTCCTTTTTCACATGCGCCAGCTCGAAATGAAATAAGTGAGCTCGATTGATCCAGCAACGGCGTCAGCTCACTTTCGCCCAACGCGTCACTCTCCAACCTCGTGCAACGACATTCGGTTCGTCGTCGGGTCTCTCGATACGTTTTAATTGATATTACTTAAACGTTAAAATTGCCAGCTTGAGCTCGACCGCTCAAGCGGGGGGCATGATGTTCTATTAATACGCAATACAATACGGCCCATCGAGCGCGGAAAGATGAAATTGCCGAGGAACACGGTGTCGCGTTTATATTTCCCCGAAATAATCTCTTCTGTTTGTCTCTCGTATGCGCGATAGTGAGGCAGTCTCGCGCGTAGCGGCTGTTTGCTCTGTTTACGTTACAAAAGTGAGAATCGACATTAACGGTGCGCTCTGGTTAACGGAAAGCTCTGGAAATACTAGAGTGCTTCTCCTCGGTAAATTTAGGCTGGTATTCATAGTCGGATCTTATATTTAAGACTGTCTTAAGCTTGCAACAGTAACTGTACTCGTCTTCAGATGCTGTACAAATTATTTCATTGGTTACGGAGTCTCTGAAAGTGAACTTAAGTCGGTCTTGGATATGAGACCTGACTATATGAATACCGGCTTTAGAGGTGAAATAAAAGTAGCCACGTGCGTTCCACTCGACTACTCGTATCTCATGAGAGAGAGAGAGAGAGTCTCTCTCTCTCTCTCTCTCTCTCTCGTCGAAATCAACTCAAATGTCATCGAGCAATTGATTCGATCACAGCTCGACCTTTCTTCCGATTCACGTTCGGGGCGTTTGTACGGAATAAATTATGATCGATCGATCGACCTGTGCTGTTTCAGATGCGCTGCTGGCGGACTTGCAGAACACCGTGTCGTCGGAAGGGAACCACGTCGGCGGCGGCAATGCGACTCCCGGTTACGGGTCGCTGAACGGTGCGCGCATCCATGCGACCGGCGGGTATAGATCCTACGACAGTCGAACCTCGCCACTGCCTTCGCAATCGGTATGTCGACTCTCGATTTTAATTACGACACTAATAGGCGGGCATTAATCACAAAAAGAGAAAGTGTTTCACGAGTTCGACTCAAGCGAGGGTAGCGAAGCGGTAATCGCTACCGACGATAAGACCCTCGACGGAGAACGTCGAAGTGGGGCTTATCGACGAGGTAGGAGATACGCCGTTGCTGAAGAGACCACGCTCTGTCTGTGTGAAGCCACGCTCGGGGCTCGTCAGATGGAGCCAAGTGCTGGCGAAGTCTCGACGGCGATCGCTCGGGAGGCGGCTTTGGAGGTCACGCTTGAATCTTCGCGTGTCCCCGAATACAAAACGAAACGACGACGACGACGATAAGTGATGGCCAGAAGCGAGCGCGATTTGGCGATGCCGGCCGGCCGGAGATTCTCGATAATCGCGCCGTGTGACATAACGAGCGCACCTGCTCAGCGTTATTCAGATCGGCGACTGCGATCAAATCTGTTTTGCGCTCTTGAATCGTGCGACCTTTTCTTGATTGATTCACTCGGTGAACAAGAGCTGATCTGTTAGCGCTCTGTGTGTCTCGCTGGCAGTACTGCATTTAATTAGGCGAGCCTCTTTTCTCGAATTGTTCAAAATTAACTTTTTGGCACTAACAAGCTTTCGCGATTCCAGTCTACAAAATGTCCCGAAATAGAACGATCCGACGTCGTTGCCGCGACGACGAGAGAGCGACACGACGGTAATCCATAAATAAACCCATTCGCCAACGGAGTTAATAACTGTCGATACACGATGTCGGAGCAGATGTAACGCGGCCTCGTCCGCCGCGAGTAATCGTCCGTGGCCGCTTGTCAGGGCCAAAAACGCCGTTTACGTCCGTACCTACGCGCTCGAGTGGTTTCTAATCCCCCGCCGCCCCTCCTCCCCCCCCCAGATTCCAAGACGAAGCTCGCTGATCGAAAGTGAGGAAGAGGGAGAAGGAGACACGTCGAATTCCGAGCGAACAATTTCAGCTGAAAGCTGAAATCATCTTCGGGCGAGATCCGAGATCTCGAGGCGAAGGGGAGAAGAATCGTTTTCCTCCTCTATCTCCCTCTCTCTCTCTCTCTCTCTCTCTCTCTCTCTCTCTCGCCGTCTCGCCGCTGATTGCCGGTTGTTGTTTTGAAAAACGCTCGAAAATCAAATAAAATTCGCCGTTGGAAATAGCTCTGACGCAACGGCGAGGGCTAAAATTAGAATCAATATCGCGTCTAAAATTGACTGGTTCGTAGCATCGCGCTACGGCGCAAACGTCGAACGTTCGGCGCGCGCCCCCGGCAAGCAGATCGCGTATAAGTCGGGGAAAGAGTCTCGAGTTACTTCGTAATATTTATTTTCTCTGGACGGAGTCGCGCGGCGAGGAGAGAGCGCACGTCCAAGTACACACACACACACACACACACACACACACACACACACACACGAGTCACAAGAACGCAAAAAAAAAAAGAAAAAGAACTCGCTCGTCCGCGACTCCGTTATTCAGCTAATAAGGCGAGTTCTGTCGAAGCGCGCGAGCCACGCGCGGGAATCCACTCGCGCTTACCGATTCATTCTTGAACGCGCAACGACAAATTCAGCACGAACGTTGTCTTGCCCGCGACATGATTTTTCGACCTTCCGTCGTGTCTAAAAATAAGCGCGCCGCTTATACTCTCGAGTCGTAATAAATGTATCGTCGCGAAGCAGCCTCGTCGTTTGTCCGGCGGCCATGGGGACGTGCGCGAATGAAAAAATGAAAGACAGATAAAGAAAGAGATAACAAATCCGCGTGCTTCCCGGTCGAGCGCGTGGAAAAGTCGGGCATAAATCCATACGCGTCCTCACACGAACACACACGCGTGCGTCGTGCCGCGCGAGTTTTCCACGAGGAAGAACACCTGTTACGTTCCCGGCCGATGGTATCGATCCTCGGCCGGCCTAGGACAGCGCGATTTCTATTATTCATGCTCGCCGACTCGTCGTCGACTCTCGCGCGAAATTCGCCCCTGGCGAGAGCGAGCGATCGAGCCGACCGATCGACCGACCGACCGACCGACCGACCGCGCTGCGCGCGGAGAAAGAAGCGCTCGGTATTGTCTGGGAGTGTGATTGTACAGTGAAGTAATTACACAGTCGGGAGAATCATTCCTCCTCCGTCGCGCGCAATGTCACTTGCTTCGCGGTCGATTATGCTCAGCCGCATCGATTGCTATCGTTTACGCGGAACGGCGAAGGAGAGCGTTCTCCGTGCCGGGTGAACGAACCCGCTGAAAGTTCAGGTAATCGTTGCCACGACGCTCGAATGTGGCGTACACAGTCTCGCAACTGTTTAAATTATTTATACAACGACCCGGGGTGGTGACCTGGGTGTGTTGTTGAAATTGTCGAGAGGCTCGACACAGCGCAGAGCAGCATCAAGCGCGCGCTCATGCTCTGTAGCGAGTTGAACGATTGTTCTTCTTCTTCTTCTTCTTCTTCTTCTTCTTCTTCTTCTTCTTCTTTTTCCTCTCCTTCTTCTTCTTCCCGACTAGAAATTTTGATCAGGTTCACGTAACGTTGATTGATAAGGACCTAATAGAGTGAATGAAAGGTAATCCTAAGTACCAGTCAGTCCTTATAATGTCCTAACGACAAATGAGTAAGAAAGACCTTTATAAGGTTATAGTGTTCACATTAGGACCTTAATATACCAACCTAGTGTATGATATAATATGGTTCAGTTAATCAGTCAATCCTTTGTACCTAATACGATTTGCATTATCAAGTTTTAACAAAACAATTTTTCAAGGTGTCATTTTCAAATATAAAGATGTTTGCATTGAAAAAACACTTCAGATCACTTGAATATATTTGTAAAATGCTATAGAAACTATCCTTTTCTTAGCAGTCAATAAATAGTTGCAAAATTAACGTGACATGCAACTTTTCTCTTTAACACTACTTTATGTCTTGTCACCTTGTGATACTTTGTGAACTTATGTTATTCATTTTATGTTTCTTTTCCGAAACATTTTACAAGTATGCTCGAGCGATCTAAAATATTATTTCATGCAAATATCTTTTTATTTGGAAATGACATGAAAGAATTCTCAGCGTGCCGTTCCTTATTTCTAATATCATCATCCAATATAGCCGTGGCGAGTAATCAGGAGCCATAATTTGAAAAAAAAACGTAATGAGGATTCCATAAAGTAATTCAATAAGGACCTGGCTATGAATCCTTACTAAGGTCCTGATATCCACGCTGCGTTACATGATTTACTAGGACCCGATAATATTACCTTATTGGGACCTGATGTCCAAACGAGGTTAACCTGATCAAAACCATGGGATAAATTTCTAGTCGGGTTTGTCTTCTTCTTCTTCTTCTTCTTCTTCTTCTTCTTCTTCAGCGTCCGCTCGCAAAGAATGATTTCGCCGTCTAATTTTCCGTCCCATGTCGTCCAACTCGCTCTGACACTGAGAAGATCCTCAGGTAACGCGTGGATAGACAAGGCAGGAAAAATAGCCGCACGTTCTAAGGGTGGATACGACCGTCGTTCAACGACTGACGAGCACATTGACACCACATGACGCTCGGTATTGTCGGCAGCTGTCTACTTTGCGTTTTAATAAATTGCGGCCGCATAAATCACGACGCGCGCATTACTCTGCGCCGCCAGGCGTGTTGTGTTAGGCAGAAGATCTGTCGTCGAGTTTGCTGTCTGCGATCACGTCAGCCTCGGACGCGGATCGCAAGCTGCGATGCGATCCAATTTCACACAGAGCGTCAACTATTTTCGCGACGCCAATTTGGCGAAAGTGTCAACGGGCTTATCACGCCGAGTCGCGGTGAAAAAAACTCCGCTCCGATTTCCCGCGGATTTGTCGTCATTTTTTTTGCCCTCCCGACGATGAGCGATAGTAACAAAATACGTGATAGTAACGTTTCTTCATTGCGAAGATGAATTTCCCGACTGTAGTTATTGCTAGTTGTTCCGTCGTGTAATTGTTATTAATAGTGTCGCAAATGACCAATTTTTTTCCCACCCTGTATCGCGGTTATATTCGATTGAAACTGAAACTTGACGTGATTAGACGGAAACCGTGCGAGTAACTTTCCTCGTTGTCGATTACTCATTGTGTCATGGCGATTTCACGAGTAATAACGCTTCTTACCGGCCGGAGTGCCAAAAATCTCGTTGGCGAGGCGAAGGTCGCGGCTGTCAAGCTTTCCCTTTGACGCGGATTTAGCTTGCGCGCGTGAACGATTCCAGACGCTCGCACTGCGGACGCTCGAACTGCAGCCCGTTGCATAAACCTCGCCGAATGTGGTAACAGCGCGAGCACGTGAGCGTGAAGAATCGCGAGTTCGCGCGGATGTGGAACATACGCGCGATGTGCAGCGAGGACGCGAAATGCGCAATTGCGAGATGTCGGAGTCGCAAGTACCTGTGACTGTAATTGCGAAAAGCGAAACAGTCAGCATCATTCCGGGCTGATTATGTATTATTGTAATAACTTTTTTTAAAATATCAAGACCTAAAAAGTGGGACAAAATTTTCCTGAGAAACCTAAATATAAAAAAAAGCATAGTAGGTAGAGGAGCATTAACCTAGAAAAGATACACACATATATATATATATATATATTAAAATTAAAAAAATTAGAAATTAAAAAATTAAAAAAATTGAACAATCCTTTATTTAGCCTTCCTGAGAAGGCTAAATATAAAAAAAAGGACGGTGTCGAGGTTGACCGTCATTTTCACGCTGTTAGCTGTATTTTCCTCTCAGCGCGCCGCAGACTCACGGATCGCGGAGAGGTGAGAAGCGTGTCGTGACTGTTGCTTCAGGATGTCCAAGAAATGCAAATCGATGTTAATTACGATAAAGAACCCGTCGTCGAACGATAAGTCGCCACGTGACTCACACGACGGATATGACGCATTCGCGTAAAAAAGAGACAAGAAGAGAGAGAGAGAGAGAGAGAGAGAGAGAGAGAGAGAGAGAGAAGAATAGCGCGAATGCGTCTCGCGGAAACTTCCTCGCGTTCATAGCTGTATCGCGGTCGAAATTTCCCGCGAAGCGCCGATATGTCTTGCTGACACGTTTCTGCTGGCTCGTCGCGGGTATTTTTAGGCCGACAACTCAGCGTGTGTAACCCAGTTTCCTTTCATCCGGCAGCAGGACGCGCCGTAACACCGCTTTATTGCAACAAAAAGAAGCAAAAAAAACACAGTCACACCGCCGGAAATTCGTTGACGAGGCGAGCCACCGGGAAGATTCCCAGAAATCCGACTGCAATCTGTTTCCGTCGGATAGCGAGAACTCGATCGCCCCGATTACGCGCCATTTACGATCCTCTTCGAGGCCTTGCAGAGAGTTCCCAATTTACGGTCACGGATGGCCGTCGATAAGCTCCTGACGTCAAGCATTAAATTTAATTTCGGTAAACAAGACAGAACTTGCGCGCGCGCGCGCGAGCGACTTCGTATGCGAATCGTCGATTTCGCAATCGCTTTTGATTTATTCATTAACGCGACACATCGCGTCGCGCGTCTGCAAGCAATTTCGCAATTTCGTAGATACGATCGAACGGATCCCGCTCTTTGGCGAACTTTTCTACGTTCTACGTACGCGAAATTGCAATCGGCGCGATCGATATCACCGCAATCGCCGAGTTTCCTTCCGCCATTCCGCTCCGAAGACTCGATGTGTCTTTTACGATGTGCTCTCGACGATTAAACTGATCGCTTAAACATTTGTCGATTAATCCAGCTTTTGCCTGCCGGTTGTGCTCGCCGGTTCTGCTCACATTTTGGAGGGAGCGTTTGTGCCGGTCGCTCAAAGACGATCTAAAATTGACTGTCGTAACTGAAGGCGCGTGTCGTCCTGAGATGGGACGATGCGTTTCACGCGCGCCGCATAATGATTCTAGTGACATCACGTTCCTAAATAATAATGCACTCCGCGGCAACTTGGCAAGCCGTCGCTTTTTGTCGATTAACAAGCCAAAAGCGCTTTTCGACAGCGTCATGCAGAAAATCGTCGCAGCTGTCGCTCAAGTTGTCCTCGTGCCGCTCATTCATCAAGAGAGGGAAGGAGAGAAAGAGAGACAGAGAGAGAGAGAGAGAGAGAGAGAGAGAGAGAGAGAGAGACTCGCGTCTCTCTGGGGCGTTAATTTTCCGCATTAATTCTCTCCAGTCGCTCCTCTGTCTCTTTCAATCGCAAAACTCTCTCTCTCTCTCTCTCTCTCTCTCTGTCTGGTACGAAAGCTCCTGTCTCTTCCGCAAAGTCACGTCGTGACTGCCCCTCGCCGAGTCATTACAACGGTTTCCTGCCAATCGGGAGATTAACAATCGCCAATAATTTACGAGGAGGAGGAGGAGGGAGGGGGGAGGAAAGAGACGTGGTGCGATTAACCGTCATCGCGAGCTCTCTCGAATGTTGTAGCCTACTTACCAAAACCGCGAGGCGATCGAGGAGACCATCGGTAAGACCGGAAGCGCGTCTTACACCCAGGCCAGCACCGGCAGCAAGATGCCCTCGCTCAATAACAATCTTTCCGAGCTGGACACCCTGCTGCAAGACCTCAGCAACGCGCGCTATAACAGCCACTACCAAGAAAGAGGTCAGGCCGATTACTCAGACCGGGGTTGAGTAAGCTACCTTCCAGCCCCGGCTTCTCTCGCAAGCGACTTCTCTCTGTCGCATTTAAACGCTCTTCTCTTTTGCTCATGATTGTAGACGGCCGCGTATCCACGACAGGGATGAACGGGGGCGCGACTAGTCCCATGCTCCGTTCCCCGAGTAGCTTGTCAGCCTCCCGACCCACCGTCGACTCGTTGCTCGAAGAACTAAGTACCGCCGTGCCTAACGGGTGAGCTTTCTATGTGTGTGTGTGTGTGTGTGTGTAAGCAACAATTAACCTTGTGACAGCGGGAGAATTCACGATCGTAAGTAACCTCGGGACCGAGGTTGACCGCGAGGTGGTCCCGGGTGAGTTTCGGGGACTTCGAGGGCGGGAATGGATTTGTCAGCGACGCGACGCGGCGGTATTTCTGTTCTTTTCTTTTCCCTTGTTGATGGTCCATAATACCAAGAGAGGAACCGCGACTCACCGCGGTCCAGCGGGATCCTCGGTTCCCGATGGCGGAATATTACCTCGGAGTTGTCCTTCCCAAACAGAGATTATCCAGCCGACGGAAGGGTGAAAGTTACCATACAGGAGACGTCCACGGAGATACAGCCGGTCTATGACGGTTATCCGTCCAGCCAGCAGGGCTCGCTGAATCGAACCGAGGTTCAGAGAAGTTACCCCAACGGTCACACTGCGAGTAACGCTACCAAGGAGCTGGACGACCTAATGGCTTCGCTTTCCGAATTCAAGGTACATCATGGAGACACGTAACCCCGCGTTTAACGCGTTAACGCTCTTGCGGAACGGCAGATCTCGCTGAATGTCGTGCTTTGAAAAGCGCCGTTCCTCAAGGGCTGCTGAACAACCCCTTCAGCAGGTGAGCATAACTGGGCGTCTGCTTTTCCGCTTGAAATTGTGCCGGAGGGGTTGGCGTACATTTCATTCCCCTCGATGCTTCATGTTGCCTCCTGCATTGTGCGCATAATCTGGCTTGACGGTGACATTCGAGCGATTTGCATGCTGAAGAGGTCCAACGTGACGAGACACACACAGAAAAAATGTAGCTCTCCTTAGCTGCGCCCGCCGACCTAAACCCAGAAGAAAGAGCATCTGGACGAAAGATGAAATCCGCTTTCGGGTTTCCCGATCCCTGTCGAGCCGACGTGACCGTTCCCTGCGTACACCCTGCGAGTACGTGCGGTCATTATCAGCGAACAGGTGCACAGGCAATCCCTAGGCAGTCCCAGTCCGATCGGTCTATCCAGGTTGATTTACCGCAGAATCGGAAAACACCGAGCGTTAAATCCACTCCTGCCCATTCTTGGCTCCCCACGTTACGAAAATAACCACCTCACCACCACCGCCGTCGTCGCCGCAGCCGAGAAAACGGAGACTACCAACCGCCACGCGGGGCTCCCCCGTTCCCTCGCGGTGTCTCCTTTTCTCCTCGTTGCCCACCGATTTTCCGGCGGGGCAGGGATGGCCCGGAGGAGAACGAAGTCAGGTCGAGGTGGGGCATCACCACGGCGGCGTGTAATCCGCCGAAACAGCCGGAGCTTTCGGCCAGTCTGCAAGCTCGCCCGTGGCGATCGACATCTCCTCACATCTCGTGGGTTTCTTTTGCATTCCTCTTCTCTCATTCAACATTCACCTTGCCCGTCAAATCGCCTGGCGTGTCACAACCTTGACACTTTTCCATACACACACACACAACCTCCACGTGCACACACACACACACATACACACACACACACGCACACGCACACGCGTTTCCAACTTACACTTTCGCACAGAGGGATCGACAGAGGACCTCGTAGAGAGCTTCTCAAGGCTTGGTTTCGGCTTTGACACCGGCTGTGACACCACCGAGAAATTGAGACCGTCGCACTTTTCAAGCACTACACGTGTTTTACCATCTGCTTCGGTAGCAATTTCTCGGAGTGAGAATAGAAGCCGGTCCCGGCTATTACGCTCGAGCCCCACGAAAACGTGTCGTTGCAGATCAACAGCGGCACTCATCAACACCAGACGGTTACCGACTCCCCGTACGCGAAGCCCAACAAAGCCACCAAGAGCTCGCAGAGTCCGCTGCCGGCCGAGGGCACGCAGCAGACCCGCGTCCACATCACCGAGACCCACACGACTCACCATTACCAGCCGCAACACGGGGAGAGCCACCACACCACCCAGACGGTCACACATATCAAGCAGAACCAGTTGGATTCTATGCTCGGCAACCTCCAGGCCGACATGAGCCGCCAAGGAGTCAACACAACCCAGAAGGGATGCTGCAGCGCCTGCGAGAAGCCCATCGTGGGCCAGGTAGCTGTGGATTCCCGACACCTTCGATCGACGATCGAAGTCCGCGAATGTCGTCTCTCGCTCCCTCGCTGACTCGATAATGTTTTCGCTGCACAGGTGATAACAGCTCTGGGCAAGACGTGGCATCCGGAACACTTTACGTGCACCCACTGCAATCAGGAGCTAGGCACGCGCAACTTCTTCGAGAGGGAGGGTCACCCCTACTGCGAGACGGACTATCACAACTTGTTCTCGCCCCGCTGCGCCTACTGCAACGGGCCGATTCTCGATGTAAGGGGACGCTTGTCCTCGGGGATTGTCTCGAGGAAAGGAGTATAGGTCGTAATGGTGGTTGTTGTCGGTATGACCGTTCAAGCGGTGCGAACGCAGTTAAAGAGAGTAATAAAGAGGACCAGACTGGAGAAAATTCCCTCGCATACCTTCCCTACCTGATCTCTCCCGCCCGTTGACGTTCCCAAGACGCTTGGACGACGAAACGAACAAAGTGGACCTCGCGACTGAACCCATTTGCGTTCCCGCACGCGAACACCGTTCCGGACTAGTATATTTACTGAAAAAAAAGAAGAAAAAACTGCCAAACTATACTCCTTTTCCCGACATGTTCCAGGTGTGGTCTGTGAGCGTATTTTAGCAGCACCGTAGCCGCTATCTGTTCGTTACGCACGTTTTGCTTGCAGAAATGCGTGACCGCTCTGGAGAAGACCTGGCATACCGAGCACTTCTTCTGCGCCCAATGCGGCAAGCAGTTTGGCGAGGAGGGCTTCCACGAGCGGGACGGCAAGCCGTATTGCCGCGAGGACTACTTCGACATGTTCGCGCCCAAGTGCGGCGGCTGCAACCGAGCCATCATGGAGAACTACATATCCGCGTTGAACAGTCAATGGCATCCGGACTGCTTCGTCTGCAGGGTAGGTAGTCGGGCTCACCACGGCTCGTCGATCCTCATCGTCAAAAAGACAAGTTTTACTTTCAGCTCTCTCTACGGAAATCGTCGAAAAGTCCGCATTCCCCCTCTCTCTCTCTCTCATTCCCGCGCGTACCATTCTGAAAATCCGTCGCAGGGCGAGAGTCGCGAGAAGCAGCGCTGCAGGCAGACGCGCTCTATAAACTTTGACAATTGCAGGATTGCAAGAAACCGGTCTCCGGAAAGTCCTTTTACGCGATGGAGGGCCAGCCGGTGTGCCCCAAGTGCGTCGGGGTGGACGACGACGAGGAAGAGGAGGAGCAGGAGGCGTAAGGACTATCCGGTCGGTCGATCGCCTCGGTCTGAATCGCGTCGAATCAATCTCTCTCGCGTGTCCAAAGTACCCGAATGTCTCGCTACTGTTCTCCAGAGTCCCCGACTCTCGCGTAATGTTGTCCACCGCAATCCAGCCCACCTCACCCCCTGCATATGCCCTCCGGCTCTATGAATGCGGAGCCACCCCCGTGACTTCCTCAGATGACAGGTGATTTATAGCCGGCGCCGCTGACGAAGACCGAGGCGAGAAGGAGGCCGAGTGCGAGAGGCGAGAGTAGCGTCATCGTCGCATTGCTCCCGGCGCTGCGCCTCGATTCCGCGCGTTGCGAACGCACGAACACACCGCGAACGCATCTCTCACACGCACAGCACACTCACACACCCTCTCTCGGAGTATACTCTCGGTGAGACAAGCTCTCTCGATTGTTCAAGCTGCAAGCTCCTCTCCTCGTTCCGAGTTCACGACTCGACATCGCTCGACATCGGGCTCTTGGCAACGGAGAGGTCGTCCTGCCGATAGTCGAGCCGCGTGAATGTTGTTAGTACTGTATGCGAAGTAAAGATAAATAAATCCCCACCCCACCCCCACTCAAAAAAAAAAAAGAAAAGAAAAGAAAACCCCAAAACAAGAAAACACACACACGACACGGAGTCGATCGTCGCACGCGCGTCGCCGCCTCTCTTCTTCCGCACGCGCGTCCCTCGGCAAGCAAGTGCGCAACGAAGGGCCGTGCCGAGTCTGCGGTGAACGGCACCGTCATCGTCGCAAATGAATGTTTACGTTTCTTAGGTTGTTCCAGCGCCGGCGAGTGGAGCGGAATGGCATTACCCAAAAGACAGTGTAAAATTATGCTTCTCCCATCAGGAATGGGAGTCGATTTTCATTCATCTGTCATGAAGCTAATTCTATGTGCGCATATGGCAAAAATGCGCGCATGTGCACATAGCACGGAGCGCTCAAAGAAATTGTACATTAATATATTGCCTTTTTCACGTGTGTGATTTGTGCGTATTATATCGTACGTCTGTGGAATAAGTTAAGACGGCGCAATTATCTGGTATTGGACACTCGACTGCTTTGAGTTCTCGAAGTATAAGTGCGAGACGCGCTATCTCTTGATTACATATCTGTCTGTTTACCTTGATAACGGTCGAATAAACTCAAACTCCACTAGTCGTATTACTTTTGCGACATCTTTAATATCGCCATATCAAGCCGAGAGTATGCTTGTAAATCGGTATATATTTCTTTGAGCACTCTTGATATTCGTGTGCAATCCACATAGCAACATAAAACATATGTTTATACATACATGTATTTCTTTTAATTTCTAATCCAACTGTGAAAGCGAAATGTTTCTAAGTATATATTTTACATTTGCAGAACTGTTGTTTTTATTTTTTTTTTTTTTTTTTTTTCGAAGAACATACTTTGTCGCACGTAACATTTTTCTCTGCAACTTTCCTAAATGCATCGTAATGTCTTTTTTTTGCAGGATTGTAGGCAAAAGTTTCAGGGAGGCTCCTTCTTCGATCACGAGGGGTTGCCGTACTGCGAGACGCACTACCACGCCAAGAGGGGATCCTTGTGTGCGGGGTGCCACAAACCCATCACTGGTGGGTAGACAAGACTTGATCATTTTCTTTTAAAGTCCTCGGTGACGACATGTTGTCTCTTCGTGTTTACAGGTCGCTGCATAACGGCCATGTTCCGCAAATTCCATCCTGAGCACTTTGTGTGCGCGTTTTGCTTGAAACAGCTGAACAAGGGTACTTTCAAGGAACAAAACGACAAACCTTACTGCCATGGCTGCTTCGACAAGCTCTTTGGATAAATATATTTGTAACATAAGGACGGAGAGCGGAAGACTGTTACTTCGCTCTCGATGACACGGTTTTGCTAGTTTGGACGGAATACGTACGCGGTATACACACTTGCTTTGACTGTCTAGATAAAAACGCGAGACCAGGCTCGTCCGTTGAGCCGCCTTCACGGCCTTTTAGAATTTCCATTTTTTTATATGAAAGAGGGAATATTGACCTTTGAATAGTGCTATCGCGAAGAAAAAGGAAAATGCATGGAATTTCAAGTGTTGACGAACATCGTGACAGGCTTGGAAGTTATACAGGATGTCCCGTTACCTTCGCCATTTTTAACGAGATTTTTTAACAATTTTCGAGTCGATAGTTTTTTTTTTTCTTTCTTTTTTTTTTTACTATGAACAGATACAATGGAACACTCTGTATAATCTTGATTACTTCCCATGGGTCTTAACTGTAATAACCTTACGTGGTAAGTCGTGTTTCTTAAACCGCTCAGTTTGAGCTCATCATGCCGTTTAAGAATTAACGAAAAGGGTGCTATACAGTAGTTTACCGTTACTAATAATGCGTATATCTATTATAGTATACCTTAGTGGATACACATATACGGTGTATAATCGCTCGAGCAAATATTTGTACGACACAGCTGGATATTAGTCTCCAAATGTCTCGGATGAGAGAGCTCTTCTTCCCGCGCGCGCGCGTTAGATATTTCATATATTTATAAGAATATTTATATAGAGTCGAGCGCGCGAAACGGTCTGGGATTTAACCGACTCTACCGCACAAGTAACATTACGAGTTTACATACGTCCGATCTGTCGGAGCATCGAATTATGTAATGCCTTGCGAGAGAAAAACAAACGATCGGATGTGAGGGAAGCGCGAATGGAATTGAAACGGATGTATAAAGCTTCGGTGCAAAGCCAGGTAGATAAAGCCAGAGAGGTAGGCCATTCGTTCGTTTATTTGGCATCTCGTTACATAATAAAGATCAGTTTTAAAGAACCAATTTCACGTATACACGCACATTTATTATAACAATAAACTTTCTTAGTAGAATTTAACGTGGGTGTGTATACAAGGGATATTCATTTTAAATGAGAGAAGAAGCAGAAAAAGTACATGTATATTTGCCTTATAATTCCCGGTCGTGACTGGTACCGATACCGGCGTGTGTGTAGGTGTATGTATACATATAAACACGCACACATTTATATGTAAACGAAAATCCACGCATTCGTAGGTATATACAAAAATATATCGAATCTCATAATAAAATTACACTTTAATTGCCAATCGTTAGCTTCGTGTTGCGAGCAGCTTAATATATTATTATACACGGACACCGATAGTACATGCTGCTACAGTTTGTGCTACCAAAGACTACTTCCTGGCATTGATAGGAAGAAACAGAGAAGAATGACACAGTAATCTCTCTCTCTCTCTCTCTCTCTCTCTCTCTCTCTCTCTCTCTCTCTCTCTCTCTCTCTCTCTCTCTCTCTCTCATGTCTCTATCGAATGTTATCTCTTGTTATTATACAAATACAACTAAAAATATCAGTTTGATCAATCGTCGCGTCGTTAATCCTCTCGATACGTTTGTAGATAAATAATAAATTTCTCGAGCGCAACGGCCAATATACACTTTGCGAAATAATAATGCATAGCAATACAAATAATACAGTCTAAACGTCTTCCTATCAATATACACGAGCGATACTTGTGCGTTTCTAATTTGTGTGCGAACGAATGATAAATTACACGAAAAAATGGCGCCGCCTTCTTCTTGCCTCCGTTTTTTTTTTTTTTGTTTTCTCCGTTTCCTTTACAATTTTTCATCTTTGAAAGAATCTATCCGAGTGTGCACGGTGCATCAACTACGCGGCGGCTGTGCGCTACTTTCCGCGTCGTGGAATCTTCTCGTATCACAGACGCAACGATCCGGCATTGGTCGTGTATTCCTCTGCGCGTGTTCCACTCGTCGTCTTCGCGAGAACTGTCAGGCAAGCGCAGGAAACAGCTCTCTGAAGTTTTCGTGCCAAAAGTCGTTGAAGTAAGAGTAACGGCAATGCGAGTCGACGGACGGAGAGTCGTGCGACTCGTAGCCGCAATCCATGCTGGCGCTGTCCATTTGTGGGACGACGCAGGAATCCGCGTCAGAGTTGATGCTCGCGGGCGACATGGTGTCGGTGCGGCAGGTGTACGCCGGGGAGAACTGCGTGGAGTAACTGTGAATAGGCGGCGGCGAGAGATACCTAACGTTGCTGGTAACGTCGGTGGTGCCGGTGATGGTGGTGGTGCTGGTGGTGGTGGTGGTGCTGGTGGTGGTGCTGGTGGTGGTGGTGGTGGCGGCGGCGGCGGCAGTGGCCGCGGCTGCGATGTCGTCCACAGGGTGGCATACGACGCCGTCGTCCGTGCTGATCTCTTGCACGCACTCCTGAATACCGATACCCGCGTTCTCTTCGCCCGGATAGATGATCGTGATCGAATTCGTAGCCTCGTCGTACGTGCCGTAAAAGGTGGCCTCCATATCGTGCGTTAGCTCGGACTCCTGTTTGATCTCGACTTCGGTCTTAATCGCCAACGGCGACGTCGTCGAACTGACGCGTTGCTGCGCCTCGCTCCTTGCAGCACAGCTCGCGGGATGATAAACTGACGAGCTGAAGTCCGCGATTAGGTAGGACGCATCATTTACGCCTTCACCAGCTCGATTGGCTTCCACATTTTCTGATGTCTGCCCCACCACTGTCTCTGGATGGCCAGATTTTTTAACGGGATCGTCCTTGACGGACACCTGAGCAGAACATGGTTGACGGGTCATTCAGGTGGGAACGACTGAAACGTGCGAGGACGCGAGATTGCGGAGGAAATGAATGAAATGTTTGAACCTTATGTAACAACCATATCATCGTCATGTTGCGCCAGTATGCGATCGGTACTCTTATGCCCGGCTCCGGGGCAGAGAAGATTCCGTTCTGATCCGGAATATTCCACATTCCGATTTGGACTATCTCATTCATTTCTACGTCACGTCTAAATTATCGTGCGAATGCAAGAGTATCGCTTGAAGAGCGCAAGTGCAAGGTGATTGTAACGCTGTCTGTGCTATAGCGCAAAACTCCCAATACTCACTTGTTCATTTGATTTGTCAGGAGCTGCTTGCACTTCGACATTAACTTCTCGCAGTAGACTCTCCGCGAGTTCCTCGAGTCGCTCGATGTAGTCGTCATCTTGGAGGTCGCCGCAAAGTTCTTCGAGAGGAGGTAAAGGGTCAGGATCTTCAATAGAGCAACTGCTCCTGGTGTTGGCGTCAGGCGCGATGCCAACTGCGCTGTCCCACCCTGCGGCAGAGGGTGATTTGGGGATACTGCAGATCCCAGTGAGGGTACAACACAGTGGACACGAGCCTGGCACAACGTGCAGTATCGCTCCTCCCTGTTCTTAGTGTCCAATTCCTTCCTCAATCTTTTCGTTTCGCTCAACAGCGACTCGTTCTGCGACCTCAGCATCACGCACTCCTGCGTGAGCGTCCTTACTGTCAGCTCCAGCTCGTCCAATTTGGCTTTCTTCCGATCCCGAGAGGTTTGGGCTGCCACCCTGTTCTTCATCTTCCTGCCGAGACAAAAGGATTTTTGTAATTAAGATCTATTATTAAGATAATTAAGATAATTGTAATTAAGATCTATTACAATTATAATGTTGATAGGTATAATTTATCGTCATTACGATTATGATGTTAATTTATGTTATGATACTTTTTTTTTCTTCTCACCGTCCAAGCACCATAAGATATTTATATATTTATCAACTTCGTCATCATCACTGAAGACGTTTGTTACTATCTAAAAGTTTATTATTATATTTCTTATTTTTTGTCTAAGTGATAATAATTTTTTAACAGTAACGTATGTATCGTCTCTACACATAACGCGATATCAGTTGGTGATGTGACATCATTTTTAAAAAATACAACATCATTCGCACTTTATCTCATTGATAATTTGTATTCTGCTTTTATCGTAACTGTTGTCACTTGTCATATATTCGGCATATACGTTGCATCCCCGGTTGAGACAAGGAAAATGACGCATAAACGTGCCTCCGCGGCATCGTGAGTCGCGGGAAATAACAAAACAATATTATTCTCCCACTGACTGCAATGACCAATCATCATCAAATCAAATCTATTTCATCATGTACACACGGAAGCAGGAAAACTTCAACACTTTTCTAGAGTTTTTTTTTGTACGTATATATAATATACGTACAATTAATTCTTTTGTACGTATATATAACTCGTCCCACACAGATATTTCTCCTGCAGATTAGTCATCTGATAAAAAGTGACTAATTAGACAAGGTCTAAGGCAAAGTCATAGCTCGCGATAAGAATGAGATAAGACTGCGAAAAACAACGGCTGTGTAAAGAGAAGAAACATCAGAGCCAAGTCGCGTAACAATCGGCGCAAAAAATACAACTGTTTGATCCCCGTATCGGGCGCAAATTGTCACACACACCGCAGCGAACAAAGCGCCGCGCAGATGTAGGTGGGCCGTGGCGGTTATCGACAAGTGTTCTGGTAACGATAAGCAGGGCTGATGCAATTTCATGCGGGCGGCGGGGAGGCGGCATTTCGCGGGAGGTGCCAACGGAATTTTACGAAGAATCGAGTCAATATTTGCCGCGATCTCTGACCGTTTCACTCCGCCCGACATCGATCGATGTCTCGCTTGAAGATCGAACACCGCGGGTCCAAAGTTGGAAGTTACTCGATCGGGACGAGGCGAGGCCAAGATTGCGATTAGTCGCCTCGTCCAAGTGCAGAATCCCCGCCGATTTTCAATTCGCAATCTGACATCGCGCGTTCGTCGCGGACAAACTCACTTTCTCTGTAGCTTCTCCTCCCACGTCAGATGGTCCAGTCGACGTCTCTTGCCGCGCGAATTCCCGTCCGTCGCGGACTTGAAGAGCACCGATGCGTCATCGTCGTCCATGTCTTCTTGCTGCTGCCTGGGCGCCAGTTTCCTGGCGTCCATCTTCGCCTTATTCAGCAAGATCGATGCGATGGCAGTCCGCTTGGTGAGCGCGTCGCGCCTCACTTCGTCCCGCAGGAGCTGCTTGCGCGATTCTTTAGGCAAGGCGAGGATCAGTGAGCTCTTCGCGCAGCTCATAATCCGCCATGTGACGAGACGCGACAATCCGACAATCTGTATCAGCGAGCGTTCTGTTGTATCACAACTCTCTTTCTCTTTCTCTCTCTCTCTCTCTCTCTCTCTCTCTCTCTCTCTCCTCACCCACCTCCCAGAGCTCGCCGTCGACTGACGGGCCGCAGGAGCGCTTGTAACCAGGACGCGCAGAACTACCACTCACATCCCCACCGGAGAGCACAACCAGCAGCGTCGGCAACTCCGCTATTGCGCACTAGCGTACTAAAAGCGTCGGATATTTCCGCTCGTCATCAACGTGGTGCGTCGCAATTGGTCGCTCGCGGCGAACGTAATTGCGCGGTTACCATCGATCATCGTTCAACGCACAGGCGGCAGCTTCACGCGAGAGTACTGCTTTCCCAAGTGCGATTTCTAGCGCGCTAAACAATCCGCCAACAACTGTTCCTGCTGTTCGATACGCAAGCGCCTCGCTCGTTCCTTCGAGGAAACCGAAGGTCGACACGCTCGACGAGCCGCGTCGCGTCGCTCGTCTGAAAATTCGAATCTGACAAAAGCCACCGCAAGAGTTGCGGCTCGAGAAGGGCTGGGCCTGACTCCGTCAGGAGTTCGATAAATTTTTGTCAATTCACACCCCCGCTCGCTTCGTCCAAACCGTCCACAGCGGCCGGAATCCAATCGGCGGACCGATTTTCCGCGATCTGACGCGCAACTTTACGTGACACGGAAACTTATCGATTCATCACGATGACGACGCGCAACGCAAACGCGCTCTCGTGTTGCGTCACTCTGGATGCGGTCCATCGATCGCTACAAATGCTTCGAAGCGTTTTTATTTCTCTCTCTCTCTCTCTCTCTCTCTCTCTCTCTCTTCGTTTGCATCCGAGAAATAGAACGAGAAAGAGAAACGTTTCGAAGAATTTGTAGCGGTTGCCGGACCGCATTCTCACATCGCACATGAGATCGCGGCCGTTCGAACCGGGCAGGGCGAAATATATCGATAAGCGAGAACGATACGTCGAACTCTCTCTGCAGCGCGCATCGATCGTCGTTATCGATATTTTCAGTTCAGTCTGAAAATGGACGACGCTTGCCCGTGTCGGAGCGGAGCGGCCGGTCACGTTGGCGCCCCTTTGAAGCGTCAGTCCTCAGCATTAGTCGGATGAAGTATCCTATCCTACTTTTCCCTACTACCCACAGCGGATGCTCAGCAGGGTGACTACTACACGACAATGAACGAGGGGTTGATCGTCGACAATAGGAAGGTGCGGTCCAGATTCTCGGGATAGCAACGGTAACGGCGCCATTGTGTTCGACAGAAGAACAGGTATTTGAAACGTCAATCTTCGGGCCGTCTCCGGGGGAAAATAAGATTCCTTCTCGGCCGAGAGACCTATTTCTAAGCAGAGATAGCCCTTATCTCGCGGCTGTTTCTTGCGTCGGCACGGACGACCGCGCGTTTCCGGCAGGGAAGCGCCTATCGCGTCGCGGTTATCACGCTTGCGTGTCGCGGACGTCGAGGTCAGTCGTGAGCAGTCGAAGAAACTGCGTCTTCTGCGCGACCTCGAGCCGATATTCGCAGTTGGATCTTACATTTAAGGTTGGCTTCACCTTCAGATACTTTGCGGCCAATAGGATGGTCCGTATCTTCAGATAAACTTGAGACAATCTTAACCTTTAAGGACTGCCACGGGTGAAATTTCCCTATGCGAGGTAATTTCGACAATCTTGTTGAAACATATAACCACACTGGTAATGTTAATTTTATAGGCATTATCGCATCATCGCGTATTAGCGACAATATTATGATAAAACACATCAATTCTCGCATATGCTTCGTTACAAACGATAACAAGAAAAGTTGGCTCGGGAGGGGGATATTCGATGGTAGCTTTTAAAGATTAAGAACGAGAGAGGCAATTACAAGTTTTTGTTTTCATTTGTACGTCAAGTGCTCGCTAAGAACACGAAGAGTCTCGTATTCGCAAATTGGTCGCTCGCGGCGACCAGCGGTGCATTTGAAATTTTTTCTTTTCTTCTTTTTTATTGTAGCGTATAAAGGATGACGCTGAGATCGAGCTCACACCGCCTTACATGAATCGGTACAACTATACTTACGGCTAACTTGTACAAGTTACAATTTATATAATAATACGTTCGCATGAGCGGTATGCTCCGAAAATGGACGGAGCGCGTATGTATTATAATCGGTGAATCAACTCACATAACTTAAACTTACATTCTAATCGCACTTAGCATCGCATATATGATTGCTCTAAGTTTTCCTCGGGAAGCATAGCATTTGAAATTCAACCTCACCGTGCCGTGCTGCCCTCTGCCGGCGAATGCGCCAAGAGAGATGCGGCGAGGCTGCGGTTATCCGTCGAGCAGTAGTACGACGTTCGTAATGCGGAAATCTGACGGATTTGAATTTGAGAAAAGTCCTGCGAGGTTGTTCGTTATTATTCAGACATGACATGCGCGATGGAAAATCGCCGGAAAAAACCGTAGCTTTACCATCCCGAGCCGAAGCGGCGAACTTTTTTCCGCGAGACGGCTCTCTCGCGGGAAAAAGTTCGCTCGTGCGTTTGACTAGGAACGAGCTCGGTGGGCAGAGTTTCCTAACACGCGCGAGTGTGCGAGCGGATCGGTGCGGCCGGTGAATCGAAATTTGAATTAATTAACATGCTCGATATCGCCGACGAGCAAGACCTACGTGCAAAATGTGCAGTTTCATATCAGCTGTCGGCCGCCGCCGCGTTGCCAACGTGACAGCAGCGTTCTACCCTGAAGCACACCGCTCCGCTCCGCCTCGCCCCGGTGACCCGGCGAAATGATCGCGCATTCACTCGCATATATTATCGTATTCACACGACGCCATTGTGAAAGCCTCGGTGTCTAACGTACACGAGGCCACGGGGTCAGAAATGTTGTTGAAGAGTATCGCCTTGAAATCTCTCGTTGAAAAGGCAGCCTAACGTTCGGGGAACACCTTCCCCTTGGAATTCACTAGACGTTCCTCAATGCCCTAATACGAGGTCCCGCTGAAATCGCATGGAAACGTGTTCTCGGCGAAGCTGTCAAGTCCTCTGCGGGGATGTCATTGTGAGCGAGAACGGCGACGGAGAGTTCCGATCACTGCGGCCGAATCATGCGAGATTCTTCTCTCCTCTGGGCGACGTCGTTGGCTCGCTCTCACGTCGAGAGAGAGAGAGAGGGAAAGAGAGAGAGAGAGAGAGAGAGAGAGAGACATGTAGACGCTGGAAAGAAAAGTCCGTGCGACGCACAAATTCAAGCGGAGAAAAAGCGCGTGTCCAGGCGAGAGCACGTGTCGGCGGAGAGAGGATTGTCGCGCGACAACTTTGACAACGGTCGGTCGCCTTCAAGGCGCACGCGTAACGCCTAAGAAGGGAGAATTCGTCCTTTTCCTTGCAGCAGGAGCTGCCTCCCCGGCAGCTGAGTTTTCCGTTTCGGTTCACCGGACATGTCCGGAGCGGCTGACCTGGGTGAAATTTCGTAAGATCTTTCTTCCGTCGACTGTACTCTTCCGCCGCGTATATCGCCCGACACGATCGGATTCTCGCGGGGAGGAGGAACGCGAGGCACAGGGAGACGGCATACGCGAGGAAAATTCCTGGCTTTGCCAAGCCTCACGGCCTCTCCGAGCAGGGCACGCGAGAAATTCACCTGCGGGAGAATCCGCCTGCTTTTCCGAATCTCGGACTCACTTGTGTGTACGTGTACACGTGTAACGCAGAGTCGCGCAAGGTCAATGGTAAACGCGAAAGTCAATGTCAAAGGTGAACAGCGCCGGTGATCGGCGGTTTTTCGCTCGCCGATCGTCGGCGGAGTCTCGCACCTCGTCCCACCAGGATGCCATTCGACGACGCCTTACGCAATGCTGACGCGGCGGCACACGCACACTCGCGGCCTTCTTCTCTCTCTCTCTCTCTCTCTCTCTCTCTCTCTCTCTCCGTCTGGTCAGCGTCAGCCGGCTTTTTTGCCAGGGTGCCAGATAAATATGACATAACGCAACTCCGGACACAACGACGCGCGAGAGTAAAGACGTGGTATATCGCGTTTTTAGTCCTTCGTGTGTGTGTGTGTGTGTGTGTGGTGTTTTCTTTTCTTTTTACTTCCACACGTACGCTCGCCGTGTGAATCGCCGTCCATATCGGCGGGTATTAGCTCGGCCGATCGGGGGAAAAAATGTCTCGATGATAAATCGCCGGGGAAACGGGGACAAGTTGATCGTGGCTCGAGGCTCGCGAGCTATGCGGAGCGAGCAGGAGGTGACGGCCGGTGATAAAATAAAGTCGCAAGGTTTCGGACTTTCGTCGCGGAACGAATCGCATCGAGCGTGCTGGGAAGGGTAGCGTCGAGAGCTGTAGAAGAGCTGCGCCAATGACAATCTCGCGGTAGTCGACCGTCGTCCTCGACGTCTTCGTAAGTTGAGCGAGCGTCTCGGCAGCACCTTTTATGCGCGCCACCGCACTTACGGCGAATCAACGCAATGACGCGCGTGCTGACGTTACAGACGTGCTGATGTACGTACGTACGTCGCAGAAAGTCCGGCCTTAATCTCAACGACGACCGAACACCGCCGTCTCCGCGACGGCGACCATGGGTGCGGGCGATTTTTCCCGACGTCGACCGCAGCCTCGGAGATTATCGCGGCGAGCCCGGCTGTGCGATAAACTGCAATCCGTAGAATGAAACGTTACCGTCCGCGTCGGTCGGCCCCGGGAGGAGCCCTGGGACTTCCCGCGGCGCTTCCCCCGCGGAGAGCTCAAAGGTGAACGTTAACTGCAACGAACAACAGGCCGTTCCCCGACGGCGGAAAACCGCCGCCGCCGCCGCCGCCGCCGCCATCCGGCGAGACACATCGCTGAATTTGTCATTGAAATTAAGGTCGAGGTTGCCCGGGCGCACACCTTGTATTTATAACTCGCTCTCGGTCAACGATATTAACATGAGTCGTCTAACGACGCGCGAGGACCGTCCTCGAGGACTCTCTCGTTAGCGCGTCTGGCGAGAGGAGAACGACGAGAGACGACACGAGAGAGCTCCAGGAGCGTCGAGAGGCCGGAATTTGCGCTCTCTCTCTCTCTCTCTCTCTCTCTCTATGTCTCTCTCTGTCTCTCTCTCTCTCTCTCTCTCTCGCTCGCTCTCGCTAGGGAGTTGCTCATCGTTCGATTATTAGAATAGAGCTGAGATCGCGCGCCGATGAACCCCCGCCGACGAGAGGGACGAGAGAGAGAGAGAGAGAGAGAGAGAGAGAGAGAGAGGAGCGGAAAAAAGAAACACACACTCTCATCGACCTTTTTCGGTGCTGCCTCCCTGGCGGTTCCGGC